CTAACGAATTCCTACAACTCAAACAGACCTAAGCACCAAACACCCCCCCAAGCAACAATGGCACGCGGCAAGCTCATAGTCTTCGAGGGTCTCGACCGCGCAGGCAAATCAACACAATGCCAAAAGTTAGTCGAAGACCTACAAAACGATGGGGTGAAAGTGCGACACATGCGATTCCCTGGTACGTGTTGCACTTCAAGAAATTCTTCAAAAGATATATAACGTAGATTAATAAGGAAATTTCATAGATAGGACAACACCGATTGGACAAATGATCAATAGCTACTTAAGCGGCGACAGCGAGCAAGAAGATCACGTTATCCATTTATTATTCTCTGCAAACCGGTGGGAAGCAGCGTAAGCTACATACCCCCTATCCACAATCATTACATCCAATTCAGAAAACTCACAGACCCTCCATCCAAGCCGAGCTCGCAGCCGGCACAACAATAATCATAGACCGCTACTACTACAGCGGCTGCGTCTACTCGGCCGCCAAGCAAAACCCCAACATGAGTCTAGAATGGTGTCGGAACCCCGAGCTGGGGCTCCCACGACCTGACCTCTGCATCTTCCTTGACATCTCGGCCGAGGACGCGGCGAAGAGGGGGGGCTACGGTGCGGAAAAGTATGAGAAGAAGGATATGCAGGATCGGGTGCGGGTGCTGTTTGAGACACTGATGCAGAGGAAGGAGGGCGAGGACTTTGTCAGGATTGATGCGGGGGCTAGTGAGGAGGCTGTTGCGGCGGAGGTGAGGGTGCAGGTGGATCGGTGTATGGAGAGGGTTGCAAAGGGTGAGGTGCCGTTGAGGACGGTGGGGGAGTGGTAGATTGTGGGGTGAGGTTAGGATCGGGGTTTGTCGTCTTCTTCGTTTACGTTTTCCATCCAGGTTTCGTCGAGATCTTCGTCGAGGTCGGCGTTGAGGTCGTCAATGTCGGGATATTCGTCGGTGTCGTCTTCTGTGGTGTCGACTTGCTTCTTTTTACGCTTCGTTTTGAATAGAGTTTTGAGTTCGTCCTCGCCGCGCATTCGTAGACTGAGCTCTTTGATCATGTCGGACCATTTGATGGGGCTGTGGCAGCTTGGACATGTTCCTTCTATGGGAATAAAGGCCTCTTTGTTGGCCTCTTCTGCAAGGAATCTCTGCGACAGGCAGGACATGTGTGACACAGAGCAGCATGTCTCGTTGGGACAAATGAGCACGAGCGATCTATCAACATTCACATCCTTCTTACAGACACCACAATCCCGCGTCTTCCCGTCTCTCAGGGTGCTCATTGACTTCTCAACATACGGTTTGATGTCTTCATAAGCAACAGGGATTGCTCGTATGACTTCTGGTATGAAGTGTGTTCGCATTTCGCTCGATACATCAGGGGCCAACTTGGGGAGTTCGGCCGGAGTCAGCCGGATGGTAATGCTCTTCCGTAGGCTCGTGTTCATTTTGGATATATGTTTCTCCCACTGCGAAAACACATCTGGCGCGAAGAATCGAACGTGTAGCGGCCACCTGCTAAAACTACCGACGCCCAGGAGGTGATGCAAGTTTTTGAGTCGTGCTTCCAGTGACATTGGTGGTCTTGATCTCTTGACGGGCGATGCATTCTTCCTGCCCTTTTCCAACTCGTCCTTTCTCGCCTCGCGCACATCTCGTTCGATGTGGCGTGTCGCGTGCGTGTTTTGCCACGCCCATTCGAATTGCAGTGCGGCGAATCTGGAGGGGAAGCCGGTCACGATGCAGGTCATCTCCCAAGGCCGCTTCCCCTGCATCGAAGTGCGCTTTGCACCACCCTTGCTCGACCCATTGTGTTGACCAAGACGGCGGGCCGGGTTGGGTGTGCTCCCAATGTAAAAGGCCTTGCGGTTCTTTGAGCGAAGCAGATAGCAGCAGTAGAAGGCGGGGAGGGGCCTGCTGTCTATCTTGAGCCCGTCGGTCATCATCCGGGGGGTGTCAAGAGTCGATGTCGGTGTTGTCGTTGATCGTACCCGAAAGCGTCCAACGGCCAGGCTAGGGCTGACGGGATGGTGCAGATGGAGGGGGAGGTGATTGGTGGAGTGTCGCGCTTCCTGATGCGACAACCTTGTTACCGACCTGACCTGCAGCATCCATTTCACGATCCTAGGCTGGCGAACGTACGGTATCGTCGGTGTAACCGGGCTTACAGCGTACAATAAGCGTATCTTGTGCGGAGCCGGTATGAGTGGACACGTCTGCGACTAACGCGCTTGTATGTTTTGCGATACTGTACGATGATGCAAGGATGTGGCGAGGTGTGGGTGGGCTAGCACGTGTTCATGCAGAGAAGGAAGGAAAAGCACCGACAAGTCAGCGCGGTATGGGCTTTGAATCATGTAGTTGTAGCCGCAGCAGTTCCTGTAGCAGACGCGTGGGCGATGACGGAAACAAGTGTTGGCCGCTGGCGGCGCAAAAGAAAACCGAGTGAGCAGGTCGGCATGATGTAGGTTTCATACCTGACCACGACTACAGTCGCTGGCAGCATTTTGATAGTGGGCGGGTGAGAATGAAGCCATGGATAAAAGTGCACCAAAATCATCGTAAAAGTGTCATCAAGCACAAACAAAGCATTGCGCAGGCCACTGTGAAGGATGCCAGCGAGAATAAGCGTCGATGCATCTGGGTTCCTTCGGTACCTTGGGTGTGATGCGCTTCCGCCGCTAGCGAGGCATACTGAACCTCGCACCCTTCAGCGGCCCCGTCACCTCTTTCTATACTCACACGCTCTCGCCGCCCTCTACGATCTCGCGCATACGCTGCCACAACCACGCCGGTTGCTGACAGGCACGTGTAGGACCACTATCTGAACCTATTCACTTCAACGTGCAATTGCACACGCCGGATTGGGCGAAGCGGTCGTCTGCCGCTCTTGGGGCCCCCATGCCTTGAGATATATCACGTCGATAGCGCCCCCCACCGACCGGATCACGGCCAATTCCCGTCGCTTCACCTACGAAAACATTCGATAAATCGTTACGAGGCCACAATCAGAGAGAATCAGGCCGCAGTGCTACGTGTTGTAGTCCGAGTGTCATGGTCGACTTTATGCCGCCGGGCGGTCCTGCGACGGGTGCCACTATGACGACCTTTCGCGTCGCTACAGACAACGGCCTGGCCGAGGGAACATCCGGAACACCGAAATCAAGAATGAGTGGCGCTGGCATGGCTGCTGCGAATGGTGCGCAGCCAAACGGGGCCAGCTCGATTCCTTTGAGCGCGCGCAAGGCGGCACCGCTGGACCTGGCAACCGTCGAGCGCAGAGGACATGGTGCGCCAAACAACCTGCCGCCCAAGCAGAACCGCCTTTTCGGTCTTCGCGAATCTCCCACATATCGACCCACTGCCGAGCAGTTCAAGGACCCCGTGCAGTACATTCAAAGCATCCGCGAGGAGGCGCAAAAGTACGGCATCGTCAAGATTGTACCGCCCGATAGCTGGAATCCGCCTTTTGCCATCGATACCGAGGTGAGTACATGCGCCGTCGGGGTTTGCATTTGCACTGGTCTCGACTGGCATTCGTACCTGCCTTGTTGAATCCAGCTTACACGCAATAGCGTTTCCACTTCCGCACACGAAGGCAGGAGCTGAACTCGGTCGAGGGTGGTATGTATTTTATTCTTCAGTTTTGCCAAGCCGATACTGATCAATCACAGGTACACGTGCCAATCTGAATTATCTGGATCAGCTCTCCAAATTCCACAAACAACATGGCCACAGTCTCACTCGCTTCCCGAGTGTGGACAAACGACCTCTGGATCTCTACAAACTCAAAAAAGCTGTCGAGAAGAGGGGCGGCTTTGAACGTGTCTGCAAACATAAGAAGTGGGCTGAAATTGGACGAGACCTCGGCTACAGCGGCAAGATCATGTCATCGCTGTCTACCTCGCTCAAGAACTCATATCAGAAATGGCTGCACCCGTACGAGGAGTATCTACGACTCGTGAAACCTGGGGTCCAACAGATGCTCGAGTTTGAACATGGCGGGCCCTTTACTCCATCTCCGGCCCACTCGCCTATGAAGAAATCATTACAGGGCACGCCTATCGCCAACACCAGTGCCGCCGAATCACCTGCCATGAGGGCCTCGGCAGCGCTGAATGCGACGCTTCATACAGAATCTGTTCCCACACCACCTCCTGAGCCCCCACGATCTTCTATGCCATCAGGCTTCACACCAGTGAATGCTGGAGGTTTCACAGCGGTTAACGCGCAAAAGCCCACGCAGTCGCCGACGCCAAGTTCCTTTGCTGCGGTCAATGTTCCAAGTGGCATGCATCGCGAAGTGCTTGAGTCACGCACATCGACGCCCTTGCGGAATGCTGGTAGCCCTATGCTGTCGACCGACAACACGCCAGATTTGCGACCCTCTGCAGCTGCATTCACACCGCTGTCTAACGGACATCACTTCAACCAGCTTAAGCGGACTTTATCTCAGGATGCGGACAGCAGCGCTAATGATGATGCTGACGAGGCCAATGGTCGACGCAGTAAGCGTCTTAAGAAGGATCCCGCGCCCACAGTTGCGGGCTCGCATATGACCCAACCTCGCCAATCGACGCCGGGCCGATCATTTCCGCGCGTTCGTGCAGCTGACGAACGGCCCGGAGATCGCTGCGAGACTTGCGGTACCGACAATGACCCTTCGAACATCTTGCTATGCGACAGCTGCGACTCTGGGTATCACGGATACTGTTTAGATCCACCCATCAAAGGCATCCCCGCACACGACTGGCATTGCCCAAGATGTCTCGTTGGAACGGGCGAATTCGGATTCGAAGAAGGTGGCATATACTCGCTCAAGCAATTCCAGGAAAAAGCACATCTGTTCAAGCAGAACCACTTTGCCAGCAAGATGCCATTTGACCCCATCACTAATGCGCCAAAGCCGGTTACCGAAGACGATGTAGAACGCGAGTTCTGGCATTCGGTTGCGAACGTCACTGAGACTGTCGAGGTAGAATATGGAGCAGACATTCACTCTACGACCCACGGCAGTGGCTTCCCCACTATCGAGAAGAATCCGCGAGACCCATACTCCACAGATCCATGGAATTTAACGATTCTTCCATACGCCCCGGATTCGCTGTTCCGCCACATCAAGTCGGACATATCAGGTATGACGGTGCCTTGGCTATATGTAGGTATGGTGTTCTCAACTTTCTGCTGGCACGCCGAGGATCACTACACATACTCTGCAAATTACCAGCACTTTGGCGCAACCAAGACTTGGTACGGAGTTCCGGCCGAAGATACTGACAAGTTCGAGCAAGCCATGCGTGAGGCGGTACCAGAGTTATTTGAGAGCCAACCAGATCTCCTGTTCCAGCTTGTGACGCTCCTAACACCCGAGCAACTACTGAAAGCCGGAGTCAAGGTTTATGCCATTGATCAGCGTGCTGGCGAGTTCGTCATTACGTTCCCTGAAGCCTATCATGCCGGGTTCAACCACGGCTTCAACCTCAACGAGGCAGTGAACTTTGCGCCGAGCGATTGGGAGCCATTTGGCGAACATGGTGTTCAACGCCTTCAGGACTACCGACGCCAACCTTGCTTCTCTCACGATGAACTCCTTTTGGCAGCGGCCTCGCGTAAAGACACCACAATCAAGACTGCCAAGTGGCTCGGCCCTGCCATGGAGCGGATGCGAGACAGAGAGCTGCGCCTACGGTCAGACTTTCTCGACAAGCACAAAGCTGTCAATGCCCATAAATGCAAAATCGATGGCAGCGGTGACGGCGATGTGACTTGTGAACTTGAGTTCATTGTTGACGATGCTGATATGCATGAAGATGAGCTAATGTGCGCCTTCTGCAAATCGTATGGTTATCTATCGCGTTTCTACTGCCGCAACGCGAAGAAGGTTCTCTGCCTACAACATGCCGGAAGCTTTGAATGCTGCCCTGATACCTCAGAGGCTGATCGCTACTCTGGAGCTAAAAGCCAACACATGCTAGTATACCGCATGCCAGAGGACGATCTTACTTCGTTGGCCCAGAGAATCATCGACAAGGCAGGAACTCCGGAAGTTTGGTTATCCAAGATGGACGCGATGCTCGCCGAAGGTCCCCGACCCCAGCTAAAGACTATGCGCGCTCTCTTGAATGAAGGCGAGAAGATTGACTGGGAACTTAAGGGTCTTCAGGATCTGAAGGACTTCGTTGAAAAATGCCAAGAAGTTGCTGAGGAAGCTATCCTTTACACAACTCGGAAGCAACAAGCCCGCCGCAAGGCCGAGCGTCCTGGAAGGGGAAGGCCTAGCAAGTCAGCCATTGCCGAGGCGGACGAGAAGGAGCGCGAGTACCGCAATGTGGAGAACATTCAGAAGCTTCTCAACCAGGCAAGAGATCTGGGGTTCGAAAGCCCCGAGATAACAACTCTCCGAGAACGGGCGGAAAGCATTGTCGATTTCCAAACTAGAGCGCGTATTGCCCTGCGTGACAGACCAGTCGAGCAAAGCATCACTCGACTTGATGAACTTCTCGAAGAAGGCAAAGGCTTCAATGTGGATCTACCCGAGCTTGAATCGCTTGAAAAGGTCGTTCAGCAATTGAAATGGCTCCAAGAAGTACAAGAATTCAGGCTCAAGCCTACACCGACACTGGTGGAGGTTGGTGATCTTATCAAGAACGGTACTGAAGTTGGTATGCCAGAGCACCATCCCGAGCTTCAATTCTTGCAGGAGAAGCGAAGGCAAGGTGAGTTTTGGGACAAGAAAGCCAAAGAACTCATGGAGGTGGAGAATGTGCACTACCAGCAACTTGATACTTTCTCAAAGCAAGCGACAAATCTTCCAGTACCACCGGAAACCAGGGCTGCCATGGATGCCATCTTGAAGAAGCAGAGGGATGCGCAAGAGCTCATTATGTCCTTGTACGAGCGAAGCAAGAACCCCGACTTCTCACAGCGACCAAAGTATATGGAAGTGCGCAATGCCATGGAGTCACTCAACGCACTCAACTGCAAGCCGAACGGCACAACTGATCTCGAGAAGGAGCAGAAGCGACACGAAGATTGGATGAGGCGAGGCAAGAAGCTTTTCGGCAAAGCCAATGCCCCTCTCCATATCCTGCATGCGCACATGAAGCAAGTGGACGAGCGCAACCGCTCCTGTTTTGACTTGTCTGACCAGCCTCGCATGCCCGTGGAGCCCGCTTCGCGTGAACAGAGTCCGGCCGAAGGTGAAGAGGTAGATGGTTCCGGATCTAGTAGAGACGTGTTCTGTATCTGCCGAAAACCCGAAGCTGGTATGATGATTGAATGCGAGTTGTGTCACGAATGGTAAGTTGCACTATAGTGTTGAAGACGCATATACTGACAATGACAGGTATCACGGCAAGTGCTTGAAGATTGCACGTGGCAAGGTCAAGGAAGACGACAAATACACATGTCCAATCTGCGACTATCGTGTCAAAATACCCCGCGATGCGACCCGCCCGAAGCTGGAGGACCTGCAACAATGGCAAGACGAGCTCCCTGGTTTGCCATTCCAACCCGAAGAAGAAGAGACACTGGAGTCACTCATCGACCATGGTACAAAGTTCCGCGACTATGTGGCCCAGTACATCAACCCATTGATGTCAAGCCCCGACGAGCTCACCACACAGCGGTTCTACCTACGTAAGCTTGAAGGTGCTGAGATTCTGCTTTCCAACGAAATCAACTTTTTCCGCCAAGAGCTGCACAAATGGGCACCAGTTGCGCCATCACCACCGCCGATCCTACAGGTCTCCCTCTCGACGCGTAAGCCGCGACCAACGAAGCAGCAGAAGCTTATGAATCAACTGGGTATCACAAATCCGGAGGACCTCCCACAGCACCTAAGGACGAAGACGCACCAATTTAAGCGCAAGGAAGATGTTCCGAAATCCTCGAGTCTACAACCGGCACCTGCTGAGCAGTCGCACACACCTCCAGGCGAGCCTCGTCAAGCTCAGGGCGACAACGACTACTTCAACACGGCTACCACGTCCACATACACAAATTCGCCAACCTTTGCTACAGCGCCCCTTAACTTTAGTGGCGCATCGTCGATTGCCCCCATCGATCCTGGCCTTTTCGAGACTTCTGGAGCAGGGCCAACCAGCCCTATACAAGATCCGTTTAAGAGCTCGGGTAGCGCACACGAGATGTTCGGTGAAGCAATGGAGATGGGCGGCGGCCAGGCGGAAGAAGCCTTGGCTGTCACTGAAGGCAACAACTACGAGGAATAGAACTCCGAGAGTTATACTTGGCAACAGCCAGACGATGGCGCATAATACCTTTCAAGCATCCTAGGGGGCGTTCGGCATCTTTTATGAGGCTTGTACAGTATTTTTCCTTTACCTTTCCCAACGGGGGTTCCTGTAACGGTGTTTTCACATACCATCATTTGTTTTTATCGGTCTGGGCATGTTCGAGAAGTCGTAGCTGCGCTCTGGCGGCTACTGTCAGTCTTAGTGTCCAGTATAGTTTGGGCGTTGCTTGTTGCATTCGAATGGGTGTTTGGGACACGACGGGGCCATGCGGCCATCATACCCAGTAAAAGCGTGTAAGGGATTCAGTAGTACTTGCGGAATCATGAATCGATTGTTAATGCAGTTTCTACAAATTATGTTGTGTTATGATGGTAGGCGTGATGCGGGGATCTCGGAGGTTTGCACGTTCTGCGCTACTGTTCAGAGCGAGCAAAGGCCCGTGCACGACATTTCTGAATGCCAGGATTCTGGTGCATCAGCATCGTCCATGACCTCGGACGACACGCCGCAATGCTTCCAAGTAGAGGGCTCCGGCCTGCCCAATTCGGTCCCCTGGCTTCACGACAATCTTTAATAGCCTCATCAAAGGCAACAAGGAAGGTGCGCATACTCATACAAGCCATTGCCCACTTTGCCCGGCGTCCCGCACATGGCAAGCATGCATGCTTTTCGCGACGACGACACTTCCTTTACAGCTACACAACCTGTTTCATAGAGATACTAATTGTAGTAGTTCTCCTCGCTTCCCCGAACCGCCAACCTCTCGGTACCGACATGTCGAACAAGCCCACTTCAGTCAGCCCAATGGAGGACAGGCGCAACTGGGATGCACGATGCGTTCCTGCGCACCTCTTCCGTCCGCTACGCTTCATGGTATGCTCCTTGGAGCTGGGGAAAATCTGGTGGCGCTGTCGACGCCAGTGCCATGTCGCCTCCACAGCAAGTCCCAATCGCCAACTTTTCCAATAATCCGACGTCCGAATTTGTAGCAGATGCAGAACCCGTTACCACAGCCACACCCGAACTTGCGCCTGCAGGTATCGACAAGGCTGCTGTAGTGGATGGAGCGTCTGATGGAGCGAGTCCAATTGCAGAGAGCGCAACCACCACCAGCAACCCGCAGACACTCGATGAACTCTTTGGCGTAGACCCAGTGAAGGATACCCTCCCCCCTGATGCTATCGAATTCGACCCTACGCGCCTGATCGATCATGTGGGACAAATGAAGGAGATGGGCTTGGACTATGGTTATGGTATGACGACACTCATGCAACAGGGATTAGAGGCCATCTACATATCGTCAGGCTGGGGCTGGGCCGGAAGCATCATGGCGGCTGCTGTGGCCGTTCGCTGCGTTACCTTTGCCCTCCAAGCGATGACTTCGGACAAGGCAGCAGTCATGGCATCTTTGGGCCCCATTACCAAGCCTCTGCAAGACAAGATGGAAGATGCCATAGCACGCGGCGACAAGCAGGCAGCCGACATGTATAGGATGCAACAGCAGGAAGCCATCAGACCCTTTATAGGCGGCATGGCTTCGATGGGTGGCTTCATGATAGCCCAAGGTTGGATTGGCATATCTGCCTTTCGGCTTATGAGGGCCATGGCCGAACTTCCAATACCTGGAATGACGACGGATGGATTCCTGTGGTTTTCCGACTTGACAACTCGCGACCCATACTTTTTTCTACCGGTCGCTACTACCGCCATGATGTACACCGTCTTCAAGGTACATATTTCGTTTTCCCCTTTTTGTATTCTGCGCTTGCAACAATGGCTAATTTGAACAAAACAGTTGGGAGGCGAGACCGGTCTACAAACTGCGAGCAAGAGCCAAAAGACCATGATGACTGTAATGGCGTTTTTTCTCGGCGCGGTCACTGCGTTCCAGGCCGCGGCTATACAAATCTACTTCTTCACGTCGGCCCTCTTGGGTGGTATGACGGGTTGGCTACTCCGTCAGAACAAGTTCCGTCGCTTCATTCGCATCCGCCCTATCCCCAGCAAGGAGAGCCTCGAACTTTATACCCCCATTGTTCAGGGCAAGATGAAGTTGAGCAATATCAAGACTACTACGGGTAGTAGCAGAGTCCGGTACCAGGCGCCCACGCCCAGGTCATCATCAGGCACCACTCGCCGCTCCCTCTCTGACATCAAAATCAAAGCCGACGCTCCCCTGCCTGCCCATCTAAAACCAGAGGCCAAGCCTATCAACCGCGAGAGACCTGACCGTGACGTGGATTACGAAGAGGGTACAAAGGGTCTGACAATACCCGAGAAACTGGACTACTACAGGCGCAACTACCGGTTGAGTTTTATCTACAGAAGGATGAACAGTGGTGCAGATGCTTGGATGAGCAAAATGGGGTATGGGGGGAAGAAGATGACGCCGGAGCTGGCGAGGAAGAAGAAGAGGGAGGAGGATTATGAGATTGAGCGAAGGAGGAGGTTCGAGAATAGGTCGTAGTCAGATACTGGCGAGTGAGTGACCTGAATGGGAGCTGTGTATGATATATATGCACGAACGGCGCGACTTGAGGTGTTTCAATCTTGTTCATTTTTTTGCGAAAAGGGAAATTTCACCTCACCTCAAATGGATAAAGGGACGAATGGGGGAGTCAGCACTGTGGGTGTGGTGTAGTGTAGTATAGTAGAGCTGTTTCTTGTACGAATATTCGGAACGTCATGTGTATGCTCCTGTATCTTGATGCTTTGTTAAGACATTTTCGTGTCTTTCTCTCTCTCGATGCTAGTTTGGTGCTCCTCATGCCACCGCCGCGTGTTCGCATGTCTACATGTTTATCTCCCCTCCTGTGATTGTATATATCCACCCTTCTTACTCCATCGAAGTATACATATCCATCTCCTGTCCATTCCGCCGTCTCCTCTCCACAGGATCCGCACGCATCTCTACACCAGGACCTACACGACGGGAATCCGAACCTGAGCGGTGCGTGGGAAATATCTGTTTGTGGCGCGAAAAATGTTGGTTAGCATGATATCCTTTCAAAACGCGGCCCAAATAGCCCCTTCCCCTTCCCCCTCCCATCACCACCACCACCATACAGACTCCAGACCACACACATGAGAAGATTTCACATACCTTGGTCCCACTCCACCCCAACCGATACGCAGCTTCATTCGCAACCAACTCGCCAAACCCAAGCATCAACCCGTTGATAAATGGCAGGAGGAGATTAATTGCTGCGCCGCGGAGTAGGCCCCATAGTGTGGGTGGTTTGTACAGGATCAGGGGGGATGATGTGGTGGTGTTTGTGCTGCTGGAGGTGCTGGAGAGTTCGTTGTTGGCGTCGTAGTTTTCGCTGTCCGAGGGGATGGTTATTCCCGAGGAGGTTAGGTTGGGGCTGGGTGATGTCATGTTGCGCGGTGGTGGTGGTGGTGGTGGTGGTTGCGATGGTTGCGATGGTTTGGGCGACGGGAGCCCCACGCGGAGGTGATGCGGAGGGTACGTTTTCGTGAGTGTGAGTGGGTTGTGAGGTGTGAGGTGTAATTGGCCAGCAAGTACAATGGGGAGATGGGATTGAGACGTGTGGTTTACGCGTTTCCCGCTGGTTGGTCACGGGATGTTTCTGAGGCAGGTGCTGGATGTGGTGTTTGTGAGGCTCAACTCAATTCCGGTCTTGGCGCTGCTGCATCGGAACTTTGATGCAGGAAGGGGTTGGATTGGGAGTTGTGCTGTTCACGACGAGCCTGGTAGTTTCTGGGGCTTTTTCTGACCTTAATCCTGTGGATGTGATTACAAGGTCAAGATTTCTTTCATCCACTCTTCACCGTTCCTTGCTACCGTGAAAGTCCAAGGTGAAGGAGCGACGTCACCAGCTTCCGCTTGAGTAAGAGCCCGCAGTTAACCTTGGACCCCTCCACAGCTACTACACTCACTCAACTGCGCTACCCACTACATCAGCCTATCACTAGCTCCAGTCCAACACAACTGCTTGTAATGTCTGAAGCTGCACCCAACAGAGACGCGCAGATTGCAGAGCTCGCTAATCTCACTGGCCTTGACGCGGCAACGGTATGCAGAAGGTCATGGAAGCTATTAGAGCTGCTCACTAACTCACTTCAAAGGCCGAACGCTACCTAAACGCATCCAACGGTGATCTCGGTCTCGCTGCGACTCTCTTTTTCGACGAGTCTACTGAACAACAAGACGCTACTTCTGAGCCCGACGTCGACATGGCCGATTCCGATCCAACACCCGATCCCACGCAGAACCCTCCGCCACCAACAAGCGCTGGCGGCGGACGCACTCTTGGTGGCGCGTACGTTCCTCCTTCACAGGCACCAGCAGCAGCATCATCATCATCTCGGCCTGCCGCTGGCCGTGGACAGCCCACACAACGAGGTGTGGCAGGTGCGAGGACGCTGAGGGACTTGCAATCAGGTGGCGGACACGGACACGCCCACGACGACGATGATGGCGACGACGGACCGGATGAAGAGAACCAGGACTTCTTTGCCGGTGGCGAGAAGTCGGGCCTAGCAGTCCAAAACCCCAACCAGTCGAATCCTCGCGATCAGATCAACAGCATCCTAAAGCGGGCACGGCAGTAAGTCGCTATACTTGCTTGATGCAAGTCATCAGGCTAACATACCCAGGAATGCTCCCCGACCGGGTGGTGACGAAGAGCCGCCAACCAGCTCATTCTTCCGTGGTGCTGGTACTACGCTGGGCGGTGACGATGCTCCCTCACGTACGATCCCGGACCCCAACGCCAATATCCCCGCACCGCCCCCGCGCGCTCATCGCGAACTCCATCTCTGGCGCGACGGCTTCTCGGTCGATGACGGCGACTTGTTCCGCTACGACGACCCGGCTAATGCGCGCACGCTTGAGATGATAAACACGGGCCATGCTCCGCTACACATTCTAAACGTTGAGCACGGGCAGGAAGTGGACGTCGAGGTACATGCGCACAAGGATGAGGACTATGTGAAGCCAAAGAAGAAGTACGTTCCTTTCTCGGGAAACGGAAACAGACTTGGTAGCCCTACCCCTGGTGCAAGTTCATCGGCTAGTACCATGCCGCAGCCGGCCTCAGGGAGCACGGCGGCCTCGACCTCGGGAGGCTCTGCGCAACCTACAGTTGACGTGGATTCGTCGACGCCTACGCTTACGCTACAAGTTCGCCTCGGTGATGGCACACGGTTGTCGTCCCGGTTCAACACCACACACACCATCGGCGATGTCTACGACTTTGTGGACAGGGCTAGACCGGATAGCCAGGGTCGCCAGTGGGCGCTGATGACGACATTCCCTAGCAAGGAGTTGACTGACAAGTCGCAGGTGCTAGGTGACATTGCAGAATTCAAGCGCGGCGGTGTTGTGGTGCAGAAGTGGAAGTAGGAAGCGCTGTACGTCGGTGTGCACTCGAGTCAAAAATTGCCGGAATGGTGCGGGGCACGGGTAATATCAAGATAGCAGAAGCGTTGGGCTGATGGTGATCACAAGTGGATGATTGCACGACTGCATCAGCATCATGCATCGATGCAGAGAGCGAGGCGTTGGTAGACTTGGGAAGGTATTTCGACGTGACATGGCAAATGCCGAAATAGCATAACTTGAGATAAACATCGATGCTGCACGTTGCACGTTGCGACGTTGCACAATGGTTACGCACTCTAATCTGGCATACTGCATTGCATTTACATGTGTCGCACGGCTTGAGTTTACTTTGTTAATAGTCGGCCTCACGATTGGTTGTGATCCGCGGCGCATCTACATGTTTAGATACCGTAGCTTCACGTGTTGGATGTTAGAACTTGCAAGGACGCTTATACCTAGGTGATCTAATGCGCCATTTGGACAAACGGACCGAACAGAGTGGTTCTTGATATCGGTTGAATTGTGTGAAATGACGAGGGACTAGGACAAAATTTGCTGCTGCAAGGTGATAATGCGTCATGTGCTTCGGTCCTGCTCTTATCTCTAATTGCACCTTTTCCGTCTCGAGAGATGAAAGAGAAGCTTTCTCCGGATAGATGAGTAGCGGCATGGTGCGACGGGGTCGCCGCTCGGAAGTTTTTTTGTGAAACGCGCAAGCACTGGCTGGAGGGCAGACAGGCCAACAGTCCCATGTGCCAATGCGCGCCCAGCGGCTCCCGCCATTCGTCACTCGGCGATCCAACTGGTGTGCAACGCGTCAGCCATTCATGGAGTACCCTGCGGCACAGTGCGGGAGGCGGTACGAGGGTTGAGGGTTAAGTGTCAAAACCGATGGGGATACCCAGATCGACACAGTCCGACAAGGCTATGGCCGCGTACTGCCGTTTGAGACTGTTCGACGCTTCTGCAATTTCATACCCTGTCAACGAGACTTGGGGTTCCGCGTTTTCTTCCCACTCGTCATTTCATCTAGCCATTTCCATCGCCGTATTCGCCTTTCTTTCCACGTCTTTCCTGCCATTTCTACTTACACTCCTTTGCATCTACTGGCCCCCACGTGCGCCATATCTACGACGTCCAACGATACCGTACTTTGACCACCTTGACCGGCGCTCCTACCTACCTTCTTCAACCAAGTCGGCCCCGCCTTCGCTTCTACTGCATTGGCTCCAGAGCTAGCGACGCTGGGCAGCTACTTTACTAGACACTTGCAATTGCCCACCACGTTCCTTACAAACTGTCCGAGACGAGACGAAAGTCCTCTCGCATTTGCGCCCACGCCTTAGCACATCAAGCGATGCAGCTTTTACACTATCCGTAAAGCTTACGAAACACGTCTACTACGATACCGCAATACGTTAGTACACAAACGACTAGGAACCATACGAATACGACAAACATTCACACCAACCATGTTTGTTCGATCACCTCGCAGGTTTGCGATTCTTTCTTCTTTGGCATTTGTTTTCATCTTCGCTTTGCTACAGCATAGCCCATGGTCGCACGAGAGGGTCTACGAGCGCATGCCGCTGTTTGACCAGGGGCAAAGACCGGGTCACCAGGAGCTGTTGCACGAAGGACCAGGCGGATCGCAAACGCATCTTGACGATGCCTGGCAACATGCGGTGCCCATACCTGTTGTGAAGCCAACCGCCGCCACTACACCTCCAATAGTCGCGGATCACAAGCCCTACAAGGAGCCCGTCAAGGAACCCGTCAAGGAACCCGTCAAGGAACCCGTCAAGGAGCCTGCCACGCCACCTACAAAGACGAAGCCCTCTCCACCATGGCTGACGGCGCCTTCGAGAATCGGATCCTTCATCCCTCCCTTTTCGCGGCCGACCAACATGAAAAAGTACATGGAGAAGATGCTGCAGTGGCCGCGACCGAGCTGGGACGGCCATTGGCCGCCGTTTGCTGACTACATTGGCAAGGCGTACGACCCGAACCGCTGGGAGCAGTTTGACATGTAAGACCTCGTATTCACGTACGCGAATGGGAGTTCTAACAGTGCACAGGGATTATCGCGTATACGAGTCAGGCCACGACAAGCTCAACGAGACTGTCGCGTCTGAACCGATTGCCTACAAGCCTTTCCCCAAATACAACACTCCCGAGTGGAAGCAGAAGTGGCATGGCGAATACGTGGCTTGTCTGGGTCCGCGTGGTGTTCCACTAAACGAGAGCACCGACGACGAAGTCCAGGTCTATCGCGGAATCCCCGAGAACTTTCCCCCGGTTTACGCTGGTGGCTATGATGTCATTGGCCTGGATGATGATGTCTGCTTCGACCGATACTCGCGATACGGGCCGTATGGATATGGCGACAACGAGTTCCCCGAGGAGGTCAAGCACTGGAAAGCGCCCGCGACGGTCCCCGAGTGGAGCGAGGTGAACTGGGGCGCCCTACAAGACGACTGTCTCCAGCGGAACAAGAACCGATTCCGACCAAGCGCCAGATCGCCCATTGTCAAGATCCCTAGCACCGTCTTGCCTGAGCCTGCGGCGGCTTCGTCTGCGTTTGCCATCCCAACAGACACCAGCAGGAGTAACCTCGAAAACCGGGAGCCCAAGAAGAAGTACCATCACCGCACAGCCATTCTCATTCGTGCCTGGACTGGTTACAACTACGAGGAAAACGACATTACCGCGATTCGTGCCATGGTCTCTGAGCTCTCCCTCCAATCCGGTGGCGAGTACCAGGTCTACCTCTACGTACACGTCAAGGACCGCAACGTGCCCATCTTCGACAGCCAGTATGAATACGACCGCATATTAAAAGAAAACGTACCTGAAGAATTACGCGACATAGCGATACTATGGTCAGAATCTATCTTTCCGAAATGGTATCCCAAGGTTATGGACTGGCAAGTTTATTGGCAGCAATTCATGTGTCTACAGTGGTTCAGTCTTACCCACCCCGAGTTCGACTACATCTGGAATTGGGAGACAGACGCCCGCTACACGGGACACCATTACCATTTCTTCGAAAAGATTAGCGAATTCGCGGATAAGCAGCCCCGCAAGCTGCTGTGGGAGCGCAACAAGCGCTACTACCTCCCGAGCGTGCATGGCGACTACCAGTCGTTCGTCGAGAACACGCACAGGGATGTGTTGAATGCGTCGGCCAACTCGCTTATCCCACCACCCGTGTGGGGACCACGGCCATGGGCACGAGCGGACCCCCCGCAGAAGCCGCTGGGCCCGACGCCGCCAACGACCATGGAAGAAGACGACTTCGAGTGGGGCGTAGCCGAACCCGCAGACTTCATCACCCTACTCCCCATGTGGGACCCCCGCAACACAACATGGTCGTACAAGGACAAGATCTGGAACTACCTCCCCTACGTCCGTCCCATCTTCACCCCGGAAGACGGCCAGGCAGATTGGTTCACGCACCCGGACTTTGAGCAAATCGACCGCCGCACCTTCATCAACACCGTCGTGCGCTTCAGCAAGAAAATGCTACAAGCCATGCACGAAGAAAACCTCGTCGGCCGCAGCATGCAAGCCGAAATGTGGCCCTCGACCGTCGCCCTCCAACACGGCCTCAAAGCTGTCTACGCCCCGCACCCCATCTTCAACGACCGCCACTGGCCGCCCGCATACACAGAAGCCATCTTCGACTCGGCCCACTCCGTCGACGAGGAAACGGGTGAGAGCCTCGAACCCCGCCAGGGCGCTTGGACAGAAGAAGCAGATTCCTGCTATAACCACGACCGCGAGTTCAACTTCCAGGGCTGGAGCTGGTACTATGCGTCGAGGTTCCCGCGGAATCTGTACCGCAGATGGCTTAATTGGCCGATTGTCAAGCAAGGGTGGGGTGAAGCTGAGAAGATTGATGGTGGGCCGGGTTTTGATGGCGCGTTGGAGCAGAAGAGGATGTGTATGCCGGGGATACTGCTGCATCCTGTTAAGCGCATGGCTAAGGATGCGGAGAAGCCTTGATTTCTCTTTTTGTTGGTTGTTGTTTGTTGGGGTTATATGGGCATTTTGATCTCTTCTTTTCTTCTGTGTTCTTACTACTTGAGCGGTACTGTTGTTTTATGATCATAGCAGTGAGCCTCTCCATGATGCTTTTTTTTGAAAGGCGCTTTATTTTAATCCTTTTTTGGGGGGGAGGGGGAAGTTAAACTTGACATCAGGTCGGTTTGATACTATCTGTTCTACTTGGATGGATATGTGGGGATGGATGTGTATAGTACAAAGCCAAAGCCGAAGTCGAAGCTGAAGCCGAAGAGGGAAGAAGAAAGCCAGGAACCGAATAGACATAGATAGATGCCTTTGTTCCTTCCGAGAACAAACAGAGAGAAAGAAAGCGAGAGAACTTTTTTTTCTTCTTCTTTCTATCCTCATATGTTAAAGTACATCACATCCTCCTCCATTTTTTCTCGTTCTCGCTTCCCCGCTGCAAATAGGTACCTTTTTTGCTCTTTCTCTCCGTCTCGCATCCTGGTTCTTGTTTTCTTTTTTGTCGCTGTGTGGTGAGTTTCGACAAGGCTTGCTTTTTTGAGCGTGTTTCAGAGAGAGAGAAAGACGCTGCAGCGGGGATTGTCGTTATTGCATCGTCATGTTATATGATTGGTATGCATGGGGCGAGCAACGTTTGCCCAGGCGTTTGTTCGTTTGCTTGTGCATAGGAGGAGAGGGGTATGCTGGGGATAGGTGGTGCATGAATCAGTGGGGAAGAAGATAAGGAAGATGAGGAAGACGGTGGGACTGGGAGTGGGGCAAGAGCAAGAGCAAGATTAGGGTGGGGAAGAGAAGATGAGATAAGGAACGAGAGAGGAGGGGAGGGGAAGGAGTGGAGATGTGCATGTATAGATATAGATCTCACAATCGTTCTTTTTTTTCTTCTGAGCAATTGGATATACAAAAGCTTGTATACGTTAACCCTGCTCTGTTGTTGCTCTACGCGCTCGTTCTAGGTAAGCGTGAACGCTGCTTACTTACTATACCGGTCTGTGATGTCATCCCGTAGGCACATGCGGGTACTCGTATAGGGAAATGAGCTCGGAGGTCGGAGAGTAGATGCACACGGTCGCGCAGGGAAATGAGTTTACGCATGGCGCTAGTGTTGTGTTGTGTTGTGTGGAATGTCTGACGCAAGATTATATACATGTAGATCAGAGTTGGAGAGGAAGAAAGAATAGTGATTGTGTTAGTGTGATGACAATACGCAGATATTCGTGTTGGATTCAGGGAAATCTGGCGAATAATTTGCTGGGTTGGATGTGTGGATAATTCCGGACTACACCGGTGAAGTAAACAGACGGGAGGAGGTCTGGTAGGGTGAGTTGAAAGCGTGGGGATGGGACTAGTCGGTCTTCTTTTTTTTGTTCTAGGATGGGGCCCTTTTAGGTGCTTGGAAGATACTGTATAGACCTTTTTCTGAGTCAGCTTTAATCGCTGGGTAATATTCTGCCACCGGCTGCCGGTAAGGCAAGGCTGACAAGGCTGACAAGGCTGAGATTGATGCGGTGTAGCATCATGCTGTGCGATTTTATCCGAGCATGTGAATGGCTCGCTTGTGTCTGCATATGGCTCAGAAGAGACGGTCTGCTGATTTATTCATGCACGTAGTGATTGGAGATATTTCTCACGGTGGATGGTTCGAGAAATGCGGCGTGGTGAGGTGAGAGGAAGACATAAGGCTGGGGGCTGTTGCCTGTTCAGCCTGGTAGGCACGAACGTCGTTTTTCTTTCCTCATTCAATTGAAACGCAAGGCTATTTCAACTGAACCTTCACGAAAAGACATCGAGATGGCGAAACCGGATATTGGCGATCTTGATGCTAAGTTGAGAAGGATGGGTTTGGGGGAGGACGTGGCTGACGAGGAGTGGGCTGAGCCAGAGGTGACTACCATTGATGACGTTACACATGTCGCCTTCATTGATTCAAATTAGTGTTTGAAGAAAGAGGACGCCACCAAGCCCGAAACCCAGCCAGCTTTGATAGTCGCTGAGGATGATGTACCTGTTGCGCTTGTCAAGTCAGGAGCGCAGTTGACAAAACGGGTCGAAGAAATGTACTTGGCTCAAGAGGTGGAGGAAGTGCATGATTCAAATGCAGAGACCAAGCATGATGGATCTGACGTTACAAAAAGTCCCACGCTGTCCACGGGTCACCTTCATCGCCTTGTTGATTCACCCCAAGAGAACGCAAATAGTAGTTCCGCTGCCAAAATGTATATTGCTCGACTGCATAAGGAGCTGCGCCAAACCAAGAATGAACCCCAAGAATCGTCAGCTCGTAATGATGAATTGTCAAAGGATTTTGAGGGATACAAGGCCCTATTTAATTTTACCAAACAACTTTTAGACATCGGCAAGGCGACTACGCTAGAAAAAGAACTTGAGGCTTGCCACAATAAACTCGGAAAGTTGAAGGCCAAGAATCAGTATTTCGAACAACGCAACAACGAGCAACGATACTTGGATGGAAGATGCTTCTCCTCTTTACACGAAGATATTCGCATCCACAAGAAAGACGGAGACGAGAAGTCGAGAGAAGTCACCATAAGTATTGTTTTCACATTTCCAAAGCGGACCTACTTGTCGAATGGTTACCCAATGGAACAACAGGACGATTGTGCTGTCGGCTACATGAGATTTAAGGGCTACATATACCTTGCTCGTTCTGGAACTCAAGGCGACCCAACTGGTTTCATCAACAGAAACCATTGGACTACGGCTGCCGAGCAACTGGCTAATTTGGTAGGCATCTCGAATATCGAACGAGGGTACGCTAGTCACGTAGAACCTCAGTTGATGGCTTTCTACATTACCGGCATGCTCGAGGAATCGGGCAACAGACTGAAGCACTTTGGCGAACCACATACATTTCAAAGACATTCGGATCTTAAGATACCCATAGACATCTACGTCAGCCAGGAGATATGTTGGTCGTGCAGTCTTTTCATCGACAAAGTCAATGTTGTAATGTTGAATCATGGACTCTCTTTTCGCGCAGTAAATGCGGGTAGTTCATAGTTAGAATCATGTCCGAAATGGCTTGATTTCGGTAACTAGTTTTCTACTGATTGTATTTGTTGAGTTCAACGACTAAAGAACTCTAGTAGAACTCGACAAATCCAGTCTCTTATGTGAAAAAGACACAAGATCGTGTAAGTATAGCCTTACGCGCCGCTACTAAATCAGTGCAACTTGCTATTCCTGCAGATGGAATACAAATGGCTATTTCACACGTGAATTTAGAATACCACACGCCGCGTTATAAAAGTGTGGTGTATATCCACATGTTTACGCACGTATAACCCTCAAAAAATCAATAAGCTACCACATAATGAAATCCGATACCCACTTCTGAGTCTTGAAAAGAAGAACAACTAAAAAGTAATGGATTTGGAAGAATACACGAGACTTCGTAAGCATACTCACGAAACGCATGGCTGAATGTTGCTGATAATCATCATGTGATAAGCAAACACGCAGGACAACTCATATACAGCCTCAACGCGGCAGAGATCCATGAGAACGCAAACCGAAATCTCAACTGATAGTCATGGCGACTCATCCCCTAATTGAAGTACTGAAACAACCATGGTCTGCGACTGCCCTTACGCCAGATCAGGAGCAAAGGGGAGCAGATGTGGCCAGTGCTAAAGAGCTTTGGAATAAGGTTATGCAAGATTTCCGCGCACGAAAGGACGAAATTACCAAAGACTTATTGGAAAAGGATAACGGGAATAATGAAAATGAAACACGCCATGTTGAGCAGCCATTCTGCTTCATGGATCTGCCCGGCGAGATACGCGACATGATCTATGACTTTAGTATACAGGACGATGCAGTCATGCGTCAGCGCCGAGTTCGTGAAGAGAGTTTCCGTAGATGCCTGTTGAACAGGTCCTTCGGCAGCCCATCTTGGTACCATATACGACAACATACCGCGCGTGCTAGAAAACAGGAGGACATAGAATATACCCGAGAGCAACTGGACAGAAAAAATGAATTGCGCAAGCTCCGCAAAGCCAAGAAGGAGAACGGATTAACTGATGGGTGTTGCGAAGCTTTTGAAAGGTACTGATTAGAATACAATATGTATATCCGCCGATGTGCACACGAAACGCATGATCATGACAGGATAGTGCATATGAACTCCAGAGGCAATCTATGCGATGATGTGCCCTTGCTCTCACTTGTTAACAGACAGATTTTTCATGACACCTTTTACCTTTACTACTCCAGAAAGCGCGAGGGGCTATGGTTTACGTGGACAGTCAAGAACCTGGACTTCTTTCATTTCCTTCGCTTCTGGCAGTCGCTCATGACGCGTGGGGACCACTCAGTGGAGATAAAGCCCGAGGAGGTGCATCTAAAGTTTGTCGACGAAAACGAAATGAAGGATATAGTTCTACATGACCGAAAGTTCGAAAACGTCAAAAGACTTGTGGAACTGCACTGGCTGGAAGGCTTTCCTCTGTGGGGTCGTCTTACTGGCTGTACCGACTTTGAGGATGACAGGGGCCCATTCTTCGACTGGATGTATTCGGTTCGCCAGATCGTGGCACTCTACCGCGTCAATCGTGAGACGTGGAAGAGTCATTCCATCAAACATCTCCGTAAATGTGAGGATCTGGACGACGATGAATCACTAGAGACAAATTTTCCGGCACTAGCAGACGTTGAGCTCGTCGAGAAAATCATTGACATGCTATGCTACGCAATTGAGTACAACCTGGGATATAGAGGCAACTATACGCTCTTGGGTCGTGACGGTAAAGAATGTGACAAGGACGTCTTCAAGGTCTTTTGGTATAAGCGCAATCATCGCAAGATTGCTCTAGAAAGGGAACATGCTTTTGTGCATCATGTGCGCCAGTATCGCAACAAGATCGACAAAGAGCTAAGAGATCTACTTGGAGAGACATATGGTGAGTGGGAAAGGCTCGCAGATGACATGAGCTATACCGAGCTTTTTCCAGCTTGGATCTTGTGATTGGCTTTGGGTTCGCATGACCAGGAAGAGAGCCATTCCGGTGACTCTCGATATTAACGTCAAGCTGGAACTGATAGTGTCAATACAAGCCATTTATTATCTGTTTTGGTGTCTGATATATATGGCCAAGAGATGATTTGCCATGTTTCGGTCTGGACAATGCGGTTTGTGAAAACCTTGATGCCTAGGTACGTAGAAGAAACCTAGCACACCACAGATGAAGGCAACAGCGAAGGGCTCTCTATTATCGGTCTCTAGTTCAACTGTGTTCATGCGATATATCCGCAAAATCCGCATTTAGTCTCGGTGATGTCTGACTGGACCAATCAACGAGAGCAGTAGTGCCTCGGCCGAAGCTCACGTGACAGAGATTGTCAGCATCAAGCATGGTCTACCGAATCGGGAAGTCCAGGCCGTCTGTCTCGGAGATGCGCTGTAGGTGCCTAGAGGCCGCTTAGGTATAGCAAAGAATCTGGAATCATTATAATCCAAGACTGAGGCTTCATTCTCCACCTTTAACCCAGCGATGCCGAATCGGAAAGAGCGGAGCTCATCGTCATACTTCTTGCCGGATGTGTCGATCACCGAGTAGATTCGAATAACTAGACGCAGTCGCAACACATACACATACCTTAATCTTCTTACCTCCACAAACCTCAATACATTACCAGGCATCAACATGGCGTCCCCAAAACTCATAGTACATCATCTTCAGGTCGGCCAAGGCGAGCGCATCCCATGGCTTCTCGAGGAACTCGATATCCCATACGAGTTGAAACTCTACAAGCGCGCATCTCTCCTCGCACCACCTGAGCTCAAGGCAATCTACCCCATGGGCGCAGCACCCGTTCTCGAAGACCACACAGATGCCAGCAATCCCATCAAACTTGCAGAGACTGGTGCCATCTGCGAGTACGTCATCCACAAGTACGCCAATGGACGACTGGCTCTCGGACCGCAGCACAAGAACTTTGCCGACTACCTTTATTGGTTCCACTTCGCAAACGCTTCGCTGCTATCTGGACTTTACAGGAGAACCATGTCCCGTGGTATGGTCGGCGAAGAGGACCCCAGATACAAGAACAACGACAATCGTGTTCATATTGCGCTAAACCATATCAACAACCAACTTCTCAGCAACACTTGGCTCGCCGGCGATGAGTTTACTGCTGCGGACATCATGAATGGCTGGTGCTTCACCACGATGCGGAAGTTTGAGTCAATCGACTTGACCGACTACCAAGGCATCATGGCGTGGCTGGGACGCGTGGGACAACGTGAGGCCTATAGACGCGCCATGGGCAAGTCTGACCCAGACCTCGACATAGATTTGGGACTCACCGCGAAGGGTCCGCGGCTCGATGAGACGTGGGAGAAGGCTATGGCGATGAAGCCGTAAGTCTTTCGTGCGGGGTGCTGGAGATGTGTGGCTGATGGTAGTAGGAGAAGGGAGAAGCTGTGAATAAGAATTACGGCCTTGTATACATATCAACCCTACTTAGCAATGAACGACTACTCCTAATCATATCACGCCCTGGTGGTGATGTTGGATAAAGCAGCAGAGGGTGCATCGGAACCAGCCGGCAGCGTCTTGCCGGATCCACTTTGAAGCGAGCGCTCAGGTACGTACGACAACACGCCATGTCGCCAACCACATCACGGCCACCTGATCAGTCACACCACTTAATCGGCCCCGAAACGCGTCGCATCATCATCGACATAGTCATGTAGTTACCATAATCAGGTACCGTCGCGTGACCATGACCTGCAATCGAAATAGCCATGGCGAGCGGGGTTCCACCAAACAGGCAGTGGTACAATGAGATCACATAAAGCCTTGCTGACCCCTCACGGGAGAGCACCTCCGCATTCTGCGAATAGCTACATATACAGCTCCCAGCTCTGAAGAACCTTGAATCTCGTTCACTCTGCTTCAATTGAAGTCTACTTTACTGCTCAACTACTATTCTACCTCCAGCTACAGCTTCTCGATATGGCAGCAAAGTACTCCCGTCGGCCCAGCTACCTGGAAGGCCCGCTTTCCCCTTCCATTATCCCCGATCTTGCGATCCTACCCCAGCCCCTCCCTGCAGACAAGCTCCCCTGTGGACAGCTCGTGTCCAAGACATCCAAGCATACACCCAAGGTGCTCGAGGACCGCGACTACGACGACATAGGCACACGATGGTACGGTAATTCCCATCCCGAACCTATAATGCTCTCTACTGACCTTGTTTCAGGTACAAAGACGTCATCTTCTTCAACGCCGACAACGGCCACTTTGTCGAAAGCTTCGGTGGCACCCACCTCCTACAGAAACCACTCGACAAGGGTACTGAAGCCGGCACCATTGAGGCAGATGAACAAAGCGTCCGTCTACTCAAGGATGCAGAGGCTGCTTTGAAGAAAGTTTGGAAGGACGAAGAAGCTCGGAAGTGGATCAAGGAACAGGATGAAGCCGGCTTTGTGGTCGCTCATCGCAAAGTCTCCAACGCCAGCTACAAGCGTGCTCGGCTCGTGGACATCGGTAATAACAACTGGGAGGTTGTGCGCGAAGTTGGGGGCGAGGATACGTCGGGAAAGCGGAGGGACTCGGGCTTGCCGGTAGAGACGAACAGTAAGTGGGATGTTGTTGGGGTTGTGGTAAGAAAAATTATCGTTGATGGTGATGATGCTAAGCTTGGGGAGGAGTTGGGTGCTCAGTACTGGAGCTGAGTATAGTGCTCTCAAGTCCCTTTTGTTAGTGTCGGCGTTGAGAGCATGGATGGCTGAGATGTCTTCGTTCTAGCGTGTATGTAACTACTATGAAGACGATTAAAAATGTTTGACACTCTGAGTCTTATTGTGTCACGTCTAGAGAAGGTGTGCCTTGGACTGTGTATACTGTACGATGCCTGGCGTCTACATCCATGATATCGTACTTGAGAGTGAGGTGTTCTTAAAGTCAGTGCTTGGAAATCAGACATGTTGGGTGTATCTTTAGCTAACGAACCGGAGTGGATGATTCTGTGGTTGGGCTTCTACATTTTCTCAGCCCAATACTTTGCGAGCACAAGGGTAAAATAAGTCCCGCAATTCAATGTCATCGAAAAAACCTCTGGGTCAACCATCTTTTCTACCATATACCGCGATCATCAAACTTGCACGAAACCAAGCAGGTAAAAAGAGCCAAATTTCAGACAAACTCTCCCCTCCCCGTTACTCCCCACTCTCCACTCCCCATACCAAACTGGATGGTTTCCTGATCTTTCTAAAATCGACAACAAAATGCCCATTAGTCTTTTTCCAGACATGCGGGCAGCGATACTTCAAGTCGGCTATGCTCGCAGCCAGAGCTTCGGCGCACTCGTACCATGGTGTACCGACTATCTCGGGTAGGCAACGCTCGCACACGGGTTTCTCATAGGCAAATTTTTCGCCTACGTCCTTGGATATGGCCTGCGATACAGTCCATCGGCCACACGCGCCGACGCATATGATCTGGTACTCGCTGGTGGGTGGCGAGGTCAAGGGTGGCAAGTCGTAGGTGGGTTTCTTCTTTTCTTTCGTGGCGGAGGTGGTGAGTGCGATGGTGAGGACGGTGAGAATGGAGCTGAACTTCATTGTTGCGTTCTATGAAGGGGGTTAGTGGGTGGCTGTTTGCGGAGGGAGTGGAGTTGCAGTACTTTTGGGAGTTGTTGTTGGATGTGGTGTTTGAATATTCGTTCGTGGTGGTTTCGATAGGTTGTCTCTGGTCGAAGAGATGGAGAGGATGATGTGGGAATGGGATATATTCGATCTGGGATAGAAAAGGTAAAGTAAGTGTTGAAGGTGATCTGAGGACTTTATGTGTAGTTCGCTAGACTAGGGGTATTGTACCATGGGAGGTAAGAGTGAAAAAGCTTGGTAGAGTTCTCGTCAAAATCATGTACCATGTTGGATATTCTTTTGGCAAAATTACCAGTAACGCTCGGCATTTGCACCACAGACTTCTGGTTGTGCTTGTAATATATGAGAGCAGTGTAGAGAAATGATGAGCTTATGACCCTGCTTCCGTGCGTGGCATCTCGTCTCCACCTCAACGCCCAATCTCTCACCAATCCTTACCCCTAATACGTAGCAAATACAGTGCGAACTGAACCCTGTGACAGACAGTTCCTTCAACCACTGCTTGGAAACGCAGTAGCCATGTGCTCTTAGCGCAATCAATTTTCATGCCTATTACCCTATTACTGAGATCACAGCAACAAGAGTAGTCCAGCTTGCCGGCTCCTATGGTTCGTGCACTGAACGTCGTGTATGTTTCGGCCGATGGAATAGTCGAAAATAAAATCAACCAGAAGTGTCTAGGAGAGTGTGATGTCGCTACCAGTACCATCTCCGTTCTGCTCCATTCTGACATCATCTCCATCTCCTCCTGCTAGGACTTTTGTTTGGGGATGATATCCGTCGGGTGCGCCTGAACCAGGTGTGCAAGCAGCGACGTTGCCCTTTTCGTCGACAAACTCAAAGTTGTAGCGGGATAGAAGGTGCGGAATGGCCGACAGTTGGGGTCCATAACGTGCGGTGTTATCATACAGTTCGAATAGCGGGACAGCCAGGAGTTTCATGTTCTTGGGGACGCTCAAAACCTCTGCCAATTGTTAGTGCCAATACTAGTAGTAAAAGAGTGAGTAAGCCAACATACTGCTACGTGGAAGCTGGATGAAGTAGAGCTTCTTGCACTCTTTTGGCCTGGTGACGTGCGCGGGTATGAAGGGATACATAAACGTCTCAAAATTGGGGCGCCACCATTGCGCCAGTGTGTCACCAACTACCCACTCATCGTTGACGCCCTCGCCAGTGAATTGCGTGCCGACGGGTGCGAGGCGCTCGTTCAGCCTTGCCTTGAAGCCCTCAATTTCGTCGTCTTCGGCACGGAGATAATCGCCGGGGCTATGAAATATAAGCGCTACTCTGATTGAATACCACGAGTACTTACAGCTTGAAGAAGGCGTTTGCGATCTGCAGCATGAGTATGTGCGGGTGGTTGTGCTCGTGACATACTAGGATGCCCTCGCATGTGCGTCGCATACCATGCTCTGCGTAATGTTCTTCGAGTCGTTTCAATCGCGCAAGTACAGACGGATCTTCCTCTGGCTGGCCATCTTTGGTTCCGAACGTGTAGTTGCTGAGAGGGAACAGGCGGATGGTCTTGGGTTGATTACCGTTGAAGTCCTTGGGAATGACGGGTCTATCTTAATTAGCTTAGAAGATACACTTATGTTGCTAGACCTACGGGTATGAGCTTTGGGAAGCTTCCTTCACTATTGTGGACATTTTGTCTGTTATTGGGTGTGGATAGTTCGAGTTGCTTGCGACATCGCGACAGTCGAGCGGCCGTGGCAAGCTTGCAGGGATTCCACTTAGGGCTGTCTCGCTAGCACGTGACCGTGCACGGCTCTGTCCCCCACAGATGTCAGCATTGCTGACTACTCCATCTTTGGTCGCACCTACCTTGCTAAAGACGCCGCATTGGGTATCGGGACTTTTGACGACGTCAGAACTTGCTTACCACTTCCATCACGCTCGGCGCGGCCACCCCAACATTCTTGAGATTCACCACTTCCTCTGCAGCATCAAAGCGATGCAAACGGCATTAGTCACTGGCGGTAAAGAGTCCTCAAAGCGTTCAATGCTGCTGGCTGACCCAAGGTGAAGCCAGCGGTCTACTCGGCCGTCAAGTGCAGCGAGAGTTCCTCTTGGACGGTTGGAAGTCCGTTGGTACTGGCTTGAGCCGCATCGCGTCACCTGATGTTGTCAGGCTTGACATTTTGAATGAGAAAGAGATCGAAACTGTGCTAGATAATACTAAACCAGATGTCGTTGTTCATTGCGCTGCGAACCGCTTCCCGGACTCATGTACGGCGAATCCAGAAGCAGCCAGGAAACTCAATGTAGACTCCAGCCGAGCATTGGCCGAAGCTACCACCTCTAGAGATATCTTTCTCATATATCTCTCAACCGACTATGTCTTTTCAGGTCGACCTGGAGACGCGCCTTACAATACGGATTCTACACCTAGTCCTCCAAATCTGTAAGTGATATCACAGGCTAGGTCTCCCAAGCTGCTAGTCTACAGCAGTGTAGAGGGAGCTCACAGCAATCTTAGATACGGCCAGACCAAGCTTGAAGGCGAACAAGCCGTTCTCGATGTCGCAAGAAAGGCTGGTACGAAGAACCAAGTTGTTGTTCTTCGAGTCCCCATCCTGTACGGCTCTTGCGATGAGCCCAAGGAAAGCGCAGTCAATATCCTCATGTCGCAGCTGTGGAGTGCCCAACAAATTCAAGACAGCCAGCCTAAGGTCCAGGTAGATGATTACGCGCTTCGATACCCAACGAATACCCAAGATGTTGGCAGAGTATGTCGCGATATTGCGAAGCTGTATCTTGATCCAGTCAATGCGTAAGCCAACCCACAACTACGATAAAGTATTTCCATACACAGTCGGGATATACTGATGCGCCTAACAGAGATCGAGAGCTTCCTGGCATTCTCCAATTCAGTTCTGAGGATCGGATGACGAAGTGGCAGATCTGCCAGACCTTTGCCGATATCATGGGCCTGCCACTTGATAACATGGCGCCCTCCAAACCTGATGCCGAACCAAAAGACGGTACTATCAGGCCTTACGACTGCCATCTCGATACTAGCGCATTGAAAGAGCTAGGAATTGATGTATCAACTGTCGACTTCCGCGCATGGTGGTAGGTGCATATACACGCCTGTAACTAACATCGCTCACAAGCTTACAGGAGACGCGAAGTTGGGGCTTTCCGTTAAAGTATACATTGCACCAACTACCCATGGCCGTTGATAGTATGCTGTGCTTCTGTAAGGCGCGATGCGAGGCTGACATCGCGATTTGGGTCTCAAGGCGTGTCGCACCTGAAGCCACCCGTGCCTAGATCATTTCCTTAATGGTACAGTTGTTACCCACTTCCTGCGTATTTTAAGCCTCGCATTATAACGCAGGAACCGTTCTCCATCATAGTGTCCCGGGGATGTGGTTCTCGTCCGAATTAGGGTTGTGGTCGCTAAATGATTGGGTACGATCGAACCATGCGGCGCAGTCTCGCGCCTTCGGATTTCGGGGCGCTTATGCTCCACGAGAACGTCGTTAAGTACCTATCCCATCAACATGTAGAATGCGTCAATCTAAAGCCACCATTCCTTGCATTCGATTTCTTTCTCAGCATATTTTCTACTGTGGCACTGGATTGGTCACTCCATGTTTTTATACCATGTTCTCCTTTAGGAAAACCTCTCAACCTGTTGCCGCACCGCAACCTAGTGGTAATATCATCAAATCATTTACTTCGTTCTTAACAAAAAGAAAGCAAACCACAGGTACACAACACGAATGGGCACTTGGGTCAATGAAGACTAACGCATGGACAGTTGGGAAACAATCATCGTGGAAGCCAAGCGCATTTCATCCTATCACACTCATCGGTGCGATCGTGATAGCATGGGCTCTTATTGCAGTCTTGCAAGTTCTTCTAGTACACAGCCAGAAGAAGGGCGGCATCATTCTGGCGCCTACGACCGATGACATCCCCTTTGGACAATCCTTCTCTTACCTTTACCTCCCAACTATCCTCGCACTCTTCTTTAGCATATTCTGGAATTGGATTGACCTCCAAGTAAAAAGAGTGGAGCCATACTATCAGCTTAGTAGACCTGATGGTGCATGGGGCAAGGACAGCCTCTTGATAAGCTACCCGTTTGACTTCCTACCTATGGTCCCATGGAATGCTTTCAAAAGCAGGTGGGATTGACCGTCCCCATGTATTATGAAAGACAGGCTGATTAATATTAGGCACTGGGCTGTCTTTTGGGCCAGTACATGCGTCGTTTTTGTTACATGGGGCGTGGTTCCCGTTCAATCGGGCATCTTTACTACTGAGACAATTTCCCGAACTTCTCCTGCCCCGTTCCTCCGATCCGAGGGCTTTATGCCTGCAAGCAGACAGTCTGAGGACATCACTGCCCGCTACATTCAGTCTGTTCATGGCATCATATGGCTAAACGAAACCCTACCCCCATACATGACACGCGAGTACATCCTAGCGCCAATCAAACCAAGAGATTTCACTATGGAAGAAATCACCAACCTGACATGGACCTCGAACACGACACTATATAGCCTGGATATGAAGTGCGAAATACCGACTATTGATGCCAAAGACGAGACGCGCTTTACCGGCTTGAACTCCACACCAACCATCGTTCGAACGGCCACGTATATGAGCAGTAACGGCTGCGCTTTCCCTACCGATTATTACTTGAGCTTTGGCAATGAAACCATAGGTCCCAATGAGTCTTTCGATAACCAAACGACTTACGATACTAAAGAATTCGCGACAATGTATATTGGCTATTACAGTACCGAATGGGCTAATTTCTACCTTGAAGGGCTCTGCCCAGAGACATCAAACCATACCTTTATGGCATTGTTTACGCGAAACAAGAAGTCGGTCAATAATCCACCCCAGGATGTGACGAGGCTCTACTGTACACCTTTCTACTACCAACAGGAAGTCACCGCTATCGTCGATGCGTCTACTCAGAGCCCCCTCGACATAGAACGTATAGGCGATAAGGTACCACTTCTAGCTGATAAGTGGAATTCAACGTTTTTCGAATACCAGATGAATACCGGACGGAACAATGAACAGCCTCGTGGCGCATTACCCTTGAGATACTGGCCCGATCAACTAGAATCGGTCTCTGCTCTCCCGATCAGTTTGGGTGCACAAGGAACCCCTCTTAACCAAATGGCTGGGTTCTCCGTTGGTGCCACCAATCACTCAATGGAAGAGCTCTTGGATCCAGAAGCATTGAGAAGTGCATATGAAGCTACATATCGCATCATATTTGCTAGATCTATGGCACAGATCTTAGATCAGAGTTTTACTGATGCGAAAATCATTAATGGAAGCACAAGGTACATGATTGGCGCTGTAGTCGTCGTTCCGGTCTTCACCTACATCGTGGAAGGTTTGCTTGGATTCATCTCTCTCTGCAGTATTGCTCTTTTGATCATCTCTCTTCGCAGAGAATGGAGCTTGCATTCTGATCCAGCGACAATTGCTAGTGTCATGGCACTTGTATCTGACAATCCAGCTCTACTTGATGACTTCGCTACGCTTGATTGCATCAATATGGCAGATTTTGAATCGCACATAAAGGGCAAAAAGTTCTTGTTGGAGAATAGTGAGCGGGGCAACACGTAAGTCCCGATTCGATCAGTATCATAAGCCTTCGCTAATTATCTTGGTAGCATTGCGGAAGCAGACAGCTTTGACCCACTTGATACTAACTCCCATGGCATGGTTCGTACCGATTCAGACGACTCTCTGCACCTGAAACCAGTACGTCCGCGCGAGTTCCGATCGTTCATGGTTGTACCTTTCGTCACTCTTTTGCTTGGACTCGCAATTGCCCTAGGCGTTCTGTTGTTGAAGAGTCAGCCTCATGGTGAGTATGCGCATTCTTTTTCCATCTTGGCTCCTCTGAACAACATGCAGGTATTCCCAGATCGCCAAACACTATTGTACGGCAAATTCTAGAGAACTATATTCCCACTGCTCTCGCAACTTTGATCGAACCCGTCTGGGTCTTGATCAACCGCCTATTATGTCTGCTTCAGCCTCTGGAAGAGCTTCGTGGGGGCAAAGCGGCGGCGAAGAAATCCATCGATGCTGACTATAGTTCTTTGCCGCCTCAACTTGTCGTATTCAAAGCGCTGCGTTTATCGCACTTCAAGCTCGCTGCAGTTTGTCTAATGGCACTGCTTGCGAACGTTTTAGCAGTTGCATTTTCCGGAGTGTTCGAAGAACGATCTGTCACAGTCCCTCTAACGACATCGCTTATGCCACCATACGAGCCAAGGTTCACAGCAATCAACGGAAGTGTGGGACCGAACATGCCGATAATGGAGCAGATAACGATGAAACCTTCTGGCGCTTATACGGGCGGTGTAGGCTCGGACCTGTTCCTCGTTGCCGAGTCGAATTACACGGCAGGAACCCCGCTTCCAGCATGGACTGATGATCAGTTCATGTACATGCCTTTTATGGACGAAGAGCAGTTGAGCACCGAGAACATAGAAGAAACTCAGGCTCGTACGACAGCCATAGGAGTGAAGCCTGAATGCCAACAAGTTCAAGCCCAGAACTGGACGGCCAGCTGGTTTGCGAAGAAGTATGGCGAGTCGCTCAGCAATATCTCCATGACAGTGGATGGTATAACCTGCAGAAGAACGGGGATAATGACGTCGGTAGGACCGACCGGCGTTGGGGAGTTAAACCCAGTATGCCAGACTGGGAAAGTATCTATGCAGTTTGCCGGTATACTAGAAGCGCGCCAGAATGCTTCTTTGGCCGAGCAAACCTTCTGCGCAGAGTTGGCGGTCCTTGCCTACATCCAAGATGAGAACATATGTTCGCGGAACACTACGACTGAGTTCAACGAGCAGAACGCCGTCTTCTTTGGATGCCGCCCACGACTGATTGGTGGCGAGAGTGATGTGCTGGTCAGTAGAGACGGACGAGTACAACACGTCTTACAAGCCAACATCACATCGGACCTCTCCCCGCAATTTCTCGAGCGTCACTTCAGTAATGATGCTTCCAACCTTCTGCGCCAGGGCAATGCATATTTATTCACTGGCACTACCGCCCCGAAATGGCATAACGACTCATATGCCATTGACTTCATAAACTACTTCATGATCAAGCAAAGTAACAACAGCCGACTTATAGACCCAAGCCTGCCTCTACCGACACTCGAACAAGTAACGCGGGACTTGTACCCTGTCTATAGCAAACTCTTCGCCATCTGGCTCGGCATCAACAAAAGAAAATTACTAGTGTCACGCGAAGAGGGCGCTACTTCGGTTGTGGAGGGTCTGGTGAACCAGCGTCAAACTCGTGTCTTTCTTTCTACGCCATTATTTGTTATGGCGGAGATAATCTTGGGCGTCTATATTATCGTCGCTGTATGCATCTACCTGTGGCGGCCGGGCCGCTTCCTACGTCGCATGCCGACTTCCATCGGAGCCATCATAGCGCTGTTTGCAGCGAGTCAGGCCGTGCGCGAAATGCGTGGAACGAGTCTATTGACAAGACGGGATCGGAGGAAGCATCTACAGAGCTTGGGTGGGACGTATGGCTACGGTACATTCATTGGTGCAGACGGGAGATTGCACGAAGGTATTGAGAAAGAGCCGTTTGTGGATGCTGTGCCGGTTCGTGGAGTGCTTGAGAACGTGCAAACAGGCTTCTCCTCGAAGAGCTCGATGTTCAAACGCACTCGTGGCTGAAAGTAGGCGGTTGCAGAAGCCCTGTGATCCACTGACATGAAACGAATACACAAATGCGACTAGCATCAATAAGAACATTGAAATCTCGTAGTGAGCCCTCCTGCTATATCCACTGGCCAATGTTAGAGACATACTGACAGAAGCTTTTTAGAGAAATGATATTCTGCAACCCGCCATAGTCGGCTCGGAGATGATGGCTGGCTCAGTGTCGTGGTAGGTGCGGACGATGAATGTCCTGCGAACTTGTGGATGATCTGGATTTCTTATTTCCTCAAAGAAGTAATACATACGCGAGACGGACATGCTACCTCGATCAGTGCGGGGGTGTGGCAAAGGTGACGCGTAGTAAAGCTTGTGCACATGTGGAGGTTGCTAGGGCATTGCAGCTTGTGAAGTGTACCAGCAGGGCATATCCTCCATGATGAACTTATGGAAGAGAAGGGCAACTCCGGAGAGCGGCAAGAGCGATAATCGCTGCGGTTCATTCTTGGGGTGAGAGCAGACCTTGTTCGAGCCCAACAGGCGCTTACTCTAAACTTTTGACCAAGACCGAGATGGGGGCACTCCAGACCAGAGGGCCTCAGAAGCTGTCGTTGCGCTTGCATGTTTCACTCAAACATGTTGCATCCACCTGACAGGTCTGTACGGCCCCGTCTCTACCATTACGATGTCGACTTACGAGTCCTTTGCGGAGTCAAGACGCCGTAGAAGCACACTGTCACCTCTTGACGATTGGAATGAGCTGGCATATTTTTGTTTCGCGCCGACCTTGGCCGTCCACACTCGGTGGGAAGGTCCAGTGAGCAGAGTCTGCGACCGCCTTGTTTCCTGCTGGCACTGTTTCCAAGTCGCAGCTGGTGATGGACTGGCGAATGCCTGCCGTATCCGGTGCGCCCGAAACCAAGCCTACCAAGCCTTTTTACCCCCCACCGATAAACCTTTTCAGGGAAGGAGGACTGGGGGGTGCAAGATTCAATTAGTTATGGGTTGTTTACGCGTTGAGCGAATTGGTGAAACAGGCTGGAGTTCGCATACACCCAATGGCCAGCAAAAGCGATGAGGGTCTGAGAACGACGGCGCTTTTCCAATCGCGAGGTGGCGGACGATCACTTGACCAGTCGGTATCTAGCGAGGCCGCGGGTCGCTGCCGCCGGATCTTGACAATTACGCCACCACACTAACTAACCACAGCCACGCTCTCTCGGTGTCTTGCTTCCGCCCAAGCTACGCTGACTTGCTTCCATCGTCTACACCGACACCATGCCGACCACGTTGTGGCACAGCCGCCTGGATACGAGGTGCCTCGCCTTCTCCGCATTACGTCGATCACTCAGATTAGCAACTTTTGCACAATGCCATGGAGGAACCGACCCGCCGGCAATAATACAGGCCTGATATACCATTAACAGGAGCAGGAGGTAACGGTGACAACGGCTAAAAGAAATGGGGCGCCAAAAAAAGACATCGCACACGAGGAGGGATACCCACGCTGCGACGCATGAAGTACGATGTCATAGATGCGGCCTGGCGCAAGGCCCTGCAATCAAAGACGTCTTTCATCAGTCTGCTTGCTATGCGGACGGTTGCTAGCAGTCGAGCTTGCGCCCGTGTCGCATAGACGGCGGTTACTGTCCTCTGCCTGCTGCGTGACCTGGCAGATGTCGGCATCGTGCCACCTGGTTTGTTCACGGACGAGACATGAGAGCCAGTCCAGGTGTGCGTCGAGATGAGCGTGGCATCCAATAGGACGCTCAGCAGCCTACTCTTGGAAAGAAGGTCGACGTTTCAGCTTCAACAAGCGATCTGCATCCCGACACATGGCCAGCTTGGGCCGCTTTAGGGTTATCGATAGGCCAGGATTCAACATTACCCCTGCATAACCCACAGGCCGCCGGCACAAACCTCAAACCCGTCACTACACCCCTGCCTCAAGCCTCGCACGAAGTGGCTTCCCAACTGGGTCCATCTCCGCTCTTTTGTTTCATAGACAATTGTCTTGTCCTGGCAATACGGCCAATCGCGTTGGTATCGTACCTGCCGAGAGTATTCAACATTGCAGGTTGCACCACTTATCCCGTCTCCACACCCTTACCGCTAAACTGCGAGGGGCAGACTAACCGCACAAGTCCGTATATCGTTGCAAGAGAGACCTTGCCTCGTCGAATAGCCTATGCAACTCCACCATGATCCGCCGGGGCAGTGTCCTGACTCTGTGCACGGGTATGCGAATGCCTGATGATCGCCATAAGCTAGGCCTGTGAACAGACATGGCAAGCCTTATATAACTCATTACCCTTTCGCATTGCTTTCTTCCTCACCACAGGTTACCCACAGCAGTACCGTACTTCTTCTCTTTCTTTTGCTTTTCAACATCTTGCCTGCGGCAAACCACATTCTTTATATCACTGCGCGTTGCTGAAGAGCTAGACTCGACGATCTTCTCATCCCGTCTATATCATCTCCGAACCACTCGATCAAACTTCAGACAAAACCACTCACAACATTCCTTTCTTCGCTCAGCCGGTCTAGCGAATACTCAACGAGAACCCTTCTCACATCATTCATTCAATTATCATCATGTTTTCCCAAGCCACTCTCCTTTTGGCGCTTGCCACCAGTGCCGCCGCGCACATGATTATGGAATACCCCGTCCCATACGGCAAGGCTACTCTGAACAGCTCTCCATTGGCACCAGGCGACTACCCTTGCAAGCAGCGTACTGGCGTTTACGATGTCACCGAGATGAACCAGTGGAATGCTGGCGAGACCAAGACTATTTCCTTCATCGGCTCCGCAGTCCACGGCGGTGGTTCATGCCAGTTCTCCCTCACCACTGACCCCAAGCCTTCTGAAAGCTCGCAATGGAAGGTCATCCAGAGTGTCATCGGAGGATGCCCCTCAAACGTGACTGGCAACATCACTCCAGCCGACCCCGACGGCCACGGGGCTGCTACCTTCCCCGTTCAAATGCCCAAGGACATTCCTGACGGCCAGTACACCTTCGCCTGGACCTGGTTGAACAAAGTCGGTAACCGTGAATTCTACATGAACTGTGCCCCAGTCCAGGTCGGCAACGGTGCTTCCAAGGCCTCTACCAAGAGCGTCTCCACAGCTCTCTCATCCCTTCCAGACATGTTCGTTGCCAACGTGCCCGACACCTCCTGCAGCACTGCTGAGGGTGAAGACTTCGAATACCCCAACCCTGGAAAGAATGTCATCACGAGCGCAGAGGCAACACCAGGCAGCAAGATCAGCGGCGCTGGATGCAGCACCATGACCAAGATGGGTGCTGGTAAAGGACAGCTTGGATCTCCCCAGGCCCCCGCTTCGAACCCTTCACCAAGCAGCGCCCCTAGTTACGGTGCTCCTGTCGCTAGCATTGCACCTGCTCCTGGTTACGGTGCCCCCGTTGCTAGCAGCGCACCTGCTCCTGCTGCCAGCAGCCCTCCTGCCTATGCCGCACCTCCCGCCAGCAGCCCCCCTGCTTATGCCGCACCTCCTGTCAACAGCCCTCCTACCTATGGTGGTGCCCCTCCTGCCAGCAGTGGCCCTACCTATGGTGCCCCTCCTGTCGGCGGTGTCTTCGCTCCTGGCGCTGCTCCCGCACCTGCTGCACCTGCTACTCCATCTACACCTGCCGCTGCACCCAATGCACCTGCTTCCAAGCCCAGCAGCGCTCCTCAGCAGCCTCAGCAGCCCGACAACAGCAGCAGCACTCCCAGCGTTCCCGCTGGCAATGCAGACTGCACTCCGTGCCAGACCGAGGGTGCTGTCGTGTGCATGGGCGGCAACATGTTCGGTCTTTGCAACCACGGATGCGCAGTTCCTCAGGCTCTCGCAAATGGCATGTCCTGCTCTGGTGGCGTCGTTGTCGCCTCAACGAAGCGATCTCTCAAGTTCCCTCGTGGCCACCTCCACCGTCGCCACGGCGCTTCCCACCTTATCTAAACGACATGCTCTACATGTTGGTGAGATATCAAACACAATCTCACGCTACCTCAACAGCCATTGGCTACGAAACGCAACGCTTGGAGTTTGGATGATGGAAAAAGCTGTCCATAGGTCGGGTTGGAAATTGGGTCATTATGTTCATATTGCTTATCACGTTGGACAGACACCACTTGGGTCTGGCTGGTGATTTTTTGTTTTACTATTCTTACATTCTTTCGTTCATGACCGGCTCTAGATTGGGTCGGCATGCCCTGTTGTCTTGCTTAGAGAGAAGTGCTGTGGTAAGCCTCTTGTTTACTAGTGCGGCATACGCTGTACTGCTGTGTACATTATCAAATGAAAACACTCATTCGTCCTCGATTTGATTGCCTCTTGCCATTGTGATATGCCTGACTGCCGAGTGAATATCAATGACCCGATGTATGTCTGAGGCTGGAAGAATTGTACGCCCGTCCATGAACTGTTGTAGTTTTGCAGCCGCAATCGCCACCAGGGCCTGCGTGATACGCATTGTGCAAAGACGAAATGGCCTAAAATTGACAACAAATTGCATGGCACAAGATGCGTACAACCTAATACAAGAATACGGGTATTCGCAGCTCTAGATGTACCTATTCAAACGAACCGTATATGTCATTCACCGGATTATGACGTTACTCAGCTAGTGATTGGACAGTTAGGCAGGGAACAGCCAAGACAAGCGTACATCCCCTCTTACTTGGAGGGAATTCCACTTTCAGCCCTAAGCACCTCTCACCAACGCACAAAACAAGCGACCAGGCAGTCGACAATTCAGCTTTGCATATCCAAGTGGTATCATTTTGTGCGATTAAAGAGCGGAAATCGAAATTAGGAGCGAGCCTCGGCCTTCGTATCAGACGCCGCCGCCACTGGAGCTTAGGAGGTCATTGCGCCCGCCCCACTACCTCGTTGCCTTCAACTCCACCGTCTTCTCGCGTCTACACCGTACGGCTCGCTGCACAGACCGCCAACATGGAAAACAACCAGGAGGTAGACCAGACCAAGTATATCGACAATGCTATCCGCGCCGTGCGGGAGAAGAAGCCGCTTCCCGAAATCGACTTTACCCTGCATACTATGGAGGATGGCAGTCAAGTGAGCACTCAGGAACGGGTCTGCAAAGGTGCGCGCAATCCGTAGGCATACAGCCGAGAGCCAGTTGGCAAAATTGTATTTGCGACTTTGAGAGCACATTCAGCTAACCGTGCCGCCTGTTCCAGATGTGCAAGCACCCGCCTTCCACCCGCCCAGCGACGAGCAATTCTTCTCACCGCAAGATCGCACCAAGCCCAACATTCAATTCCTCAAGCAGCACTTCTACCGCGAAGGCCGCTTGACTGAGCAGCAGGCGCTATGGATTATAAAGAAGGGCACAGAGATCCTAAAGTCGGAGCCCAACATGCTGGAAATGGATGCACCCATCACTGTGTGTGGAGACGTTCACGGACAGTACTACGATCTCATGAAGCTGTTTGAAGTCGGTGGCGACCCAGCGGAGACGCGATACCTGTTCTTGGGTGACTACGTCGACCGCGGATACTTTAGTATAGAGGTGCGGCCTTCAGGAAGCTGGGTGTATGCATTCGCTGACATTCACAGTGTGTCCTGTACCTATGGTCCCTCAAGATCTGGTACCCCAACACGCTTTGGCTGCTCCGCGGCAACCACGAGTGCCGCCACTTGACCGACTACTTCACATTCAAACTCGAATGCAAGCACAAATACTCTGAAGCCGTGTACGAAGCATGCATGGACTCGTTCTGCGCATTACCTCTGGCCGCTGTCATGAACAAGCAGTTCCTGTGTATTCATGGTGGACTGAGCCCCGAGCTTCACACCCTGGACGATCTGAAGAGCGTATGTAGTACCACGAGCCCCCCGAGGCCAATGCTGACTGTCGCAGATTGACCGTTTCCGCGAGCCCCCCACGCACGGCCTCATGTGCGACATCCTCTGGGCCGATCCACTCGAGGAGTTTGGACAGGAGAAGACTAACGATTTCTTCGTTCACAACCATGTCCGCGGATGCTCGTACTTCTTCTCGTATCCCGCCGCCTGTGCTTTCCTCGAAAAGAACAACCTCTTGTCCATTATCCGTGCACACGAGGCCCAAGATGCCGGGTACCGAATGTACCGCAAGACACGGACGACTGGCTTCCCCAGTGTCATGACAATCTTTAGTGCACCAAACTACTTGGATGTGTACAACAACAAGGCTGCTGTTTTGAAGTACGAGAACAACGTCATGAACATTCGACAATTCAGTAAGCTCAAACATGCATGCCCGTATTCCAAAACTAACGCAATCAGACTGCACACCCCATCCATACTGGTTGCCCAACTTTATGGACGTATTCACGTGGTCATTGCCGTTCGTTGGTGAGAAGAGTATGTGGAAGCTATGTATTCACTGAGACGCCAGGCTAACACGATACAGTCACCGACATGCTCATTGCTATACTGAACACATGTTCAAAGGAAGAACTTGAGGAAGAGACACCCAGCTCGCTTGCATCTGGACCATCATCGCCGCCTATTCCTAACATGGACCCGGAGTCAACCGAGTTCAAGCGACGCGCGATCAAGAACAAGATCTTGGCCATTGGTCGTCTCTCTCGCGTATTTCAAGTACTGCGTGAAGAGTCTGAACGCGTTACTGAGCTGAAGACAGCATCAGGTGGCCGACTGCCAGCAGGTACTCTCATGCTTGGTGCCGAAGGAATCAAGCAGGCGATTCACAGCTTCGAGGACGCACGTAAGGTCGACTTACAGAACGAGAGACTCCCGCCGAGCCACGAAGAAGTACGAAAGTCTCAGGAGGTTAGCCGAGAGCAGGCTCTCGAGAAAGCTGCCAAGGAGGCAGACAACGACCAGGGACTAGCAACCGTGGCACGACGCATCAGCATGTAAGTGTGGCTGAGATCAACATGTAGTGTAGACACTGATTTGTTTAGGTCATCTGGCTCCGGACGCAGCAAGAAGAGCTAGGCGCGATTCAAGCGCTCACGATCGGAGAGTGAGGCTGATAGACAAGCCTTGTTGACGAATTTGGGTCCTTGATTTCTATATTGGCGGGCCAGCAGATGCCATCAGTATACCATGCAGGCGTAGTGGACCACAGGATCGTAACCCAGAGGGTTTCACCTTAGGAAGGACGGCAGTGTCAGGCTTGCCGACTGCTCAGACTTCGATTAGCCGGTTTCTTATTGAATCAAACCAGAAGCCATTCCTAAGATACACTAGACTTGCTTTCCCGTGTGCACATGGTGGCGCAGACTTGACGTGATGGTGGCTGTGAGGCGGCTGGGCACGTGCGCGGACCGAAGCTAGCTTTGCCGACCTACGTCAACGTGAACATTTCCGACGTGGGAAGCGATGCTCAACTTCAAGCCCGATGCCTCCATGGGTGGCCTCAGTGCCGCGACTGACGATTCTTCGCAAGATAGGGGCGATTGATCGAACCCCACTTGCGCTTCGCTGTTGCAATGTCACAAAGTCAAGCTCTGCGAGTCTCCGCGCCCGCTCCGCGTCAACACATGTTTCGCCGACCGCGATAAATCTGCGCCCAAATATACCCCCGCATAACAAGGACTTGTACGATGCATTATCCGCACTAAGCGGGGCTGCTGAAACATATGTCAATATTAGCAAGCTTCAATTGGCATTACGGGGTTTGGCGGCGCAAGATGCCGTCACAAGGGTTGCTGGTACAGTCCAGGCGCAATCAGATGGGTGTAACAAGAAGGCTGACGATGCGATACAGTTCTCGGTTTGAATAGCCAGTCGAGTGCGCAACAACTAGCACGGCTTTTGCTTGCAGACCCGCTAGGTGCTGAGGAGCAATGGGAGAAAGAGCTGGTCAAGGCAGGCAATGACAATGAGGGGGCTGTATTGTTAAAGTGGGTGCATGTAAAGGAGTATGGCAAGGAAACAGCAGCTGATGATTGTTCTACAGATACGGTACTGATCCCGACGAACACACGCCAACGCCACTCTATAAAGTCCTCCCAGTACCCTCACGAACCCTTCAATCGCATAACCTCGAGATCCTCGTCTCTACGATAAACGTCAATGTTGCGAAGCCTGTCCCTCAGGTGTCAGTCGAAAGCCCTGTAGAGTCGCTGTTAGTTCCCAAGCTCCAGGCTCCCTCGGAAAGAGCACTGCCCGTTCCGTATCCAGTGCACAAGACCTTGGTGTTGGGCGAAGGACTAGACAGCGCAATAGCGTTTGGTAGGTTCTCGGCCAATGGTCTTGATGAGGTGGATGATACGGTCAAGCTGGCGGTTGACCTGCCGGTTTCATCAGAAGAGAGTCCCTCAGAGACGCGTTCTCGAAGCGCTCCTATCAACATTGAAGTTGGTACGAAAGCACTCGGCAGCTTCCGCGAGTCAATTCAGAATTCCATCATCTACGAGAGGGGCTGGTTCAAGAGTGGGCTGCCAACGCTGTCAAACTGGCTGGTACAAGATGTCCAGACTTCAGACGCCATCAAGCCTACCATGAAAACACTCATCACCTCCCTTACCGATGATGTAGAAGCAAAACTTCTGAAGGAAGATACTGCGCGACTACAAGAACTGGCTTCCATACCCACAGACCAAGATGTCAAAGCATCCATCGTCGGCCATCTCGAGACCTGGGCTGAGAGGTCCCATGCAGAGCTCCGCGACCAACTTGACGAAGCCTTCACATCAAAGAACTGGCACAAGCTAGCCTGGTGGAAGCTTCTCTGGCGCGTCGACGACATCACAATGATCAGTTCCGAGATTCTCGAGCGACGATGGCTCGTCTCCGCAGAGAAAAGCAGCATATACCTCGCGGGCCGCATGAACCAAGCCGGCTTCCCAGACGAAATGCAACCCACAACTGCCACCACCAAAACACCCGAAGTAACAACGCAAGACACGGCGCCAACAGCAGAGAACCCCATGACAGACCTCTCAACCAACGTCCGCAAACCATCACCCTGGTCCGAACACATTGCCAGCGCCCGCACCGAACTCATCAACGATACCGTCCTACCTCTTCAGGCCCTTGCTCAACGACTTATCCTCCAAACTTTTACCACTACATCCATCTCCTCTGCGGCATCCGCCCTGCTCTACCTCTCCGTCTCATCCTTCTCCGTCTTTGAAGCCTCGGCCGTCGCAGCATTGGGTCTCACGTACTCGCTGCGTCGCATGCAGAGGCTATGGGAAGGCGCGAGGGAGGCGTGGCAAGGTACTGTTAGGGAAGAAGGACGACGCACGTTGAAGGGTACGGAGGAGAGTATTCAGTTTATCATCAAGAATGGGGGTAGCAAGACGGTTAGCGAAAAAGAGGATGTGGTGCAGAGGCGGAAGGCGAGGGAGGCTGTGATGGCGGTTAGGGAGGCGCTTGATAGAATGAGTGGGGGTGGTGATGGTGATGGTGATGGGAAGGGTAGGTAGTGTATGAATAGAATAGTAAAATCATGGTTTTGGTAGTATGGTATGAATACAGCATAGGTTTACAAAAGGGTGTTGTCTTAGCATAAGTCGTGGTGAATGCTAAATATTGGCATTCACAGAGTATGTGCAATCTACATTCTATCCCGTTCCACTTCACCCAATCCGTGGCTCTTACATACTAAACTCTGAACTCTTTCTACACTTTAGACACGCTCTTCCTGGAAGCTATAACGTCTACATCCTGTGTATTTAGAGGATGTAGGAGGAGATATGCTTTTTCTGTGGAAGAAGAGGGTGGGGGCGTGGGAGGTGGAGGTGAGGTAAAGGTGGGGTGTTTTTTTTCTTTTTTAGGTGTGAAGGGGAGAGAGGGGAGAGGGGAGGAAGAGGGGGAGAGGGGAGAAGAGAGGGGGAGAAGGAGGGGAAGGACGAGGAACAAGATTCATTCATCGCATATACCTAACTTTTAAGCACGAGCAAAGACTATGTAAAAGCAAAAAGAAACGCTAGCAGGGTAATATCCTAACCGCACGGTTGCTCCCATGATCAGCGCAAGACTCCAACCCCTCAAGAAAAGACAATCGCTAACCCTTGTTGCAGCAGTATGTGTATGTAGGTCAAGGTTCTCTTCGCCGAGAGAACCCGCAAGGAAACAGAAGTACTTGTTAAGAGAAAGCTAGGGAGGGAAGGGGGAGAGAACAGCTATGAGATAGGTTAGCTGTGTTGGAAAGAGAGAGCTATGAGTCGAATAGAAAGTAGAAGAAGAAGAAGAAGAAGAAGAAGAAGAAGGAGGAGGAGGAGGAGGAGGAGGAGGAGGAGGAAGAGGAAGACTTGTAAAAAATGTGGGGAGAGGCTTAGGGGTTCTTTGACCTCTCCCGCTGGGCAGCAGTGCTCTCAACGTAGTTCTGAAACTGATTCTGATACGTCCCCCTTTTCTCCCCAAGTGACAGAGAGTTCTAGTCTTCTAGGAGAAGTCTATGAGCTGGTACGCCTTGCTTTCTGATAGCGGTCTTTTCTATCCTGCCGTTTGAGCAGACTCCGCAACAATCAATCGGATCGGCATGATTGATTCCTATCTAGGTTAAAGGCTGCCTAATGAAGTAATTCTTTAACCTATATAGGAATCAATCATGTCAATCGATTGATTGTTGCGGAGTCTGCGTTTGAGTGCTTAACGACTTCGTACTAACGGCGTTGCGGTTGTCCTTTAGTGACTGTGAATCCGTACCAGAAGTTCACCTTGAGGGATTAGTAAAGCAAGGTTATGGCGTAGACGGGAGTTTCTTACGACTTCATCATCTTCCTCTTCTTCTACGTGTGGCCTGCGTTTGTGGACGTTTGTAGATGGCCGGCCCGCCTTCTTGGTTTGGACTCCAGGGATTTGATCATCGTCCGCGTTAACCGTGCTTGACCTAAACTTGCTGGGATAATGGCACTGGAGAGGTGGTTCGAGTGTAGGATCTTTATCGTTGGGATCATCTGCCTCGTCGTCATAGTTATCGTCAGTGTAGGTGGCTTCCCCATTAGGCTGCCATGTCTTGTCGTTGGGATTGTCCTGAATCTCGTAGGCACTATAATTGGTAGCCTTTGTTTGCCTCCGTCTTGTTTGATGATTCATTGACGGCATGTTGGCAGTTATTGAAAAGATGTACTTGTAAGGAGGATCGATGTGGGGATGGTATTGGAATTTAAGATGAAGTAAAGTGGAAGAAAGATACTCTAAACCAGCAAAAGACAGGACTTTATGCACCTCTCCCCTAGCTTCGCTCCCTCTTACCCTTCTCACCGTAATTGCGCGTCTTGCGCTGCTAGCCGCAAGTTCCACGGTGAGAGGGCGGTGAAGCCTAGGTGAAGGCAGCTGCCGGCATGCAAGGTGCGGGGCTGGAGCGAATAGACTGTCTTTTCGCAAGACAGCAAAGACAGGAACCCTATGTAGCGTTTGTCTGGCAGCAGAATTCATGCCACAGGCAAACACCCATTCCATAGTGGCTCAGATCGAAGCGGGCATGCGGATCGAGGCCAGACGGGGAGTTGGCACAAGGGGCCTGGTGAGCGTTAAGCGGTGGGAAGAGAACATCCGTTTGCAACATGGACTGATGGCGTATAGAACAAATGAGCAAATTTGAAAGACTGCACGCGCAGTGCTGTGAACCACAACCCAGCACACCAATATACCCGTCTTGAACCCTCCTGTGACGAGCCCCTTCAATCCACTCTCCCCAATCAAATCGCCACAGCCTCAGCAACCAGAGCCCAAACAGCGCACCCACGTACTGAGAATGCATCTCTGCAATAGCAGCAGACATCGATCGAGCCTATATCACGCAACAATCTCAAAGGCGGTGACAAGAGATGCAAACGCGGATGCATGACTTCTCCCCAGAACCATCTTCACGTCATGTACCTCAGCACGATCGAAGAGGGAAGTCACACCTAGACCTCAAGGTACAGCCCACAATTGACCGCTCACAGAGGGAAGCCGTAAATAGCCGTCAAACACCCACTCAAGACGCCGTATGCTCAGCCCAATGATGCCGAAGACAAACACCTTCTGTGGATTAGTCAATTCCCCACATACCACATACACAAGCTAATGACAAAGGACGTCTCAATCGCGCTCTTCCGTTTCCCTCAGCTCCTCCTTAATGCCTAAATGCACAGCCTGCAAACGCACACAGCAGCCCAACTCCTCATCATCGCCATAGATCAACGATGCGATGTCAGACAGATCACAGAAGGAAGCTATACCCATTCACACACCCCAGCTTATAATCCAACAACGCCCACAACCAAACACTCCTATCAGCCCAACATCCTAGCCTAACACCCCTACAACCAAACACACCTATCGCACCAGCACATCCTCACAGCCGCCCACAGCCCTCCCATCGCTCAGAACCTCCACCGCATCCTACAGACAGCCGTCTTCCGTCTACTAACTAACCCACAGCTACTAAGACTGGCATTCAATAATGAGATTGAAGAATTTAGCAAGATTATAGCAGGCATCCCACAAGGCAGCCCAGTATCACCAATCTTCTTCCTTATCTATATCCGAGACCTATTCCCAGCCTTACAAAGCTTTCAACTATCGTATATCGACGACCTATCTCTTACTACCTTATCAACCTCTCTAAAGAAAAATACAAGAACACTGCAAAAAGAGATAGCTACACTCTTTGCCAAGGGAGAGCAGCTAGACATTATCTTCGACACATCCAAAACAGAGCTAATCCACTTCACCGCTAAGAAGGAGAGGATAGAAAGAGCCCTTATACTCCCAAACAACGACCGGATAGAACACAAAGACACTGTCAAGTGGCTAGGTATCTATCTAGACAACCGACTATTATTCAAATCACATGTGTCTATACGTGTAAGCTAAGCCAGACAAGCTTTCTACAGGCTAGGAAGACTAGCGAATATTGAACTCGGCCTATTAACACACGCTATTAGACAACTATACTTAGCATGTGTAACTAGCGTGTCAGACTACGAAGCACAAATATACTAGCAAAACTAACCCTACGCTATAAAGAAACTACAGTCACTACACAACCTAGCTTGTCGAAAAACTCTAGGAGTGTTTAGAACAGCACCAACAGTCCCTACAAGCCTTAAAGCGAGCCTACTACTACTAGCAATTAGACTTAACTCAACTATCTAGAACTACGCAAGCAGAGCAAACCTGCTAGCTAATACCTATCTAATTGTAAAGGCAATAACTCGGATCTAATTAACTAATCTCTAACGCTCAAAGAAACTAAACCAGCACAGACAGCTACAAACTATTACTAACGCAATTCCTAAAAACAACAAAAGTGTTGAGACAAAAAGTGAACACACTTTGCCCCTGCGTTGATTGGTACATATACCTTCTCAACACACCCCCGCAATTAAGGCAGGGAGACAAAGTAATGCGAGTGGTTTGCAACGCAGGCCCTTCACGGTGCTGACTCCGGCTCTGGCCCTACTCGGCGCTGGCCTCATGCTCTGACCCTTACTCGGCTCTGGTCACTCACCCAACCAGCAGTTCCTTCGCGAACATGCTGATGCGCTGAAAGCGACCCGGGCTCATAACCTGTTGAGACAAAAAGTGAACACACTTTGCCCCTGCGTTGATTGGTACATATACCTTCTCAACAAAAAGAGACACAGAGCAGACTATCCCATACCGGTTTAGGCCATAGGATACTCTAAACTATACCGTAACAGTCTCTCAAAAATCCAAAGAAGAGGAGGCAAATGCGCACTAAGCCTACATTAAAACAAGGCTAGACAATTACACGACAATATACTTAGACGCCTCGCAAACACAAGAAGGAAAAGGAATAAGAGTTAAGATAGCAGTCTACAACCAGACTCCGCAACAATCAATCCAGATTGGTCAGATTGATTGATTTGATTGGTCATTTGGAGTTTTTACCAACTCAATCAACTCAATCTAAGCTTTTCAAAATAGCTAATCAAATCAACTTGCGAAGGTCAGATTGATTGATTTGATTAGTTAGATTGATTTATTATTAACGAGTTGTAAGGCGAGTAGTGTCGTATTAAGAGAAGGTTTTTGGTGTTGAAGATAGTTATCTTGGACCCCTATCTCGCTTAGCTTGTGATCCCTGTCGGCCGGGCAAGCCAGTCTCTATGCATTCACTTCTCACCAGCTAGCTCTCCTCTTATAGGACTAGCTCCTTCTGCTTAGGGGCTAGCCTCTTCTAGGCTTCACCCCGCACCTATATAGCTAGTCCTTCGCTGTTCTTAATACAACAACGATTTCGCTCACTCAGTTCCCTAATAATCCCTTACACACAACACTAGTTGCCTAGCTACCTATACAGACATTTTTCTTTAGTGTTTAGTATCGCCCACGATGGCCAAACGCTCTCGAGTTCCCACCAATACTGCTGCCGCCGCCGCCGCCGCCAAACGGGCGCGCCTATCAAGGCCCTCTGTCCTATCTCAGCGATCGCTGTCGCCTCAGGAAACCCTTGGCGCCGCCGTAAGCCAGGCCACAACGTTTGAGTCGCAATTTTTCGAGTCGCAAACAGAGGAGGAGGGTGCGGCTGAGGGCAGCCAGGCTGGTACAGCAGCAACAACAGAGGCTAGTGTTGATACAGAGCCTGATAATGGCGATAACTTTGACGGCATTAACTGGGATCGCCTCCCTCGGTTCATGAAGCCTCTTACAACTGGGCGGCGCGTCAAGAGTTGGATCTTTCAACATGGATATCGCGTTGTTGAGCTCTACGATCAGAATCGAGTGTGGTTTGTATGCAAATACTGCCACATCCACAAGGTCATTGACACTGGCGGCAGTGGAGTTTTTGACGTATCAAAGGCCACCTCCTCAGCTGCAGCTCATCTTGGCCTTCAGAAACGAGGCCATGGCTTTACAAAAGACGGCCTGAAGCCTCGAAGAACAGGGCAGCAACTCTCTCTACGACAGACGCTGGAGACTGGTGTTGCAGTCTCTCAAGAGGCTGCCAACGCGATGGGCAACTTCAACATCCAGCAGTTTCGTGAAGTTGCAGTGTTCTGCCTTCTTGATAACAACTTGCCAATGGAGCTACTTGCAAGGCCGTCCTTTCGCGAGATGATTAGCCTTGCAAACCCAGAGGCAGAGGCAGCTTTGTGGGTAAGTCCTCGCAGTGTAGCTACCTACGCAATGCGCCTCTTCCAATATATGCAGCCACAGATTGTCTGCGCTCTGTCAGAAGCTGCAAGCAAGATCCACATAAGCTTTGATGGTTGGACGACAAAGGGTGGCAAGCGTGGATTCTTTGGAGTCGTTGCACACTTTGCTAACGCCTCTGGAGTGATACAAGATCTCCCCATCGCCCTCCCACATCTCGCAGGCTCTCATACTGGTGATGCTATCGCTGATACAATTAAAAAGACGCTCCAAGAATACAGTATTGGGAGTGATAAACTCGGCTACTTCGTCCTCGACAATGCTGCAAACAACGATACTGCAGTCTCCTCGCTCGCCCACGCGTACGACTTCAACGCTGCTCACCGACGCCTCCGCTGCGGCCCTCACACGCTTAACCTTATTGGCCAGGCAATTATCTTTGGCAGCAATCAAGAGGCGTACAACAACAACAACGACGAGCAGCTCCAAACAGAGGAGGTGTACATGCAGGAGTGGCGTCAAGAAGGGCCCTTAGGTGTACTTATCGACGTTATCAACCATATAAAAACGCCTCAACAACACGAAATTTTCCGAAGCTTCCAAACCGCCGCCAACGCCGAGTTGCCAGCTAGAGAGCGCCTCCACGTACTTGAGCCTGTGAAGCCTGTTGTTACACGCTGGAACTCTTACTACGCTGCCTTCAAACGCGCAACTCAACTCCAGGCAGCATACAACTCTTACGCTGAGCACTACATTAACGCACTCTCCCTTGAAGATCGCCGCGCTTGTCAACGTGGCAATAAACTCCCTGAAGCACCTAGTTGGATGAGATCAACAGGACTTACAGCTGCTGATTGGGCGGTGATAACAGAGTATCAGGACTGCCTAGAGCCGCTTAAGCTTGCTACGGAGAAGCTTGAGGGTCGCGGAAAGGCAGGCAAATACGGCGCTATATATGAGACTATTCCTGTATTTGAATACGTACTTGGCGCGCTCGAAGCCCGTACGCGCTCGTACGAGCAAGTTGACTTCAACCCACCTGATGCGCCTGAAGATCACCTCTTTGTTAACCTCCGCGCCGCCTGGAGTAAGGCCAACGATTACTACAACAAGCTCGATCGATCGCCAGCATACTACGCTGCTACCTGCCTCCATCCATACTACAAATACTACTGCGAGAACAGCTGGGTGGATAAGCCAGAATGGCTAACATCAGCCAACGCTGGCTTCCTGCAGCTCTGGCAGTCGTATAAGCCTCAACGTACACGTCCTCTATCTCAAACAACTGCAAAACCAAGGCATAGAGGAATAGATGATGTGATTGGCGCCCTCGTACGGCGCAACAAGGCTCAGGTAGAGGCTGCCCACGACGATGAGTACGAGCGCTGGAGAACTCAAGAGCCAGAGTGGACAAGCGAACAGTATCTTAGCGATGGCCACCCAGTCAAGTACTGGATTCAATTACGCTCAAAATACCCGTGTTTAAGCCAGTTTGCGATTGATATACTCACGATACCAGCATCTAGTTGCGACTGCGAGAGGCTCTTTAGCGAGCTTGGCGATTTACTTGAGCCGCGCCGGCGAGCTCTTGGCAGCGAGTTACTTGCTGCCCTTCAGCTTGTACGTTCGTGGAGACGAGCTGGCTTTGACGGCTTGTACAACAACGGTGATGATGAAGATAAGTGGAGTGACGTCAAAGATGAGGAGATTGTACAACAGTACGATATAGAAGGCTGGAGTACAACACCATAACCCCCTGTATACTACTTCTTAGCATCAATCAGCCAATCAACCAATCAATCGCAATCAATCTGCTCAAAAACCCTAACAATCAATCCGCAATCAATCAGCAGCGTCGCCGCAAGCTAATCAAACCAATCGACAACCTTAAGATTGATTGATTTGATTGTTGCGGAGTCTGTCTACAACTTAACCTAGCAAGAGATCTACTTAGAAACAGTTAATATTAGACAATACCAGCTAGTCTACAACGGCGAACTAGAAGGGATTACACGAGCATTTAAATACGCAGCCAAGAACGCTACAACTAACCAGGAATTTGAGGTCTACGCAGATAACTAAGCAGCAATCTATAGGCTTAAAAACCTATTAGATAACCTAGGACAGCAATGGCAACTCTGGTGCCTAAAAGCGGCAAATTCAATCCGACAAAAACAAGCAAATATCCACCTACTCTAGGCACCTGGACACACAGATATAGTTGGAAACGAAAGAGCAGACTACCTAGCAAAAGAAGCAACTAAAGAGGACCCCAGATCAACAACAAAGAGCATTGCCTACCTAGGCACGACAATCAAAAGGATACAACAAACGGAACAACGCTAAGAGTATAAGAAATACAAAGCAAGAGCAACCGCTCTAAACAAAGCTACCTACTCAGCTAAATACCCTCTTAAAATCAGCAAAACCATCTAAATGCCACAGAACACGAAAAGAGTAACCTCTAGCGCTTTCTACTCTCTTAAGCTAGGACACGGATACTTCAACTCCTACCTAAAGAGATTTAAGAAACAAGACTCTAATCGCTGCACCTGCCAAAACATCTAAACGCCAGAACACCTACTACTGTACTGTCATCTATACAAAGACCATCGAAAAACGCTCCTACAAACAATCAAACATCGCCCAGTCACACTACCACTACTACTCCACACTAGTATAGGTATAGAAGCAACCCTAGCTTTTATCACTAGCACCAGAATAGGAACAAGAAAATGGTACCTAGGACAGCCACTAGAAGACCTACAGAGAGACACTGTATAAAACTAAAACCACAACCCTCTTCTTTGCCACAAGAGCCCGCTGCTACATCTCTTTCTACTTATCAAACTGCTCTTTAGCACCTGGCAACAAACAGATACAAGCTATCTTTTGTAGAAAAGCCAAAAACCATATTAGCGAACCATACCAGAAAACCATGTAAATTAGAAAAACCAAGATAGAACGGCCTTCGGCCAAAGTCCTACATAGTCTCTGACTGAAAAAGGACTCTAATGGAATAATAATAATAATAATAACCCACAGCTAACTCCACACACCTACGTACCGTTACTCGGAAGCGTGGATGGAGTGGTATGTAAACGAGGCTTTGATTGCATCGGGCATTAAAGAAGGAATTGTGGTGGATGTGTGGTGCGGATTAGGTGATAGATGTATAGTTTTGGAATTTGAAATAGTTGATAATGTAGATAGTTATACGAGATAGACGTTTTGATTTTAATTTTAACAAAAGGGAAAACGGGGACGAAAAAATCTCCATTCTTCTCAACCATCAGTAACGGTCTCTGCTATCGTCAAAAATCCAAAGAAGAATCAAACACATATACACCAAATAAATGAACACGGCGCAGACCACACAACATAATAAAAAAACCCGCATGAATAAACTAAACATCTCAAAACGCTAACACAACTACCACTAAAAAGACAGTCCCCAACGCTCAGCAAACCACGAGAATAAACAGCACCAGAACATCTCAAAAGAATTTACATCGGCAACTCTCCCCTCCAACTTTCTTGTCCATCACAGAAAGGATCAGTAAAGCTCCCCAAGCCTAGGCTTCCCACCCTTCCAGTCATCCCTCTCATAGTACCTGAACACAAGATCATACCCATCCAAATCATGGACAATACGATCAACGCGACGGTAACCGGGAATGGTTTCCATGCGCTTGGCCTTGTCGACATTCTTGCCAGGGTAGTCATCAGCAGTGGGCTTGGCCTCGAAGAGGGTGACGCTGAATCTACCAGGCTTGAAGATGCCTACGACGTGCTCGACAACATCGGCAGTCTCGCGACCAGTCTGGCGGGCGGGGACGTTGGTCTCGAAGGAGGCGTAGGAGCACTGCGGCTCGGGCGTGACGTGCACGGTGAAGTAGTGCGTGGCATCGGAGCCCTTCTTGGAGCCGTTGGGGGCGCCACCTGGAGCGGGGATGACGCCGTTGGCGGAGAAGCCGCAGGGTGTGAACAAGTAAGCGTCGATGCGGGCATCGGGGTACTTGGTGGTGGGGTAGACGTCAGCCAGACCGCAGTGCTCAGAGACAACCGTGCCGAGCGTGTGACCCTCAGTGGTCAGCTCCTCAGGGAACGTAAGTTCCTCGTCAGAGTTGAAGCCAGAGTGGTCAGAGGAAGTCTGCTCGAACACGTCGAAGCTGTCATCATCCGAGGCGTGCGTGTTGGCAGCTGAGTTGAGGACGGTAGAACCACCAAGGCTCTCGCTCTGAGCATGCTCTTCAGAGATGGTGCCAAGAGATTGGATGGCGTTCTTGCGAGCCTCGCGAGCCCTCTGAATGTAGCGACCTTCCGCAACCGCACTTGCGTCCTCTAGATAGAACTGACGGGCGTTCTTCTCATCGAGGTCGGTCATCAGGACCTCCAGAGTCTCGTCTTCTTCTTCATCGGTGGCTTGCTCGCGCAGGAGGCGCTGAGGGTGGCTGACAAACTTGGTCTCAGTATCAGGTGCAAGCCTCTCTTCACCTGGGCTGGGAGGTGGGGTGAGACTGGTGTCGGGACCAGTGATGTAAAGGTACCAATGCTCGCCGTTCATCTTGCCAATCATATAGGCACTGCCACCTTGGAAGCGGTCATCGAGGTAACGAACTTCGTCACGCCAGCTGCGGTGGGGTCCGCGCTGCTGGTCGGGGTAGAGGAAGTTCTTCCTGCTGTAGAAGACGCGGTACGGGGTGGCAGCTGGGGCAACTCCAGACGCCTTTGGGGCGACGAAGGGGAACCCAGCTTCGACGGCAATCTCCAGCATGCGAGTAAGACCCCAGAGCAGAGTCGTGGTACCACAGGTCTTGAGCACAACCTTGTGAGGGAAGACGAACATGCTCGACTCGGACAAGAGGTATGCATCGACATGTTCAGATTCGATGACGGAAAGAACCTTGCAGTTGACCAAGTCAAGCATGTCCTTCCAAACTTCGGCAGACACCTTCTTCAGTCCAAGAGGACCGGCCTGTCCGGGCAGGTCGGTAGCGGAAGGGCTAAACCATACTTCCAGGAGCTTCTCGGGACCCTCAAAAGAGTTGGTCGAGTCGAGATCAATGGTAGCCTCCTTGTTGATGGTCAACTGAGGGGTGCCAATGTGCGACGAAGGCGAGGCAGTGTAGTGCTGAGGAATCTCAACGGTAGCGACCATGTCTTAATTGGGTGGCTGTCGCGCACACGGAGTAGATATAACGGATGAGTTTGCTGTGCGGCTTCGGTGGAAGCTTGACGATTCACTAGCTATGAAGCTGTGTGCAGCACAACCTCGCTCAGACAAGCAATGCGGTGCTCGCCTGAGAAGAATTGGCCCACGGGCGCAAAGAGGAGGCGAGGCTGGCGTGTGCCAGCAGCAGTGAGTGTAGATGTGTGAAACCGACCGTAGTCGATGTTAGGGAGGTCGGGCGTTGAGCGGAATAAACGAGGCCTTGCGCCGGGAAATGGTGGCAGTCGATGGGGTCCTCGCGATACCAGATTCCGATACCCTGGGCAAGTATCGGGTCCAGCAGACGAGGAGATCTGCTTAAAAGGGTTTCAGAGCGGGTGGTGGGTGAAGGGCGTGGCAGGTGTTATCGAGGCCTATAGGGGTCAGCGCTGTTTGTTTGGTTGCCGTATTCGCTGCTTGACGACTCACTTCGCAGGCTTGGACAGAAAGCGTACCAGGTCCTCGCGACGCATAGAAGAGCCGAGATGGGCGGCGATAGACAGTCTGCGGGCTACAATAGCCTATGCAGAATTGAAAGATACCAGGAGTGAGTCTGCCAGCGTGACGGTGTTGTTTGTTGTTGAGGGCAAAGTTTCTGGCGTTGGGCGCTGATGGAGAAACTGCTGATGATGAGTCTGTGCTTTCCTTTGCAAGGCGCGGGCAGAAGGGACAATTGTGTGCTGTCGAGACTTGAAGGAGGCAACTTACAGCGCGCAGTCTAATATATGAGTTACAGGTCAGATTCAGCGTTTCTGCTGCCGGGGCGACGTTGTAGAAGCTTCGGGCGTTCACGCGACAATGATTTTTAACGAGTGCGGTGTTTTTGCATTAGACGTCACCGCCCATTCCCAAGTGGCTGGTGCGCCCCACCGACGGCCATTGATCCCGTCAGCCCATGAAGCCTGACACCGATATTGAAAGAAGCAAGTTTGCATCCTGTTGCGCCGACCATCGTGCTGAGCGTGCGCATCTGGGATAGACGCTTCCGCCATGCTCCGCCCCCGATCCCGCTCTTAGTCGGGCTCTGTATCGTCAAGGTACTTAATACCGCACCTAACATTAATACCCAAGCCTCTATATGCTACAACCCGCCTTGTACCTGGGTGCTGCCTGTCCATGGCATGCCAGACCTTAGGTTCCTCAAATCTATGGATCTCACCGGCGTGCCTCCGACGGCCAAGACCTTGTAGCCGCACACCGTCTGCACGCTTCCTTCTCATCTAACCCATTACAAGTTGTGCGCCACCAATATAACTCCCGTCGTTGCCCGTATTAGACACATACTACGTCCCGTATACCTATATCCTCGATCAACACTTCTTACTGAACAACTTCCTCATCTGGCGTTTTAGCGCTTCACCTTCCTTTTCCCCACTATACCCCCATCTAAGCATACAACGTCCCGCGTATACCTATATCTTCAATCCACAGTGCTGCGGAATTTCCTTTTCGGGGACGTGGAGATGCGATATAATGCATACTTCGTATACCTATATCCTCAATCCACGGTCTTTATACAAGATTTCCTCATCTGGCACTTTGGGTGGCCTAAAGTGCCCATGTGATCTTCAGTGCGGAGTTGATGTGAGAAGGGGAGCATGATAGACGACCTTTAAGACTCCATCACAGTATTACGTTGCACTCAAGCTATGGGAACTACCCGGAAGCCCTTTGCGCGCCTCGACAAGTACCATACTCAACAATGAGAAAGTCATGTATTCCTTCAGGCTACCACATGTACTGCACCCTCATCAGACCGTATGTCATTGTTGCAGTCAACGGCAAGTTCCGCCATGGACATTGTAGCCGAGATATTATTGCAAGCACTCTACTACCATAAACTCAACAGCATAACCTCGAAACGTTCAAATACATGGTATAGCAAGTTGTTCAATCGTATTCATCAACATCTAGCCTATCTAGTCGACATACTCAAGCGGTAACTGCAGACGTGGCTGTGATGATCGTCAGGAACACCAATCATCATGCGTCCCCCAGAACCACTTTAGTGGAGCAAGTGAGCCCGGTGGCAAACTGCATATTTGCCACATATTCGATACGATACCGATACTAATCCCATGTAGTCATGAAAAACATATCCTCTTACACATCTCTCACAGTGCCCTGCTGCCCTCCACTGCCCGTACTCGACGGCGAGCGCTGTGCAGCTTGGGAAGCCTGCGCGACCGCGCCCCGGATGTTGAGAGATCCAATCCGCTGTACGAGGTTGCTTCCTACCGCATCTACCGCACCTCTCGGCTGCAAGAGTGAAGGCGCTGCGGCCGAAGTTTCTTGAACCTTGAACAACCGTATGCTAGTGTTGTTCCAGACACCCGCTGTACCCTTCGCAACAAGCATCTCGGCGGCAAACACAAAGCCCCAAAGGAGCGACTCATACCAACCGAGCGACAATGGCGACCACTCGAAGAGATGGACTCTGATGGGCGAGGGCTCGATACCACGAACCTCTGTTTCGCGGATGATGTTTAGTGCCTCGGCGGTCTCTTGTGAGTTACCTGTTTGAGGGATCTTGGGACCAAGCTGTGAGATCAACATCAGGATAGTATGGAGTGGGAGTTCAGAGAGCCATCCTTCGAGCTAGGATCGAGATTAGCAACGCCAAACGCTTGTAATGATGTGGCTTACCCAGGGTACGGAGGGAGTGAAGAAGTCATTGGTGGCCAGCGCTGGACCGGCTAGGCTGTGCAGACTGGTCATGCTGTTCTGGCGAGAGAAGGCAGGCTGGCCCACCGGCATCTTTCCTCTTGCCTTTTCTGACATACCCCTTAGTTGAAGGGGCACCGAGTCGTCCACAGATGATGCTATGGATGCGCTTCTAGAGGCACTTGAGGGTGACTGTATCGGTGATCTTTGAGCTTCTAATGGGCGTGTTTCCTCTGCATCCGAATCATCGTCATCACCGATGGCAAAGGCGCTATCTTCTTCTGGGACGTTGCCGAGGGTGGGTGTGCGGGCTACCGTGGGGCTTCTCAGACTGTCGATGGAAGCGGTGCGCGAGATGTCATCGGAGCCCTCCTTACGCTGTTGATTTTGACGCTCGAGCTCCTCTTGGCCGCTTTCAAGTGTGAAATCTCTTAATGCTTGAAACCTCTTCTGCGATCGCACAATAGCATACACAAGGTTCGGATTGTCTGCTTGGAAGTTAGTAAAAGGAAAGGTCACGTGGTTGAACTGACTCACGCTGATATTGATGTTCCAGGATGGCATTTAGAACCTCCAATAGCGAATGAAGAAGTGTGTGGTTGTTCTCATTCGCAAACAAGAAACTGGGGGACGACATGGAAGCAAAGAGCTGTAGTAGCTTGGAGCTTGAGGCACGCCCGAGATTCTGGACGTAAGCCGCGATGTTGTTCAGAATCGCAAGTAAGGCCGGATATATCGCATCTAACCTGCCTTTGCCGGTAGTGAGTAGTGTGTAGATAGACTGGCATAGTTAGTAAACGTGAGTGCAATGGCTATAGTGCATACCGTGATGACATAGTCGGCATATGTGCCATGGAAGTTGGGTATGCGTATGCTAGCTGGAAGTGACTCTTGGCCCTCGAACGTCTTGTTGAGGCTCTTGCCAAACTGCGGCTCAACACTCAAGGTTTGAAGTACAAAGATGCACATGCGCACAAGACCTTGCTTAGACGGGTCGTTGCGCTGATCAATGGCATAGTAGAGTACTAGCACAACAAAATCGTGGGCTCTGTCGGTATCAATGATGAACGAGCGAAAGCGCTTGTTGCACTGCAATGCCTCCCAGAAGAGCATGATCATCTCAGGTGCCCAGGTCAGTGACTTGTGGCTGCCGGGTAGGTAAGAGGTGTTGGCTTGGAGCTAGTCTGTGTCAGCAAGCGCAAAGTGGTATATTACAGGAGACATACCGGCTGATTCAGTATTCTAGTCATGCCATCAACTAGGAATTGAAAGTCCTGGGGGCGATGCAGACGACCAAGGAAATGGCGGAAGAAGTTCTTTGGCGCTGGACCATTGCCAGACTCGGGTATTGGGTACAAAATGAGAACTAGGAGTAGTTGCAGACAGTATGTGACCAGGACCTGTCGCTGGTCTTTGAATACGACGTGATCGTATGGAACGCGCCATGTCGCAGGGTTATACTTGAGTGTTGTGTTTAGGAGTGAGCAGAGAACGGATAGGACGACCTGCTTGTCCGGACATGTCGCAATGTACGTGATGGCCTTGACACCCTTTACTGGCAGGATACCCGCAGACATGTACATGGACTTGCTTGCCAGTGTTAGCAAGAGGCGCAAGATCTCGGTCCTGTTGCTCTCAAACTCCTTGGTCGAGGCGATGGGCGTGTTGCAGCCGACGCCGCTCTGCCATATCGCATACGTGACCTTGTTCTTGCCAGCCGAGACCTTGGGAAGGCTAAACTCTGAGAAGAAGAGCAGATCAATGAGGGTGTCGATAATCTCCTCTGCGAGCGGTTTCGCATTCTCGAACTCGGGCTCCTTCTCCGTGGGCGTCTGCTCTGGATCGGCTTCGTCAAAGATAACTTCGCTTCGCACCAGCTGGCCCCGCCGGCTGCGCTTCCGCCGCGCAGCCCAGAAGAACTGGTCCTCCCACGTCTCTAGGTGATCGGCCTCATACAGAAAAGGGAGAAGTCGCGTGAGGACTCGTATGCAATTGAGGGCATCACGCTCGGGTGCAAGCTCGGGGTCGGGGAAGGAAGGGTGGTTGCGGAGGACAATGAGGCGTGAAGTGACAGCGAGAATGAGCGTCTCTAGATTGGCTAGGTTGTTGTCGCGCGTACGGCGGATATCTGCGGGGGAAAAGAGCGAGAAGACATCCTCAGTCGACTCTGGCAGCTCCCAGAACTGGGGCCGTGGTCAGTTCAAGCACAGCGAATATAGCGCAAACAGCTTACGCTGGTCCAGTAGATATCGTCTGGAGGAATCTGCTTGGGCTCCGACAGGCGGAAGATGCCCTGCTTGAAGGAGAGTTTAGAGTCGGATGCACCCATTGGGAAGCATGTCACGTCTTCATGTGCGCATTCTGATTCGGAGGACAGCTATTGGGTTGCTTGTTTTCAGCTTTGGTAGTCGTGGGTGCAGCCTCGCCGGGGCATCTGGTGACGTCGCCGGCAAGCCCGAGCCAACCCCGGCCTTTGATTCACATGCTTTCGCGTCCGCGCGCGTCGACGGCGGCCTTTAGCGCGCCATTACTCAGACCTCATCTGTACGGGACGACATAGTCATAGTAATAGCACTTTACACGCTTCCATGCCAATAATTGCCAAAAGGTGAAGGTGCAACCGTGATACGTCGTTACATAATCACTGTTGCCTCACGGTCAACTACTACATATTTGTCTGCGCCTCTTCCCCGACCGTCTTCGCCGCCGCCACCCTCAACTCCCCATCCTCAACCTCGCCGTTTCATAGACCAGCGCACCCCGCGCCCACCAGTAATAAATCACCACCATGCCGCCTAAGCGCAAAGCGCCGACAGCAGCAGACGTAGCGGCCGAGGATGACTGGGACGATAATGATGAGGGTCCCATGAGCGACCAGGACACGTTCGACCAGCTCAAGGAAGAGTTTGACGTCAAGGCCATGACAAAGCGAGCGCGCGCTGGGAGAGTCAGAGACGCCGCTGCAGACCTGTTCAGAAAGTCGGACCAGTGGAGTGCGCCGCTCAAGCCTGACCACTTCAACCGTCCGCTCTGGGTCAACGATGCGGGTGGCATCATCCTCGAGTCCTTCCACCCCCTCTTCGATGAGGCACAGGACTTTTTGATCAACATCGCCGAGCCGCAGTCGCGTGTCTCCAAGATGCACGAGTACCAACTTACCACCCACAGTCTCTTCGCCGCCGTTAGTGTCGGTCATTCCAAGGAGGAGATTATCGACAAACTGGACCGCTACTCCAAGACGGCATTATCTGCTGCCATCATACAGTTTGTCGAAAAGTCTACGTCCGCTTTTGGCAAAGCTAAGATCGTCTTGAAAAAGACGCTATCATACATTGAGAGTGAGGATCCGGCCATACTCCAGAAACTTCTCCGCGATCCCATCGTCGCAGGCTGCAGAGCAGACGCCACCGATGGTCTCATCAAGGAGGCTGCCCCTAAGATTGGTCAGATGGCCATCCCCGGTACCAAGCTAGCTGCTGGCGCCAACAACATGGCTCAGCAGCCACAGCCAGAAGCAGTCCAGAACCCTGCACCCAGTGACATGGTTGCCGCCCTTAGGGAAGACGACGATGACGACGAAGTAGCACAGGTTCATTCCTTTCAGATCAGGAGTGAGGAGCGCGAAAAGGTCGTCAAGCGCTGTCGAGCCATCGGTCTACCGCTTACCGAGGAGTATGATTTCAACAATGACGACACAAATCCAAACTTAGAAATCGACCTCAAGCCCCATGCGCAGATAAGATACTACCAGGAAAAGGCACTTGGTAAGATGTTTTCAAATTCCCGAGCACGTTCAGGCATCATCGTGTTGCCCTGTGGTGCAGGTAAGACATTGGTTGGCATTACAGCCGCCTGCGGTGTCAAGAAGTCTGTCATGGTCCTGTGCACCAGCGCCATGTCGGTCGTTCAGTGGCGAGCCGAATTCATCAAGTGGTCCAATATCAACCCTGAGGATATTGCCGTTTTCACTGCAGATAACAAAACCAGATTCCCTCGCCAGGCTGGCATAATTATCAGCACCTACTCTATGATCAGTAACGCGAGGAAGCGTTCGCACGATGCTGAGAAAGTGATGCAATTCATCCGAGAACGAGAATGGGGACTGCTGATCGCCGACGAGGTGCATGTTGTACCGGCAAACATCTTCAAAAAAGTCACCTACGAAATCGCTTCGCACGCAAAACTCGGTCTAACCGCTACCCTGCTGCGAGAAGACGACAAGATTGACGATCTCAATTTCTTGATCGGGCCCAAGCTGTACGAAGCCAACTGGCAGGAACTGTCCGAACAGGGCCATATTGCCAAAGTCCAGTGTGCTGAGGTCTGGTGCCAGATGACTCCCGAGTTTTATACCGAATGGCTGAAGCCTTCTTCACTACAGAAGCGCGCATTGCTGTCAATTATGAACCCAAAGAAGTTTCAAGCCTGTCAGTTCTTGATCAATTACCACGAATCAAGAGGCGACAAGATCATCGTCTTCTCCGACAATGTCTACGCGCTGGAAAAATACTCGCGTAAACTTGGCAAGGCGTACATTTACGGAGCGACCCCTCAACAAGAACGTCTGAGAATTCTGGAGAACTTCCAACACAATGACCAAATCAACACTATCTTCCTGTCCAAGATTGGAGACACCAGTTTGGATCTTCCCGAGGCGACTTGTCTCATTCAAATCTCATCACATTACGGTTCGCGCCGTCAAGAAGCCCAGCGCCTAGGCAGAATCCTGCGGGCCAAGAGGAGGAACGACGAAGGCTTCAATGCCTTTTTCTACTCCCTCGTCTCCAAAGATACAGATGAGATGTACTACTCCTCCAAGCGCCAAGCCTTTCTCGTCGACCAAGGCTACGCCTTCAAAGTCATCACCCGTCTCGAAGGCTTAGATTCATTCCCCCAGCTGGCGTTTGCAACACCACAGGAACGAAGAGAGCTGCTCACAGATGTCGTGCTTGCCAAAGAAGAAGATGCAAAGGCAGAGCGGATCGAAGACGACGCGTTTGGCACAAAGTACGCTTCGCAAAAGGGCAACAGGAAGAAGAATGGTGTGCGGAGGGCGGCTGGTACATTGTCGGAGTTCTCGGGTGGCCAAACTATGGCGTATATGGAGGTCAATAAGAGTAGGAATAAGGATCTCAAGGGAACTAAGGGAGTGCAGAATGCTTTCCTGAGGAAGCTTGGCAGGTCGGGGCCGAAGAAGTAAGGGGATGGTTCTTTCTGCATCTGCATGGCGTTTTTCTTTCTTTCTACGGAAGTGATAGGTGGGTGGAGCGTTAGACTGTCTGTTCGACATGAGGATGAAAATGTATGGTCTTTTTCCACTTAGCATGGGGCACTCGTCAAGACTAGATGCGGTATTTTTGTACGTCAATACAAAATGAATACACATTCATCCTGCTTCCACTTTGAAGTCGCACACTTCGGTTATCATCGCTGTCATTCTTCTGCGCTCCAACTATCTGCATTATCAACTTTTGCACCGTCCTACACTCCCAAATAGAACATCTTCCGCAAACCCTTCCACCATCCCTTATCCCTTAACCCTTTAATAACATAGGTCTATATCTATTCTTACAACACCGACATACCCTACCCAATAACTTCCGCGTCTTCACATACACTGGCATGTGTACTCCTGTTCCCATTACTTCTTCTTAGAGGGACCTAAGCTGTATGTATATGAAGTGGTGTTTACATGCATGTGTACGGATGGGAAGTGCAGGGGAGGAAGTGGAAGAAGGGGCAGTCTTGGGAAATTTCGCAGTGGTATGGTTAGTGCCTTTAAGGTATTCGATTTTGAACTTTGGTATCGGCTTTTAGGGCTGTGCTATTAGGTGCCGTAGGCTACTAGTGACTTGAGGAACGATTTGAGGGTGGGGTTGGTGCTTGGTGGTATCGAGAACGCGGGAGGCCGTGCGGCGACGATGAGTTTTGCGACCTTGAGGAAACATGGAAAGATCGGTGGGTTCAGGGCGCGACAATAGAGTCAAACGTGAGTCGAAAGATGGTTATCTGGTTGGTTTTTGTGGGCCGGAGGGCGGAGGGCGCAAGGGCTTGTGCGATTGTTGGTGGTATAGAGGTCGCGCTTGTACAAAGCTAATCTGATAGCGACACTGACTTAGTACCACGGCACAGTCGACCTGAGACGCCCCCCCAAACTACCGCATCTAAAAGTCTTTAAATGGCTATATCGACGCAGCAAATTCGCGATTGAAGAGAATCTCTAGCTTGTACTGAGCTAGCTGGAGCTGTTTAGGTAGTCGCACCGATGTCTGCAAATTATAATGTTATCAGGCCTGTTTGCTTGCTCTGTTTACTACAACGATGCCATCTTGGAATTTGAAGGTGAAAATGGATGCTGGTACACTGTAAATGGTGCTATGGTACAGTCAACTGCATCGGGACGACCCCCAAAACCACCGCCCCGAATGATACAAAACGACGATAGGGAACGACTTTGATATCGTCGCCTAACAGAACTTTTGGTATATTGTGCCATGCGAACCATGGAACGCGATAATGCTCTAGCGGTACCTTGGCAGCAACGGGGGACTGAGCAGTATTTAAATACCTTGCCGGTCTGCCACCTTAGCCTCCATCACAATATCCTCCAAACCTCCAGAAGCTCAACTCAGAAGATATCACCAACCGTATACAATCAACGACTCAACACCATGACTATACCTTCCAGCTCACCCGAGACCTCCTCGCTCAAGGAACCTGTCACGGACAAGGACAGCAAACCGCAGTCGTGTATCGAGGAAGAGATCGCAGCTGAGATGGATTGTCGGAGTCTCAAATACCGCTATGGCTGGCCAATCCTCCCCCCACTCCCTGTGAGGACTATCGAGAAAGATGTGGCCCAATCGATTCCAAACTCGTCTGAACATGTCACAAGTGCACAGCGCATTCTGGATGCCGAGGGAATAAAGACTGAAGTCAGCTTCGTCTATCGAATGCCACGCTCTGCTCACAAAGCCGAGATGCAGGACTACCTGACACTTCTGGTCGCTACCGATACCGAGGCACACGCCGCCGATCGCTTCCACGACGTGGTTATCAAGCTGCGACTTCACGTCATGAACATACCGGAAACAGCGGATACCAAGATCGAAATAATCGACTACCGCGCAAAAATTGATCTTGTGTGCGGTTCCACCAGCGGTCCACTCGCCGAGAGGATTGACGAGATATGGCCGACCCCTCTAGTGAAACGTATTACTAAAGTCATCCATGACATGGGCCTAGACTAGCGAGCTATTGAGTTTATGTATCGCGGGCTCCACCTTGACGATCGCAACAAAACAGCCTCACGGTAGTCATCTCCACTGCCACGGCTGATGATCTCAACTGGTGGAAGACGGTCATTCCTGCACTACGAGAGATTGTCGTATCTCTCGAACTTGAGTTCGACATAGACTTTGAGGTTCTAGCCTGCGTGAGTATCTATGGCAACCCAATAGATGACGAGTTCTAGAAAGTCTCCACAGTGTGGTAAAGGTGGTCTGGACATCCAAGTGCTAAGGCAAGTGTGAAAAAGCTCAGTCGAGCTATCTTCAAAATCAGGCAATCGATGGTTCTTCGGGTTGGAACGCCAAGGATGGGCTCTAGGTGGTATGACGGGCAATCCGTCGGAGATGATGATCATATTTCCAATTGAATTTACAATCGAGCAAGTTTGAAGATATTCGATAAGAAGTGAATTGATATATACATGTGACTAACGCTAGCTCCGCTACCCACGATACCACACGCATTTGCAAGCCACTCTTCCCTTCTAGAAAGCGAATATTCCTTTCTCATTGTTTCTTTTTCGCAGTCGGCAAAGTCATAAAGCCAAGGTCGGCCCCCAATCTAGTGGTTACCGCACCTTTGATTCTCTCATAATTTGTCGAACGCAACAATCCGCGTTTCCAGCATTCGGCCCCAGAATATCCCAAGCGGGTCAGGCTTGCAATAGCCCTTATTTGGTTTCGCTGTATTCCCCGAGCAAAGAGCAGTAGCAATCACACTTGTTCTGTTTATTCGTTCATGACGAATGGAATTGGAAGGAGATACCTATGCCGCACTACTCGTGGTATTCTACTGGCATAGTGACATCTAAACGGGGCAGTGATGCTTGCCATGATATCACAGCTGCTTGTGCACTCTAATGTGTCTGTCTCATCACAGTTTCCAGGCTTCTGTTGTTTTCGTATTTGGCCAAGATGTTTCGTTGCACTGGTAGATATAATATACGTACTGGGCCCCATTTAGCTGGGGCTGAATCGCATTCAAAATTTCCCGAAAGCTCTGTAGAAACTAGGGCCACAAAGGGCAGCACGGTAAGGAGTAGGCTGAATAAGCGGAAATGCATAGTGGTGGTGATTTGATGTTTGGAGGTGGTGATTTGATGTTTGGAGGTGGTGAAAAGAGTCTCTGGGTGGTAGGTAGAGAGAATTACTGTAATCGCGATTGCAAATAGGTAAGTTACCGCCGAGATGTGGTAGTATAGCAGAGGACTTTGGGTCTTTTCATACAACAACGCGTGGAATGTATCTGCTACATGCTAGTTTGATCGTTCTACGGCACGGCAGGCGTGCGATAAGGCAAGATTTGACGACAGAACTGTGGGGGAATGACTTGGGGAAACATAGCCGGGCGTATATGGACGTGTGATACCAAAGTTGGGGCATCGCTGTCATTGCTCAAAGTCGTTTGGGTGTAGTAGTGTTAGGTGGCTGACTAGTTCCAAAGAGCGGGAAACATAGCCGGGGCACGGTTAGTCATGTGGGTCACAGATGACTGGGGTTACGACGAACAGCATTCGGAAGTAAGCATCTTACATCACTCACACCACTACGCTAGGCAAAGAACGTGTTCTCGAATGTATCATCAGTCAGTTCCTGGTGAACATGGTTGAGATTATACAGTGACGCGACAAGCCCTTGTTCATCAGGTAACACCAAACATACCAGAGACGACAAATACGGATATCAAAGATCCCCCCAATCAATTCGACCAGTTACACCTTGATGAAACTGCTCCTATCTAGGTACTTAGATTAATCGCAGGATCGTAAAAAATATGGCAACAACGGCGAGCACTACTCTATACTGACTCAATTAGCGCCTATTCCGACCAATTGACAACATTCCTGGCTATCGCAACCATGGATTTCAAGAGACATTGGTGGTTGACTGATAGGCATTAGACGTTTACTGCAAAGCTTGTTGTCTTCCTCTGGACCCTCAGTGAAAGCTTGACACTGAGGGGTCCATACAGTGGATTATGTAAGAGATCATCAGTGTCCGCGTATCTGGTATGCTATTTAAAGTCAGTAAACAAGTACGGTACTTGCATGACTAGTCGGAAGGGGAGGGTCCACGAAGGATCTCGCCGTGCAAACACTATCACTAGATCAGTGGGCCCATAGATGTATGTAAATGAATACCTAGATACGGATACCTATGAACATGCGACCATTTCCGTATATCGACAAGCGGTGCTTGCACATTTTGACGTGCATAGAGCCTTGGACAGATTTTAAAACTTCGGAGAACGGGAACTGTCTACCTCCGACATATTCGTTATGGGCGATGATTACTTGCCACAGTTCGGCCGCTTAGTTACGTACATAGGTAGATGATCTTCCTTGGCGCATAGACCGCTGCTTTGATATTAGTGCTTACATCTACCCCGTACCGCTTACGTTCTTGCGCAATCAACGCATATATTGAAGAAATCAAGGTGAGAAGATGGCAAATTGGACAGCCTTTGGATTGCTATAGACTAATGTCTGATGAAATTCTGTATATCCACGACCCTGAAATATGGGCCCTGTTACCTGTTTTGAATTTGATGCATCCTCTCCAAACGTCTCATCGCTTCCATGTTCATGCCGTAAGACAAAGAATCACCAGGCAGAAGTGTGAGCCGATCGCGGTCCCACTAAACGCAATCGCATTCCTGGTCCTCCTCTAGATCATCGCAGGGACAAGGAAACCAACATTTTGGTACATTTTCCAGTGACTTGTCCAACATCTTGAAGCAAAGAAAGAAAGAGTTTCGTGTAAGTTGTAATCGGTTGTCTGACAGAAATCAAACTATGGTTGCTGAAGCGCTTATTCGATGGGCTCTGAGTTGTACGGGAAGAGAGAGAGAGAGAGAGGGCAGTATAAAGAGAAGACTGGGGTACTTATATATGGAGGTGGTGCATTGTAGACAGACTCCGCAACAATCAATCGATTGACATGATTGATTCCTATATAGGTTAAAGAATTACTTCATTAGGCAGCCTTTAACCTAGATAGGAATCAATCATGCCGATCCGATTGATTGTTGCGGAGTCTGATTGTAGATCTGGGGTGAGTCACCGGCTGACGTGGCTGGGCGCGTTCCATCGTAGCAGTGACGTGAATCGCGAGGTCCAGTATTTTGCACCCAAGAATAGAACGAGGTAGCAGGTATTACACAAATCACGTCACCCAGCGCGAGCGGCCAAACTGGTAAACGCGTGAATATATTACTCAGATTCGTCGCAAAGATGAATGCAGGCAGAATAGTGAATATGTATATGAAGTTTACGCTAATCATACTGTATCCCGAGCTTTCACGCTCCTAGACATATTATGTGCCTATAATTTTGAAAGAGTGCGGTCTGACTACCTAGAGCCAACGTGTTGAAAATAGAAGGAAACAAGATTACCTACCACGCGAGGATACTATCCACCTTTCCTCCGCCTCTGTATCTCATGCTACTTTCCGGTAAACAGAATGCTCTAGAGGGTCCGAGATTGATGGTCCAAGTGTGGGCACGTAGGGTCGAGATCAATATCATGTCATCCCAATCCCTGCCGAAGATCAGCCCCATGCAAATCTGCAACCTCATCGTGCCAGTAATGAGCGAACACGATATTGTACTCTATTCAGTACCTCAGAAGATCACGATAATAGTTCATAAACAGCATTAAAGCCTTACCCAGCTTGATGCCGGCTTTATTGCGAGGGGAAGAAAGGAATTACCGATCGTCCAGTGCCATAGGGATTTGAGGCATACGGAGAAATGTCCAAGGTTGACTGGCCCACCTGGGTCGAGTGCAATTGGGTGTTGTCAAAAAGTTGTCGAGGAGAACACACCGCACCGCGATATGGTATGCGGTGTAAAGTGCGGATGGTTGTAAGGATAGAATGTAAAATGGCGCGGTACCATATCAACTTGGGAGGCTCAATCTTGTTGAGCCCTCCAAAAACAGGTGAGTGGCTCAATGTACTGCGTGCTAGTCGATCAATAAACAGGTCGACACCTTCCGTGTCATATATGAAATGCGGTAAGGCGAGAGTTTTGTCGCGATTGCTAAGTTCGATGCCCAGGCAAGGACATCTGCGGCCGTGGTTGCAATATGCTTCCATCCTGATGCACAATCCAACAGACCACAATGGATAAAGATGAAAGGTCTCCAATACATCCAATTAACGCGGTTATAATGGCATAGGCTGGTGTACGAAATCTCCAGACTGAGAAGCACGTAAAAATTGAGTTATACAAGCCTATGAAAATAGAAGCACTTTCCCCTTAAGTAAACGCCATATGTTGATCAGTGGCGACTAATCCCGGACGGCTGTCTCACGTTGCCTTGATCGCCACATTCATTGGCCGATCAGCTTAACCGAGTCTAACTTGAATCAACAGGCACCACAACCACACCCAGTCCCTGAACATGGATGCATGACGGGTAATGCTCGAATTGGTGGGAAGACCGTCGCATGTAAAGCCAGTGACATGTGTAAAATGTGGGTTCAGGTTCAGGCCCTGCATCGACATGTTGCCTTGTATATAGCACGGGCTGCCTTGGCCTACTTGCGGCTGCAGGCCGCTCTCGCGATTTCTTCCAGCCTTTGTTGTCGATATGAGATTTGTTACAACATGTGCGGCATGGGCGGCCGCTGTCTTTTCGTTTGTTGTGGCTCAAGAAGTCAATGTCACGATCGTTCCTGTGGCTACTGGATTTAAAGCGGAGAACACGGGCTTCGTTTACGGTACATCGCCTCTCCTTGTCGCCAACGATAAAAGCGCAGCGGATGGCGGGTTTAGAACGTTTGCAGTTTCCAATGGAAGCAGTTTCCAAGAAATATCGCATTTGAAGACTGGTCGCTCGAAAATTGTTGTCCCTGTTCTCGATATTGGCGGTCGAGATCTGATCGTCAACGTTCCCTCGCCCGACTCACTCATCCGGGTTTTCGACGCAAAGACCAGTAAAGCGGTCGAGAGTAACGACAAGAAACAACTGGGCGATTGGAGTGCGGCGTGCGTCTGGCGTAGCCCAACAAGTGGAGAGAGCTACATCTTCCTGTTCGGCAAAAAGATGGTGGTCCAGTTCCTGACTAGAGATACTAAGAAGCGTGTTGAAGTACTGGAGGTAGGTATCCATTTGACTATTGTTTCTGGAATACTGAACTGATGTTTAATAGGTGCAAACATTCGCTGCTCCCATAGAAGCCGAAACCTGTGCCGTCTTCTCAGCCGGCCAAGTCTTCTTCTCCGCGGAAGATAGACCCTTGTACTCTTTTCAAGCTTCAGAGTCGACTCAAGCTCCTGAGATCCAGACGTTAGATGAAAAAATGGGAGTGGAGGGATTGGCTACGTATCATGGCAATTCTAGCGAATATCTTTTCGTGGCTCACGATGAGGCCATCGACGTATACGACTCCGGGATGAAGAAGAAAGGAAGCCTGTTATTGAGCGGCATCTCTAAGCTTTCGATCAAAGGAGGGTTATCGGTTCTTCAGTCCACACTCCCGGGTTATCCATCCGGGGCTTTCGCATTCGCCTTTGAGGGAAAAGATGATTCCGGTGTCGCTGTAGGCTCACTAAATGGCGTTCTTACTTCGTTTGGTATCAAGACAAACACAAAGTATAGCCCTGAAAATCAGCATTGTGACAGTTGCGTAAGCCCCGTCTCAGGCAAGTGCTCCAAGAATGGCTTCATCTCCGACAAGGTTTGCTCTTGTTTTGCAGGCTTCACCGGTCACGACTGCACAAAGACGACCTGCGCCAACGACTGTTCTGGTCATGGAAAATGCGATGGTCCCAATGTCTGCAAGTGCAAGGACGGATGGACTGGTCCTGACTGTTCGTTTGTCGCGGTCAAGGCCAAGCACGAGACTGAGGCAAACGGTGGCGATGGCGATGACCCGGCAATGTGGATTCACCCTACTAGGCCAGACCAGAGCAAGATCATCACTACGACGAAATCTGATGACGGTGAGGGATTCGGCGTCTTCGATCTAGAAGGAAAGCTCCTGCAGCATCTGACTGCGAATGAGCCGAACAATGTCGATGTCATCTACAACTTCACCGTTGATGGGCGCAAGGTCGATCTTGCATATGCGGCGTGTCGCGGCGACAACACAATGTGGTAAGTATTCCCTCTTTTCTGCCATTCAAGCATCCAGCTTACATTTTCAAAGCATCGTCGGAGTAAACAGCACCGGCTACCTCAGCGATATCTCCGGTGGCACCCAGGCACTACCCGCAGACTACGAACCCTACGGCTCATGCACCTATCGCTCTCAGAAAACGGGAAAGCAATACCTCTTCGTCAACAACAAAGAAGCACAATACCTGCAATACGAACTCACCGCCACCACCAACGGCACCCTTCAAACAACGCTCGTCCGCCAATTCCAGGGCGGCTCCGGTGGACAAGTCGAAGGCTGCGTCGCCGACGAAGGCGCCGGCTACGTCTTCATCGGCGAAGAACCCCTCGGCATCTGGCGCTACGAAGCAGAACCCACCGGATCGCATACCGGTGTCCAGATCGCCACTGTGGGCGATGCAAGCGGGCTACACGCCGACGTTGAAGGTATTACCCTCGTGCCTGCCAAGTCGGGCCCTGACGGTTACATCATCGTGTCATCACAGGGTATCTCTGCCTACCTCGTCTACGAACGCGCGCCGCCGCACAAGTACGTAGAGACGTTTACGATTGTGGATAATGAGAAGAAGGGTATCGACCATGTGAGCAACACGGATGGTATTACCGCAGTTGGGAATGTGCTGAATGAGGATTTCCCGGGCGGGCTGTTTGTTACACATGATGATGCTAATGAGCTTGCTGAGGGAGGTACGGCGAAGGAAGCGAGTTTCAAGCTTGTTAGTTTGGTGGATATATTGGGGAAAGAGAGGGTTGAGAAGTTGGGGTACTAGTAAAGACGTTACTCTACAGCGAAAGACTACATCTGAGTTATTCCTACATCTATGAATTCCAACATTCTGTACTACATGTTCTTACAAAGCATATTGAAGCTTACCATGTCCTTTGTAGACCATCTGCTACCCAGATCTCCATGCGAACATGCATCATTGATGTTTGCCATAGACAGCCGACTACCACACGGAATCGTCAAATTCGTCGTGCTCAATCACAGAAAAAATACCATGACCACTTCTTCTCCATCTTATGCTTTTCAATCTCCAGTCCAATTTCCACTTTAGAGCGTCCAAGGTTTCGGGGTCAAAATTGCTGGAAGAGAAGGTGGTCGGACAAAGCTTGAGAAGTTGCAAATCCTCCTTGGAGTCATACAGCGCGGGATCGGAATGCAGGTTGGGCCAGAGGTCTATCGCAGGAGTACGACGATGGCGCACTACACAACCTGTCTTATCGCCATAATTCCACGTCGTATGCTCGCCATACATCTCAACGATGACGGAGATGTTCCCATGACGGGACTGCCTGACGCAATTAAGTAGTTGCGTCAACTCCAATTCCCTGATCATCACGCCATCATAGCGGTAGTTCCCATACGTAGTTGTAGTGCTGCCTTGCCCTGTGGGTATGTAGTATCTGATCTCCCAGTCTGTGGCTCTGTCCTTTGCTAGCAGTTCGACGAGCTCCCCAAGCTCCCCGCCGGGAACGCCTTCGTTTACTGGGTGCAACTTGGGCCACAGCGAGAGAAAGTGGTCGAGGTGAACGGTCGCGCGTCGACGGCTGTGGATACTGCGCCTGAGGAGCATCCTCATGGACTGCGACTGAAATGTCTCGATCGCCCGATGGAGGGATGCGAGGAGGAGTCTGGGATCGTAGGAATTCTCTCCAGCGATGAGATCGACGTGCAGGTGGAAGTGTACGTTTGCAAATTCCGTGAGCGCTGCTGCGATGGTGTCTTTTGTTTCTATTGTCAAACCGAATTCATCGTCTAGCTTGTCTTCGTAGTCAAAGTTCATACCCACCATGACCGGGATGTAGGCGGCTTGGTTCTCGGTCATGTAGCCTCGCACTTCGCCGTACATCTGCGAATATGTCCGCGCGAGCGCGATGTACTGGTCTGGCTTGTTGAGGTGAAACGGGTTCAACGGCACGCGCGAGTGCTCCACATCGAAACAGAGAGCGTAGATCTTGTTGCGGAGCTCGCCGGGGAGGAAAAGGAATGTCGCTCGGCTTGGGAAGGGAGGTTTCGCATCTTTGATCTTGATCGGGCGTCGCCTGGTCATCTTGAGCGTCGTTTGATCGACGAAGCAGCTGATCAGAGACCGTTGTATGAGCTGCGGGAGATGGTACTGGGGTAACTCGTGTTGACTCGGGTTTGCGTATACGGGTGGTGGGCGTTGGGTTGTCTCTGCAAGGTTGTGTCAGTCAGAGTGTGTTCTTTGCGGCTGCAGATTGGGTGGGCTGTATAGGTTCCTGTGCTTGCTAATCACTGCGAGGATTCGCGATAACCAGCTGCAGTGACGGAGCCCACATGACGGGCCAACTCTTTCATGGAGCCATTAGGCCTTTCAAGAAGCCAGTAAGCCTTTCATAAAGCACAAAGCAGATAGGCCTTTCAATTAACCAATAGGCCCGTCTGGATGTTGCAATTTTGACGAATTTCCAAATCGCCCCGGCGCTATGCTTGCTCTACAGATGGATTGAGCGCCACTGGAGATGCTGGACCATGAATCCAGCTACCAATTGATGTTCTTCGGGTATATGATACAAAGTAGTTGCAGCAACAGATTCTATCCATTGCGCTGCAGCGTGGTGGCCGTTGAGGCTGAGCCATAGCTGTTCACCACTTTCGCATCTAGCAGTTCACTGCAATTGCCCTTTCAGTGTGCAAAAACTGCCCGTTTACCTCATGACTTGCACTGAGGGCTTTAGAAGAGCTCTTTGCTGCATCTCTACCTCGCTGGTCAACTTCCAGGACGCTGTCGCGACGTCCGTACATGCATGGCCCTCACGTGACTTGAACATTCATCTTCACCATCCCGCGTCTCTCATAGGTAGAAAGCACAAATTTCGCCTCCTCGGGTTGCTGTCTGTACGATATGACGTCAAAAAATCCCTCAAAGTTCCTCGCGACGTAGTAATCAGCCACTCTCATTGGCCGACGACTCACCTTCACCAGCCATTCCATACTCTTCCACTGCTACCGGCGGCGGCAGAACACCGGGAGAAGCCCGGCAGCGGTTTTTGGTTGATCCGCAAGGCTTGGCGGCGTCTGGAGGTCTAATATAAGCAGTCCCTCCCTCCCACTTACTTCTACTTCTCATCACTTTGCTGCGCTCTTTTCTGCACCCCCCATTTCCTTGCGGCACTACTAACTCCCCTCCCCCTGCCTAATATCCTTCCTCCCCTGATCTTCGTCACCACTTCGAACCGAGCAGCCGGTTAAATGAGAGACTCTATTTTACACTAGGTGGGAGTCATCGGGCGCCGCGATGGTTGGGGCGGCGCCTAACTAGCTTTTTCATTGATTTCTCTGGCTTGCCAGAGAATTGAGGAAGATGCTTCGTTTGCTTTTCTTCCAAGTGAGTGTGGTTGTACATTGGCATATAAGCTCGAGGTGAAGTTATGTGTACATGTGGAGGACATACAGTGCTTCATCTATGTAACACCTCACTACTGTAGTCTTAGACAGGTTCTTTCCACACGCATCTCTTGTAGTGTTCATGTCCTTCTAGCTCTGTCAATACAGCAAACATTTCACTTAGCTTGTCGACTATCAAGACTTCTAGAGAGAACCACAGGCTCTCTAGTGCTTGCTAAGATCCTGCCACCCTCTTCTTAGTATGACAGACATGCTACCTCTCTACCAATTGATAGCATTTTTTTCATTCGCATTCTACTTGTGAAGGGAACAGAATTTACGCAGTGTCGCTACTCAGCGCGACGTCAGACTGTTAGCGAAAACAAGCTAGGCACATCATCAATCGCGAAACAAAGTGTTCCTGCACCATGCTTACGTACTTACCTACATGCAGATGATATGAGTTTGTGAATTCGAAAGGTTGCAACAAAACATGATAAACAACGCGGTTCGACGCGTCCTCACGTGCACACACGAGCAATTTCGCCGCTGAATCATCGCAAGACGCATCTGCGCCCCACCACAAGGCGACCCATCATGTATAGATGCGCAGCCTAAACCCTGCTGTGTGTACTCAGAGACTTGAAAAAGAAAAGGTGATTTAGATTGCGCAATGTCTACAGAGCCATCATTACAAAAGCTGGAGCAACTACCAGCCGAAATGCTCGAGTTTGCGCTGCTCAAGACGACAGGCTCGCTTGCCCCACGTCTGGGCCGGCTGTCGTTTCCAGGGCGAAAGAGCATCTTGACGCCCGGGTTTATTGGCAATACATCGCGGGGCGTGATTCCGCATATTTCCCAGGACAACTTTGGGAAGAGCGTCGATCTTGGTGGGGTATACGTCGCGTTGGAGGACTGTGGGTACATTCACCTCCGAGGGTTATGCCGCGTTTCGCTAACTTGATGCATTTGCAGTTGTTGAGAAACTTCCTCAGAAAACTCCGCCGATTTTCAAGTATGAGGTTTCCGAGCCGCTGCGCAGATTTATCGCCCTTCCGCAGGATACGCTGCTTGTTCTCGGCGCGCGACGCAATCCGCCTATACCGAGCCCTCATGCCAACTCCAATAGCGAGGTAGGCTTGTTGACGTCTGTTGGCTTTACGGCTCTCAGTTCGGAGTATTATGCTGGCGCTGCGAGGAAACTGCAACCGGACATTGTCGTGGGCTTGGCCGACATACCGTTCGGTCAGGCAGTGGTGGGCACCAAGCGGAAAGACAAGATGAGCGACCGAACTGAGACATGGCTGCGGGACCTAGTGGTGAAGCAGGGCACATTGGAAAAGGGCGAGAAAGCATGGAGCATCTTCGCGCCCATACTGCCTATCGAACGCGAGCTGCAGACATGGTATCTCGAGCACTTACTGGATGACATGGTGGACAAGATCGGCGGCATCGCTATATACGACGCATACCTACTTGATGATCTCTCAGAAAAGCTACATTGCCTCCCTCGATTATCTTTCCATGCGCCAGTCAGCCCTCAGGACCTCCTCCGTCAGGTCAGCCTAGGCATAGACGTCTTCACCGTGCCTTTCGTCAACGATGCGACCGACGCGGGCATTGTCCTAGACTTTACCTTCCCAACGCCTGCCAAAGACTCCACCTCTAGCACCCGTCGTTCCCTAGGCATCGACATGTGGAGCGGCGACCACGCGCAATCCGTCACTCCACTGTCCGCAAAATGCACCTGCTACGCATGCACCAACCACCACCGCGCTTTCCTCCAGCACCTCCTGGCCGCCAAAGAGATGCTCGGCTGGGTCCTCATTCAAATCCACAACCACGAGATCCTCTCCGCCTTCTTCACCGGCGTTCGATCCTCCATCGATGCCGGCACGTTCGACGCCGACGTCGCTGCTTTCGAAGCCTACTATGAGCCCACGCTCCCCGAGAAGACTGGCCAAGGACCGCGAGTTAGAGGCTACCAGTTCAAGAGCGAGTCGCATGCGAAGAGGGAGAAGAAGAACCCCAAGGCGTTTCAGAAGTTTAGCGAAGAGGAGATTTTGAGGCTCAAGGCTGCTCATGGGCAGCGGCCGAGTGAGAAGCCGGAGATGAGGGACGTGATTGATGATGAGGCACTGTTGGGACTGATGAGCATGCATGGGGAGACGGTTGATGCGGATCTGGTTGCGCAGTTGGATGGGCTGCAGTTGCAGGATGATAAGAAGGCTTGAGTTGTAGGGAGGGAAGAATAGAAGGGACGATACTGGCGCAGTAATGCTGCGGCTTATATTTACTGCTGCCCATCTTTTGAAACCCCCATTATCGCATGCGTCTTCCGTCTCTCGAGAGTCGTACACCACAATCACATTTGTGGCTTTGCCTGGGCGGTGCATCTAGCGCCTGCAGTGGCTCGTAGCTGCAAGGGCTTCTGAGACACACGCCCTTTGAACACACCTGGTCCCCAAACCCGAAAGATCGCCAGACCATAATACCACACATGCATAGGAAAGTAAAGTCGTGCAATTATCAAAGTGGGCACGGACGTGAGCCACGCCATGTGCAATGATGTCGTACCGCTAAATTCCTATCATCAACGGCCGCCATATAAGCTGGCTGCATTTCCCTTTCCTTAATATTATCCCTTTCAGTCGCCCCTTCACATACACTGGTCTCCTTTCTTCAGCCTAGTCACCGTGTCCGGAAACCCAAAAGCCGCATGTGGTACACTACCCGCCACATCCCCTTCGCCGTGCTTGTCAACATTCAACAAGCCATACTGTAGCTTCTGCACCGCAACATCCTTATCTACAGGATCTGAGCCTAGGCAATGACCCCGCATCCAATCATCAAGATCCTTGTTCCGCGTCGTTCGAACAAGTCCCGAGAACGAACTTGTATGGCTGACACCATTAGACCAAAGGGCGTACAATCCCGCAATCAGGATAACAACGGTTGTGAAGACGGCGGCAGAGTAAGGTAGTAGTAGTGAGCGCGCGTTGTAGTTGTATATGAGATGTGTCGTAGAGATCGTAAGATTAGCGCGCGTAGTGGTGACCGCGGCAACAGTAGCGTTGGCTATACGGCCATACATGTCGAATTTTCCAATGGGAAAGTAACTGGAAGGACACTAGTGAGTCAATTGAAAAGACACATACGGATGATTTCACTTACACTGATGGCAATGCGCCGAATAAACTCAAGGTAGCATTCTGACTGAGTGCTTCAACAGCTCGCTCGAGAGATGGCTCGGGGCATCCTTGTGTCACGATATTCGACATGGCCGCTGCAGTGCTCATCTCCGGACATCCTATCAGCGCTGTTTGCAAGACGCGGGTTGTCGATTTAAATGTGCTGTAGGCGCCTCCTTGGCTCGCCTGGCCGGTGAGCATTGCTGAAACTGCCTTGTACCACGCTTTATACGAACATAGATCGTACGGGCACAAATCTCCAGGAAGATCTTTTGGCTCCACGAAACGGTGGTCGTACTTGGCATCGGTAACAGCGATGCTCTGCTCGCCGTTGGTGAAGGAGAATGTTGCTGTGTATGTGACATTCCACATCTCGCAGGTGAAGTTGCGGGTTGGCGTTAAGAACCATATGTCGTACCTGTTCTCCCGGGGCAAGAATGGGTATTGGACCTCCTCTGATGGAACGGTTGCGTTGTAACCTATTATGTCCATTGATTCGGGGGATGGGTTGAGGTGCGCCAGGTCGAACAGAGTCTGGTTTGTCACATCGCCGCACCTTAACTTCGGTCCCTGGAAGGTAAGTGGGTATGTATAGTTTGGGTATAGAGGCGTCATTGGAAGGATGGTGCCACTGTATGCTGAGCTGGTGACGACTCGATAGAGGTTTTGACCCGCATCATAGAATTCATTTCGACCACCGGTATTGGCAAAACTAACATTTCGCCAGGAAACTATGGGAACAGAGGACGCCAGTCGCTCTTGGGATACGGAGACTGCAGCTGTCAGAGCAGCTGGGGGCGTGATTGCGGCAAGAGGCATGCACCTGAATTACTCAATTAGCTAACCCAAAACGATATACGAGATGAATACTTGCCATATTGCTAATGCGATGATAGCAGATGACCATGCCTTTCTCCAAACTTCCCAGTTACAAAAGCAGGCCGGGTTCGCCAGTAAACTCATAATATCATCGATACTACCAATAGACATGGGGCGACTGCGCAACACTCTCCAATATTGTTGTTGGTACGATATGGCTGCACTAGCAATGAGACATGCTTTGGCCAGAAATGCAAGACCGGTTCCAATTCGAATCGCCCATTCTTGAGTTCCCTGTATGACCGGCTGGCCGTCCAGAGCGTTGTAGTAAAGGTGGTGTCCCAATGCAAAAGCGATGCCAAATAGCATAAACAGCACTATTCCGAGTGGCACTCGGAATGAGACATGCCATCGGTCGAAACTTCTTGCAGTATCCGATTCAGCAGGTTTGGACGACTTCTGCTCCGTGGACAACAGAGCTGATGCTTGTGTGGCGTCCATGGAAGGATGAGTTGCTCAGTCGTCGCTTCGATAAGTGTCCGGTCAGGCGCCTGATCGAGTGATGTAGGACACACGGACAAGTTTGAGGACTACAGAGATATAAAAGCCCACAGCTGACGAAATGTTAAATGCGACGCACGGAACACCATAGCGTGGTGCACCACCGGATGTGCACAGCATTGCAACACACTTGGCAGTTGTCGCGATTGTAGTGCTCGTGGGAGGCCTTACCTGGAGGCTCTCCAAGTGGCGGCTTTGGCCAACTTGTCAGCCTATCAGATCTGACACCGGTCTGTGTCCCTGCGGGGCGTATGCATCCACGAATTACCATTTTGGACCCCAACAAGGCGATCCAGGGAAGGTGGACGCCTCGTTTCAGGTCCATGCCATGTCGGATACTGTCTAGGGTCCGGCGAGTGCACATGCACAGAAGGCGCAGCGCTTCGTTGCACAATAACATTCGTGCTCCTAGAGTAAGCCTTCCAGGCTTCAACTGGATTCTACATCTCTCCAAAGGTATGCCTTGAGGAAGTTTTCATCATTCGTAAATCATATTTCGTTGTACTGCCCGTGGGCTCCAAAGTTATCTGACAACTGTGTGCCATTCAAGCACACCGCTAGGCGTGATGAAATCTGCCGCGGCGATCAACTAAACCCTACATGCCTATTGGCACAAACATGATTTGAGGAGCAGCGAAGTAATCTAAAATTGAACATGTGGGGTACCGTAGCGACAACCACAGCCACGCTTCCTGCATGGACAGAAGGGAAGGTGTGGGGGCCAACGTCAAGTTTTGGGTACCTACCTACTCGCGCCACAGCTGAAATTCTCCTAGGCAGACTTATCAAGGCTGGAACAACCCACGATCTCTATTAAAACACAGATCTCCTAGCCAGCAAACCGCATCTCCTATTTACTGTCGAAGTTTGGTTCTCAGCCTCACGATCCAGTACCGATAACTCAGGATCCCTCAGCCCTCCACGCGGAACGAAGCGTCCTATATCGGCAACCACGACGTCGATACATCTAGGCCTAGAAAAGAGTTTCCACGATTATGGTTTGCTGCGTAGACTCTCCTAGCTGTAGCTATTCTACTAGTCGCACTAGTCGCATAGCTCGCAAACTCGCGTATCTTCGCTACTCATTCGCAGACTTTCCAAAAAGCAAGTTGACTTGGATTACTTGCTTGACTTGCTTGGTTTAAACCAAGCAAGCAAGTCAAGTAAGAGCTGGGCAGCTAAGCAAGCAAGTCAAGTCAAGATACTTTGCTTGCTTGGCTTACTTGGTTTACTTGGTTGTTTTAGCGTTACTGTGATGAGGGTGCTAAAACTGCTGTACGGTAGATGTCGCGATGGTTTTGAAGTGTTGCAGTTGCCTCGGTTGAGTCCCAAACAGGCTAAGCGGCTATCAAATAACGTTAGCCTTAGTCTAGCGCATTGCTCCAATCTCGACGTACGCCTGTCTAGAAGCCTATCGCAATGCAGTATCCCCTATAGCAACGCGTTTTCCAGTGATTTATACTGCCCTGATACCCCCAATATGGCCAAACGTCGCCTACCACAAACTTCTGCTCGGAGCAAACGTACGAAAGTAGCCGCTGCCACCAACAACGTCGCCTCAACTCCTGAGGTTTCACCTGAGCCTGCATCTAAGCCTGCATCTAAGCCTAGACCTCAGCGTCGATCACCTCGCAAAACCCTAGCTGCCGCAAGCCAGGCTAACGCCTCGCCGCCAATACCTACCTTCGAGTTGCAGTTCTTAGAGTCGCAGGCGGAGGCTGAGATTGTCGCGCCCACCGAGGGCAGCCGAGCTGGCACGGTGGCTACAACTGAGGCTGGAGAGGGTGGTCAGGATGAGACAAACAGCGCACTAGTTGAGAACTTTGACGGCATTGACTGGGCACGTTTACCTGATTTTATCAAGCCATTGGCGCGTTCTAAGCGCCCAAAAAGTTGGATCTTTCAGTATGGCTACCGCGTTGTTGAGCGCCATGCTACATCTCGAATCTGGTTTGTGTGCAAGTACTGCCATGTACACAAAACTATCGACGCTGGCCGTGGTGGTTTGTTTAACATTACTCAGGCTACAACCTCAGCAGCCACCCATCTCAGCCAACCAAAGCCTGGCCACAACCTTACGAAAGATGGCCCAAAGTTAGCGCAGAGAGCTCGAGGCCAGCTGTCGTTGCGGCAAGCTTTTGACGCTGGTTTAGACGTACAACAAAACACTGCTAACGCGTTTGGAAACTTCGACGTAGAGGGCTTTCGAACAGCCACTGTCATGTGGCTTGTTAACCGAAACCACCCGCTCAGCGAACTTACGACGCCTGATTTTAGAGAGATGATGAGATTTGCCAACCCAGAGGCAGAGGCAGCGTTGTGGGTAAGTAATACCAGCGTTTCTACCTTTGTGATGAGGTTGTTCCGGTCTATACGACCGCAAGTTATCGACACCCTGTCAGGCTCAGTAAGCAAAATACACGTAAGCTTTGATGGCTGGACAACAAAGGGTGGTAAACGTGGCTTCTTTGGAGTAGTCGCTCACTTTGCCGACGCAGCTGGAATAATACGAGACTTACCAATCGATCTGCCTGAGCTCGCTGGCGCCCACACCGGTGAGGCTATTGCCAAAGCTATCTCGACGACGCTCTCAGCATACGGAATAACAAGCGACCGATTAGGCTATTTTGTACTCGACAACGCTACCAACAACGACACTGCGATCGCCGCGCTCGCGCGCGAGTACGAATTTGAGTCCGCTCACCGGCGCCTCCGCTGCAGTTGTCACACGCTTAACCTCATCGGCCAGGCTATTATATTTGGCACCAACAAAGACGCCTACGGCAACACTCAAGAGCAGTACAATACCGAGGAGCAGTATATGCGAGAGTGGCGGAAAGATGGCCCTATTGGAGTGCTAGTTGACGTCATCAACTATATCAAAACGCCGCAACAGTACGAGCTTTTTCGTGGCTACCAGCGCCTTGCCAACAACAACCTGCCTGCTGAAGGGCGTCTCAAAGTACTCGAGCCAGTCAAGCCTGTCGTCACTCGCTGGAACTCATACTATGCTGCTTTTGAGCGCGCTACCAAGCTTCAAGCCGCGTATAACTTGTACGCTGAGCATCATATCAATAGGGTTATCCTTGAAGATGCGCACGCTGCGCAGCGGAATAATAAGCGGCCCGACGCCCCAAACTGGATGAGATCAACTGGGCTCCGAGCTGCTGACTGGGCGGTGATTGCAGAGTACCAGGACTGCTTAGAGCCGCTCAAGTACGCCACAAAACGCCTCGAGGGACGCTCTAAGGATGGCAAATACGGCGCAATCTATGAGGTTATACCCGTTTTTGAGTACGTACTCAGCAAGCTTGAGGCCCGGGCGCGCCCGTTCGAGCACGTCGACTTCAACGCTCATGCCGAGGCTCCAGAGGATCACCTCAACGTCAACCTCCGCGCCGCGTGGAGCAAAGCCAACGACTACTACAACAAGCTCGACGACTCGCCCGCTTACTACGCCGCTGTTTGCCTACACCCGTACTACAAGAACTACTGCGATGTGGCGTGGGCAGACAAAGCTGATTGGCTTACTAGTGCCAACGCGTCGTTCCAACAGCTTTGGGCGGCATACAAACCTCAACGAGCACGCCAGCGGTATACAACTGCGCCGAGTAGCAACAACATAGACGAGGCAATTATTGCTATACTTAGCCGCAACAATGACCGAGAGGCTCCACTTGACGAGTTTGAGCGCTGGAAAACACAAGAGCCGCAGTGGACGCAGGAGCAGTACAACGCAGATGGAAATCCTGTCCAATACTGGATACAACTACTGCCGAAATACCCGCATTTAGCGCAGTTTGCAATCGATATCATGACTATCCCAGCATCAAGCAGCGACTGTGAGCGCCTCTTCAGTGAGCTTGGCGACCTTCTTGAACCTAAACGACGTGCTCTGGGCAGTGAGCTACTCGCAGCTCTTCAATTAGTAAGGTCATGGGTGCGAGCTGGTTATAAACCGTACAACTGTAGCGAGGCTAAGCTTTCAGATGAGCAGCTTGTAGGAGATTACAACATACTAGAGTGGAACACTGAGTTTTGGTAATTTGTATGTAGCTTAATCTCTTTGTAGTAGTCAAGTAATCCAAGTACTTGCAAGTAATACAAGCAAGTCAAGCAAGTAAAAAAATCACCCCAAGCAAGTCAAGTAAAGCCTATGTTTGAACCAAGCAAGTCAAGTTTAGAGCGGTGACTTGCTTTACTTGCTTGTTGGAAAGTCTGCTCATTCGCGGCTGAGAAGATCTAGCCAAGCCTAGGAAAAAGCAGTTGAAGCTATCACAGGAACTATACTGGTGCCTTCGCTTATGGTAGCTTGAAATTTCGTCTGGCTTGGTGTCGGCCGCGAGCGAACAGTTCTCGAGGCTAATTTTCCTCTGAACTCTCAGCGCTGGCAGCGGTACATCTGGATGGAGTTACGAAATTCTCAAATTTCGGTATCTACTGTTGGGGAGGCGTGTTCACTTTGTCTTGTTGCGCGGAGTCTATAAAACTTCGACAAAGATCAGAATGCCCAGGGATATGGTGGTTCTTCTGACCGATGTGTCCTACGAAGACGCCGCGCTGAAACTGATCAATGGTACCCATGTCGGAACCAAGGCAACATACTAATTGCTGGAGTCTCTAGCATATACCGTCTCTATGCTCGAAAATATGGAAACGGCTTTGGAGAGGGTTGAAGAATAATGGAAACCAGGCCATTCATTAGGCAGAGGCCACTGCTACTACATGACGTTGAACTTTGACAGCAAGTCTAGTCTGTCCACTCGGTATTCATCCTCAATCCTGGTGGCAGTCTTCCGTCGTCGGTCTAGTATACGACCTAAGGATTTCGCACAAGCCGACAAGAGATGCTGACTTAGCCGCCAAGTCAACGCGGAGTCGCGAGAGCAGATATCACCGAAACACGGCACTAGATGCGCTAGTAACAACATCACGATGCCATGGCCCTACCTGCTCAGACGGGAAGTCGGGCCGAATCTCGTTTTTCGCCTGGGCTCACTGAGACAACGACACCAGCACATTCAACTCCGTCACGAGCTTCATGAAGTCGGGTCCCATATCGCCCACACAAGTTTAACAGACACTGAGATATAGTACCAAAGGGTAACCCTCGTGAAGGCTGTCATTAGGACAGGCGTAAGCTCAAAAATCTTTCATAACGTGCCTGGATCATCGCGATAGATAACAGAACCCCTCGGTCTCATCCCAAAAAGCCCAGAGGTCTATCGCTATGATGAATCCTGCTTTGAAGCTTACTGCAGCTTGTCTGCTCATCATCTCGTTTGCCAGTGCCTCATCTACGCCTCCTATAACAAGTGAGCATCAATACGAGACGTCGTCCTCGAGGTGAACAGATTCAAAGGTCTTTGCAATCAATCAATTAACTTTAGACAGCTACTCGGTACCAGCATCATTCGAGCATGGCAACATCACCTCTATTCTCGATAGAATCCAGGCACGTGGCTACCTGAAAGTTGGCACGACTGGAGACTACAAGCCTTTCTCGTACAAGGTTACCAACCGAACCGCTCTACCCGGCACATCAGCCATCAACACGACCTACATCGGTGCGGATATCGATCTTGCTCAGACCCTGTCAGACTCACTATCCCTCCCGCATCCCATCGAGTTTGTCCCCACCATCTGGGCGAACCTGACCGCCGACGTAACCGCCCAAAAATTCGACATCGCCATGACCGGCGTCAGCATCACGCTACCCCGCGCACAAAAGGGCTTTTTTTCCACCGCCATCCAACGTGTCGGCAAAGCAGCATGCGTGAGATGTGCAGACCTCGCCAAATTCTCCTCCTTGGCAGCCATCGACACGGCTGGCGTCAAGGTCGCTGTCAACCCAGGTGGTACCAATGAGGCGTTTGACCGCACGAATTTGAAAAAAGCAACGATTGTTTTGGTCCAGGATAACAATGCAGTTTATCAAGCTGTTATCCAAGGCCAGGCTGATGCTATGATCAGCGATATTGTAGAGGTTGAACTACAGGTCCGGTTGCACCCTGAGACGCTTTGCATTGTCAATCCGGATCAAGCCTTTACGTTTGAGGAACTGGGCTATATGATTGGGCGAGATGTTGTGTGGAAGCAGTATTTGGACACTTTTGTGCATGTTCAGCTGGGAAGTGGCAACTGGAATCGCACGTTGGAGAAGTGGATGTCGTATCAATGGCCGTCTGTATAGATGGAATAACAGCCTTAGTCGTTATTGCTCGAAAGTTGTGAGCATGCAGATGGTTGCTTCAATACTCAGAGATATCACTGGTAATATGGGACCTTTCTTCTTAATTTGTCCCACAGTGAAGACAGCTAGTATATGAACCCTGCACCTACTCTTCCTTGACGTATCTGTTTCTTTTTATTAAAACTAAAGATTACCGGTCTTCGACCGAGGAATGATGCGGCGCGGTTTCCCCGTAGGCTTTTGGTCTTCGCGATAATGCAATAGCTCTACGACACCTAGAAGCGCGACCGACTCCGCTGACTCTGGTTTCTATAGTTGCCGCTGTCACTAACGCCGTGAAACTATTGACTAAAACAGACAAGATTCTGCCAAGCCCTAGGCTCAATCCTGAGCCGGGAATTTAACCGATGCTTTCTTCCTAGAGGAAGACTGAATTGCGGAGAGTAGAACCTTTCTTGACTTCACATCGTGTACGACAAAATTCCACCTTCTTCCTGTTGCGTCGAGTAACAAGCCTCAGTCACCTGTTCCATTTGAGCAACTTGTCCTCGTACCAGCACAATGATTATCTGGACCCCAGAAACTGGGCAAGTGCGCCGGGAGTATCAAGGCCCAGTGCAGCCCGGACCTCCCCCAGAACCACCTCAATATCCATCAGGAACAAAAATGAACCGAATCTTTGACCGACTAAGGTGGTCTGTTCTCGACTCTCCCTCTGAAATTGAGATCTTCTCGCTCGATGCCGAAGACAAGTCAAATTGGACACCAATCTCCTCTAGCACTGTTCTGGACGAGGCAGCAACAAATCCTCCGCTATCGCACTTGAGGATCTGCATAGAACCCCTGTACAATTGGGAAGACTGAGCACATAGCAACTCATGGCATCTACGGCCAGCGCCCTTGTCGATTGAGAATCCAGACGGTCAACCCATCTCAACCAAACAGTATATACAAGCTGTTCATGAATACGCAGTTCCACTTCGCGGGATTCTCTGCCGATGCTGCGACATTTGGGGCGAGCAGGCGCGGTTCTACTATCAATGTACGATGGGTGGGTCTAGAGCTCTTACTCCCGAGTACTTATATCCTGAATTGTCTATCTACTTGATAGAGGATACTGACGAGGATGGGCATGGTTTGGAGGATCATCTACGAACGATTGAGATTTTCTACCGGAAGTACTTAGGTAGATTGTCTCGAGCTAGTTTTTAGGGTTAGTAGGTGACTATAAGGTTACTTTCTAGCTTCTATAACAAATTCGGGCTGCCACAGTTAGTAACACATTGGAACATTCATTTGCTCGAGTGTCTTTCCATTCACCTGGTCTTCAACTAAGCAGACCGAGAATCTGCAGAATGATAGCCTCATCGATATGTGGAACAATTAAATTTGCAGCAATTATTGATTTTTTGAGGTGTTATCATCAAGACGCACTAAAGAGAGGATACAGTTGGGTGGATGAAGCAAGCATGGTACCGCGACCGAAACAATGAGATGTAAAGCAGTAAACGCAATCGCTTGAAAAGGAAACGAGAGGGTTGCTGAATAGCCACAGCGCAGAAGACTACACGTGAGTGGTCCCTATCTCCATCTCACCCATTGTCTCCATCATTTTCTTCTTCTCCTTCTTTTGCCGCCTATCCTCATACTTTGTTTTGACGGACGCCTTGATGCCCGAACAACACATTGATGAGGAAAATAGGGCGCTTCCCAGCCACAACAACGCGTTGATAAGGTCGCACCAGACTACTCGCTGTATTCGCCCTGTATCTACTCCGCTATACGCTGGTGTCATGTCGCCTCCAAAGTAGACCTTATAGAAGACTGCAAAGAGTGCAAACCAGAACACCGTCAAAATCCAGTCGATCATCCACGAAAAGCGGTAGTATCGCACGGTTACGCCGTTGATGGTTAAGACGAGAAGTGCGGCGCCAAAAACGACATGTGAATATACGAAGCTTCCTGACGCCTCTCCACGTCCTTTGCCGTGTCTCAGCTCAATAGCGTATGGTATGCCGGAGGCCAATGCAAAGATGAGCTGAAGCACCTGTACACTCAAGCGGAATAGTGATATGAGAGGCTTATCAATTTTCTCGTTGATGGCGGACTTGAAGGAGCTGGGCTCAATGAGATGTGTTCGGAAGTAGGGAGGTGGAGGCATTGGCGGTGGCGGTGGCGCATCGAACGTTGGCGGTGCCTCAGTGATGGCGGCGCTGCAGACAACGCAGAAGCTAGCACCTCGCTGGGAGAGATAGCCTCAAGAGTTCCAAATTTTTTTGGTCTTCCATGGTTGTGTATTGACTGGTAGGATTGATGGGATTGGGGTGTTCGACCTGTCGCAGTTTATAGGAGTAGATGTGAATGGGGTTGAGGTCGAGAACAAGGACAAGCACGGGTTATATATGTGGCCAGAGCCACTTTTTGGTCGTTCTAGGAACGCGGAATTAGCATTTAGCAACCCTAACCTATGCATCCTGACCTCACTGTCTCCAGATTTAGCTCTTGGGTGTGATCGTATTGCGAGCGTATTCTCTTTCAGCGCGTATTCACGAGTCAAAATAACGCACTAACCTCGATTCGAACGGCATCTTTGAGTAATTTCGTCCCTCACTCTTCTAACGAACCATAGTCCTTTGCTTGATCCGACCGCTATAGGGGGTCCTCAAATAATTGAGGCAGTGCTTGCGAAACGCTCGATAGTTTGCGTATGAGCATCTCGAAGTGCTGATGTCACTACTGTAGCGTGGAGCAGCCGCGCGTTCATGTTCGCGCTCTTCCGTGTTCAGATACGCGCCTGTTACCACCTGCACCCTCTCTTCGCGACTTTACATGTCAAACATCAAACCATGCAACAAGATTCGCCGCTGTCCTTGACGCACTCCAACACAGTCTCACCTTCCGCCAATGAAGATGGGCATGATGATAAGAGGATAACAAGACGATCGCACCGCAAATCGCGCGCCGGCTCTGAGGAGAGCGCCTTGGCAAAAGAATGTAGTTGAAACTAACACTGGCAGTGCGACGAGACAAAGCCGGGATGTAGCAATTGTAAGCGGAGAAAAGTACATTGCGACTTTGCTCAACCAATTCCATCTTCACCAAGATCAGCACAAATAAGCAGTAGCTTCAGTCCCGGAGAACTACCGCTATCCGAGATCGAGCTCACCTATCACTACACAACATCAACCTGCTTCTCCGTTTCGCCTTGGCTTACTGGGAGTGTTACCTGGCAAACCCAAATGGCTGAAATTGGGGTTGAGAACCCTCACGTCTTGCACTTGATATTTGCATTCACAGCATTACATCTGGCGCATTGCCGTCCGAACCGCAAAGAGGAATACATTGCAATATCAGATCGGCACTATGAGCGTGCTCTTGTTCTTGTGACACCAGAGATTGCAAAACTGAGCCCTGGAAATTGCGATGCAGTGCTGGTCGCGGTACAAATGATTTGCTTCATCAGCTGGGGCCGTGGACCGCAACCGGGAGAGTACCTCGCCTTCGGACGAGACAAAAGATCAGACTGGTTGATGATGTTCCGCGAGATCAGAATGACGCTCGCAAGCATAGGATGTCCGCAGTTTGTTAAGACGCATGCACCCGCAACACGCGCCAGAGGTCGCCCACTTCCGACCCAAGAAGTACTGGAGGGGTACGAAAAGCACCTCGAAGAGCTGCGAGAACATGTGGATTTTGTGTCCAAAGACACATCTAGTCATGGGGATAATATTCTCGCAGTCGATATCCTTCGCGAGATGTACGACAACCGGTATTAGGGAATAGACGGCGAGTACCATGTTTCATTTGGGTGGCTCTTCCAAATGACAGATGACTTTCTGGAACGGCTTCAACAGCGTGATCCCATCGATGGTCATCTATGCGTACTTCGTGGTGCTCATTCGCGTCCTGGAGCAGTTCTGGTACATGCAAGGCTGGACTCACCACATCATGAGTGGCATCTGGGAATTGACGCCTAGAGAGCATAGAGCCTGGTTGGATTGGCCCATCAAGAGGATCGGTTGGATCAGGCCCTGAAGATGTGCTGTATTGAACAGCAGCAACTTGGTGACAACATACGTAGGACACCTCTTTAATGTATGAGATCCCAGTACACCACCACGTAAGGAACACTTCCAACGTCTGCTTTTAAGGAAGGCACCCATTTCCGACTACCTGTAGATGTACAATTATTCTCAAAGTAGTTCTTGGCCAACTGACGTGGGTGTCCCTCAGAGATGAGAGTAGACATGTGCCGTTCAAAGAGGACTCTTTTTGGTGGAGGGAAGCTACACACGATATCTAGCTTAACTAGAATCGATGCACGGAGATTACAGAGCCTTGCTATGGCGGAAACTGCGATCACACAGTATTCAGAAGTCTTCAAAGTCTATGTATCCCCTTATTTGTTCTGGTACGGCCAATATCTCGGCACTGAGAGACTAGTGCCTGATATAGGTCTAAATTATGAGGTAGCTGTAAAAAGAGAGGGCTTGAAACGACTCTATCGAAATTCACCCGCAAAGCTTCAATTGCCCTCTCTACCCATGAGTTACCGGTTAATAATAACCATCTCTATGATGCTTGTATTAGTGATGAATTGTGGCGTATAATTCGGCTTTACTCACGGACAATGGGCGCGTCTATGGACCTTGCCAATATCGATACATTCTGCGAAATCAAAGAAGTACGTAGACTGCCCAACCTTCAACTCTTTTGGGCAATTACACTTTTGGAAGAAGACCCAAGTAGATCCACGAGGTCGTACCGTACAGCGGTTGTCGGTAAGCTGATAATAGCATTGGCAACCAAAGCCCCAAGTACATGGCGGGGCTACCACAGCCAATGCTGGAAGCACGAGCATGGTAAACTGGACAAAAGCGGTTGCCTTCATCGTGTGTCTAGAGAGCAATGTCAACTATTATTCATATGAATATTGTAACTTTTCCAATGAATGACTAGATAAAAACATCGTCTTACAGTGCTGAGTTTGGTAGAAAAAGAAGAGAGATATTTTATGAGGTTTATAGATAAAGCGAAGGTACTCTTGATATGGCGAAGTTGGGAAGTCGTTGTAATCGTCTCGAGTGAGTCAAGTCTTTTGGACGCGGTGGTTTTGAGCGACCCGCTGGGTCATGGCAAGATGGGGGCATGAAACTATATATCACATCTATCATGGGCCTGTTCATAAGCATCAGGTAGGTCTAGCGAGAAATTCAAAGGTTCGATTTAATCCTTGTAAACACAACAATGTGTCGGTCTGCAGAATTGCGCGCAGTCAAAGGCTTACTATGCTTGTTGGTGATGGGATGCCCAATCGGTGAGTTCCTCGATCGTTCCTCGCTCACATAAGCAAGCGCACTGTTCACTTTCAGACTGTTAGACTGTTAGACTGTTAGACTGTTAGAATGATGAGGATCAACTCATTGAGGGTCGTCTAGCTTCGGTGAATTTTACGTTAGTAGTCCTGATTTGGGAAATAGTTGAAAAAGCCAGATACCCGAGTATGCCCGTATTCGGACATGTGAGTCAGACGTCATCAACTTCGTCCACGTAAGTCGGCCTATGGTAGTAGTTTAGTGACTGCCTATCTGCCTGTGCTTATCCCGCCGATCATGTTGGAGTACCGTCACATCTATGGATGGCTTCCAAGGTTCGGCGGCGCCTCTACGTAGATTAACGGCCTCCATTAGGTTAGCTAATCTAAGTTCTTTAGGGCTGGCAGACATCGTATGCCGCCGCTGTCGAGCGACTGAAGGCAAGGACTGCCTAGGTGGTGGTGTTGAGTGGTGGGCTGGCCTTGCCGCTATGCTAGGTCGCGACGCTCTGCGCTATTATCGTATTTGGTAGTTAGATGTGCTTGTTAGCTGCACATAGAGTATGCTGGGACAGAACTACAGCCGATGCGCAGCGAGTATTCATGGTGGGTAAAGTAATGCATCCAAGTTGTGTGACCGAGTGGCTGAGTGGCGGTGCGACGCTTTCCCTGAAATCCGGCTTCATGCGCGGCGTTTGCCTCGCGTTCAGCCAACACCTAGCATTAAACTCGCAACGAACTCACAAAATAGCTATCGTAAAACCTATAGGCATAATGTTATGCATAAGGACAGCTAATGGCAGAGCTTGCATGCTATAGAGATAAACTGTCACACCGCGCTCTATCCGCAGACCCGCCGTCGAATCATCGGCCGACCCAACATAGCATCATATCTAGGTACTTCTCGAGCATGTTGCAAATGCCACATGTACCAAGTCATTGCTAGACATTGCTTTATCTCGTCGAAAAAAACATACTAGAGTCATATGGCGTTCAAAAAACAAGAGGACAACGTCTTACACAGCGAGCATGGGAGGAGATGGACTAGCTGGCATGATACGGAATATCAAAATCTGAAACTAAGCTCTTGCTTCAAACACGTCATCTCAGATTTTTTGAAGCTTCTAATCTAGCATCTTGAAGGCAGACACTCAAGAAGCAGCCATGTAGGCAGATGTTGAACCGCGAACCAATTTGGGAAGATTCGCGGCCAAACACCCTTGAATGTATCGGCGCAGTTTGGCCAGTAGGATGCTTTCCGGATACTTCTGAACGAGTCATTTACATGAGTTACACCCAAGGGCACATCTGGAAAATCAGCACTGTCGTTTGCAGCGGGAAACGGTCACTTAGAGATTCTTAAGGCGCTGCTTGGACATATAACGTTCAAACTAAACGACCTGCACATCACTCTTCTGGGCTATATTAGGAGACCATGGAAGCACTGTGCGATCATCTATGAAACAGCCGTTAATGGATTTCAACCAGGTTGACAAACGGGGACGCTCAATACTACCCTGGGCCGCAGAGTGAGGCGCAAGGCAAGCTCTAAATGTCTTACTTCGGCATCCCTCTATTGATCTTACCAAAGACAAGGAGCTACGGAGTGCGATTTTTTGGTCGTCTCAAGGCGGGTACACAAAACCTTGCGCACTTGACTCAGAAATGTGGCGTTCAAGATGACGCCGATATTTCCGGATGAACACCATTGTTGTGGTCACTCTTTTTCCAGTCCCCAGCGACCATTGAAGCGCTTCTTTTGACCGGCCGTGTCCAAATTGATCTCCAAGACGATTTTAGTTGCACACTTTTGACATGGGTTGCGAAACGTGGATTTATAGGAGTCGTACAACTACTAGTGTCGTGGAAAGCTTCTCTGTTTGTCAAGAATCAGGAGGGAGAAACGGCTGCGGATGCGGCAAAGAAGGAAGGGTAAATCTAATGTGTAGGATTACTTGGAGGCTTAACAACGTAAGAAAGTAAAGGGAAGTGTCGATGAACAAGTGATACTAATTAGTTCTCCTTCGTGACCTATGTTCCTAGAAAACCTTGTCTAATATAGTGATTAACTAGGCTTAGTGCTTAATACCTAGGTAGTTTGTATCCTTGTTCTGTCAATTTAGAAGGAGGCTATGGATCATATGTAGCATAAATAATCAGGTGCAATTATGCTCTCACTTTAGCATATGATGGGAAGCATAGAGGGGGGTTCAATGTTTCGATATTTATACAATGGCGCTCAGCGTCAAACTGGTACCAAACAGACACATGCAAAAAAGAAAGATGATCGAACAAAAACATAATCGTGTGTGTCAGCGCAGCCCTCTTGTGAAAACCTACTACCGCTATTGGCGGAATGCTAGAGGGCTAGTCCGACGCTAAAGAAAGATGACTACATGAACCGCCGCGAGCCTCGGTAACACTGTTATTGCAGAATTACACCCTTGTATGTCGCGACCCCAATCGTTCCGTCATAGTAGAGCCTATTCCTTTTCTAGAGGTCTAAGAGCCTCGAAACGGTATAGATACTACCTATTCGAAATACGGCTGTACGCTTCCGCTAAGTGTATGATGTATGTGTTTTGACAAGCCAAATGCAGATACACCACCGAGTAAATGGTGATGCTAGATGAAAAAGACTAGCCACTCGGCGGTTGAGGAGATGTCTTTTAGTAAGGCCAAGGACAGACGAGAAAAGTTGCGACGGTGTAGTCTATGGGGTTTGCTCTTTATGGGGTAAGTACATCCGTCTTGACAGTGCTACTACCAACTTTGCGGGTTTTACTTGCTAAGTATAGATCTGCGTCATATTTCCGTTGAAAATAGTAGGCAGACTTTATATCATTCTGTCACCGCTATATAATTCCAATCCCTAGCATCTAGACAATCTCTCAGCTACAAACCCACCACCCAACATGCATCTCCTCAGCCTCTCCCTCACTGCTCTCTTAGCAACCCAAGTCTCTACATCTCCCACCGTGGACAAACGCGCAATATCTTGTCTCAAGGTCGGCGCCACGGCAACAGCATCATGGACCAACGCAGCCGGCCAGACCTGTCGCTGGAGCGGCGTTGTAGGCAGCAACTTTGGCACAAACAGCGTAAACCGTGGAGAGTACGCAGTTCACCCCCCCCCCATAGATCCCTCCATATGGTACCTAACACACTTCATAGGTACAGCTGTAACGGCCGCTGTGGAGCAGGCTGCTCAGGCACTGCAATCGGCAATGTATATACACAGGATTGCTTCTCGCATGATGTGTGTTCGTGGTTTAACAATGCTAGTGGTGGTGCGAGGTACGTTATCTTGGGAGAAGAAATCTTGGGGAGAGCTTTTTGCTAACATGTTGTCCGCTAGTGATCGGAACTGTGGTGCTGCGTATAATGCGGCAATTGATGATACAATTGGTGGTGCGGCGGCCGGCTGCGGTCAGACGAATCCGTCGAATGCTGCTGTGAGACCGAGTACGAGCCCAACGTGCTCGTAGGGGGGTACTACAACTTCACTTCATGACCAGCCTCAAGTTAAGCGTTCTCGAATACAGCACTTGTTTGGAGTACTGCCTTATTGTGTACCAAAAGTCCGGGTTACCTTATCTCTTACTAAAGCTTGAAGGAACAACACTATGGTTGCGCTGACCTCAATCCAAGTTGTGGACATTAGTCTTGGAGGCCTGGCAAGGGGGGAATCTACACATCGCATAACTGCTACGAGGAGTGGCTCGGTCTGCCTATTTTACGATCTGTATGGGCGACTATCATAAATATACTATATTGTGCTAAAGTATCGAGAATACTACCATGAGATTTGACGGATCGGAAGTGGGAACTTGTTTTCCGCATCCTATAATGATCGTATGTGAAATAATTGACAGAGTCTTGCTACTATGAAATTGAGCCAAGCACGTCTGGAAGATTTTGTGACCATGTCGATGACCTATGTTCTGATATTCACTTCTGGCAATGAAAATACCACTGTGTGATCAAGACTGCAGGGATTATACAAGACCCTATCCGAACTTTTCACACGCGGCACTACATCACAATAAAACAAGATAAGGAATCATGGACTCATACTAGACCAAACAAAACAAAAGTTAACATTGAACTACTAAAATCAAAACTAATGCGGAAATCAAAACTGATACGAAACAAGTGGGAAAGAAAGAGCACAACCCGTAGTTATAACACAACAATCTACAATCACTCTTTCCATCTCTAGCAATCTCATAACCTACCTCTTCTCTACCTCCCCTGTGTCATCCACCTGCTAACCCGAGCCTTAGCGGATAACATTCTCGCAGCGCACACAATGGAAGTGTCCACAGACGCACAACGCAGGGTGGTCAGTTGACTCGTTGGTGCGGTCACAAACGTGGCAGTTTCACGTGTAGGACATGGCAAAGACAAACGAATGGATCTTTGCGAAGATATACATGCTGGAAAAGGGTGTCTGGATGTGTGGGATCGAAATGAGATGAGGGGGGTATGTAGGAGGAGTTTTGGAGAGGTATTTAAAGGCATGGGGCTGATGGATTATGGACGTACAGTGATTTCAAAAGTCACATTGTGTGAGAAGCAGGTTGTAGTGGGATGTGACATTGTTCATGTACGAGTGATAGGTGTTAAAGAGGTATGCAATTCACTACATGCTGTTTTAGAGCTAGGCAACAACTGTATTGTAGAAAATACCGTATAAGGCTATGTAAAGTGCTTTACTTTCTCCCTAGGCGACGTTCAGCACCTGCTCGGCCATCACTCTTTCCATCTCGGCATTTCTTCTATCTCGACATTCTTTCGACTTATATCTCGGCACTGCTTATATCTTGGCATTTCTTATATCTTGGCACCCCTTCTACTATATCTCGCTATCCCGGCAGTTATCTTAGACGTCCTACACAATCTCGCAGCTTTCGAGGCTCCAGGGAACTGTGTCGCCGCCGTCTTCTTACATGCCTAAGTAATATCTCGTAGGGTGGCGTAGATAGGTACAGTACATACATGTCACCGTGCTTGAGCCTACAAGTACGTCACCGTCAGCTTACTCTTACGTGTCACATCGCCATTGCAGAGCTAGCTACGCTCGCAGCTTTCCTCCCTCCCAGGGTCGTTCAAGTAAGCAATCTACCGAGGAAATCACCGGAGGTCTTACAGCTTTAAAAGACACAGTGTTTTCATTACTTCTTTGTCAGTCAAAAGTCTCCACAATTGTATTCTTTTACCTTCTCCTCAACTCTACTTACAAAATGAGAGCATCAATTTTCTTCTTTCTCACTAGCCAATTACTCGTGGTGGCGGCCGCCTCCCCAGTGGCAGATACATCTACCCCTCCACTCGAAAAACGATACGAAACCCCACCGGGGCAGAGATGTTTGTATGGAGGAGGATGGAATGCCGACGGCACTCAGATGCGTTGCGCTATATATGGACCTATCTAGACTATATATATATATAATTTTAGTCGTGCAACTTGGCGTACTTCGGGACTTGTGAGCGAGAAGTACGCATGCCCCGGGTAGTAAGTAAGTTAGAAGAATCCTAGTGTGGGTTAAAAAAGATATGCCTAACTATTATTTCTAGCTAGCCAGAGGGCCTCTAGAAGTGACAGGATACTACGGGGATAACTTGATAGCATTCTAACTAAATCTCTGCTTGTCAGGAAAAGCCGGGAAATTCGATTCAGGGAGCTTGAAATGGACAGCGCTCCTCCTACAGAAACGCCAAGCCATGCTGGAGGGGCCGTCACTAGCATATGCAAATAATCAAACGACGCTACATCATTACAAATCATAAAAGTACACGTCAAAAGGGAAAAAATGCATTAGAAGACGTTTAAGCGCACTCCCATTGTGCAAACACACACCATCTTGCGCTCCGATCTGCCAGCACGAGGCCTCGCCAAGTTCCCTTCTCTCCAATCTTGATGACCGTCTCCCATGCTGTGCCGTCAGCGTCACTAGTGCTGCTGATATGCTCGTTTTTCCTTGTCAAGCGGATAATCTTGCCAGAAGGCGTTTGAATCGCTAGTTTGGCGGGCTTGGTACTGCCGCTACTTGATGACCCGTTGGAGGTCTGCGACGGGTTTGTATAATTGGACCCTGTTGCTGAGATACTTTGCATGCTCATAGCAGAGGCAGGTCTAGCGAATGGGTTGGGCGATGCTCGACCGTGAAGTGCGGGGCTGGGTTCGGGAGACTTTGTGAGTGATGATGGATGTTGACGGACGCAGAAGACAAAAGTATTGTTCAAGGCCAGGTTAGCGCACTGCGGCTGGGCGACATAGAGGTCGTGTCGTTGAGCATGCGGCGTTGGGTGCAGTGTCAGAAATGAGTATGGAGGATTGGTACCCGAATGCGACATGGGTAGGCCAATAGCCAGGCTGTGGGGGTTCATCTTGTTCGAGTGCTACAAAACATTAGTACATGTTATCTTGATGTGAATTTCCAGAAGAACTTACCATAAGTCCTCGGGGTCCTGCATAGATTTTCAGGACACCTTGGCCTCCATCACCCGGTAGAAGCGCTTTCACAGTGTATCGCTTCTGACCTCCGTACCATTCTGCTTGTGCCAATGCTGGCTTCCGGACCAATTCTCCACTCTCGAAGAAATCACCGTCCATGTCTTGGGAGTAAGCCCTTGCTTCCACTTCTGCGACACATTCTACGTCTTCTGGTACGTCGACGTAGACATGTGCCATCTCCAGATTGTCCAGGTTCAGAAGGCTGGTATCGAAGTTGGCCATGTGCAGACCATGCCTGAAGTAAGTTGGTGTTGCGCAAGGTAGAGCCATCAACACCTCATGTGGCTGTGGTGGGCAGATATGTTGTTGTTCAGGAAGAAGTGGAACGTGAGAGTAGCAGATCTCCATGGGGCGAGCGAGGAAGTACCATGTCTCAGCGACAGATGAGCCAGCAGTGGAGTAGTGCACCCGCTTTGGATTTGTAGGTCCAGCAAGTGAGCAGTCCATTACGCGCCACTCTCCCTCGACGATAACAGCGTTCCAGAAGTGGTTTGGTCGAGCAATGCTTTCCAAATCAAGGGGCTCGCCGGGAGTTTTCAGATAACCACGAATGACCTCAGCATGCATGCCAACAGATGCACACATCTCTGCAACCACCATGGCAATCTCTTCAGAGCATCCGCGCTTACTTTGGAGCACATGCCGCGGGTCCATTTCTCCCTCAAAATCCTCTTCCCACGAGATTCTCTCACTGACCCATGTAAAGATGGCACGTAGTCGCTGGATATCGCTCCTGTAGGGTCGACATACATAGCCTTGAGCCAATGTCGCAGGATTGGTTCCGAGGGGAATGCTGTTGATGAACCGCGCGCTCTTATCAACGTGAGCGAGACTGCAAGCTGCAAAATCCGTGGGTTCGGTGATAGGAAGTCCATCAAGGCCCTCGTCACCTTCAGCAGACTCGTATAGTATATCGATAGGGTTAAAGACAGGCAGGTCCATCATCTGGCATCGCTCTGCTCTTTCTGCGCGCTCGTTCTTACTAAGTGAGTTCGACCGATTCACGTCTCGGCGAACCTGTACCCAATCCACTGTGCCTAGGCCTGTATCTCTTGAAGGGGGTGCCGATTGCGTTGCTAGGCCACCCTCGACGGCTGCTGCTTCCGGATTGTCCATGCGACTCGCAGCGCGACTGAGCGAACGACCGGCCGCACGACTGGCTGCTCGAGACCCAGGCCTGCTGATGGTGTCAATGGTGCTACGGGCGTTGGCTGCTTGCGTTTTCGCTGTGTCGATCATCTTCCTGAAGAAGCCGCTGCGCTTTGCTTTTGGTCGCATCAAACCACCAAGAGGATCTGGACCATCAGCTACTGGTGTACTGACAGCTGCTTCTTGTTGATCGTTTGAATTAGATTGTTCTTGGGAGGCGTGGCTGGAGTGATAAGTCACGCCGGTAAAAGGCGTCTCTGGCCGTCCATCGTCGAAGCCATAGCCTTTGCTGGATGTATCTTTTGTGTTCATGACGCTCTTGGGCCGGTCCTTACCGAATTTCTTCCGGTAGTAACTTCCGGCGCTGGTAGCGCTCATATTCGTAGCAGAATGTCCGGACATCAAGCTACGATGGGTGCTGTTGCTGGCATAAGTCGTATTCGTGGTCGTCGTAGAATTCGTTTTGCTAGTAAATGTTCGTCCAAGTGCGTTTCGTCCAACATCATAAGCAGACTTCCGGTGTTGAAGTAACTTTGATCCTTTGCGCTCCATTCCTGCTTCAGAGTCACCAACGGATGATCCTGATCTCTGGAAAGCAGGCTTCAATGGCACCGTTGGTCCTTCATCTTTATCCATATACATTTCATTGCTCCTGGCTTTTTCTTGTTGTTGCATCCGTCTCAATCGACTTTCCATGCGCTGCATGTAGTTATTAACATCTGGTGGACCTTCGTCATCGTCGTCATCCTGACCCATGGCCGATTGCGCCCTGACCTTCTTGGCCGATTCCTGGTAAACCTGTTCGAATGCTTCCGGAGACCATGGATTGGACGCAGATGAGGCCGCTTCTGGTGAGGGTGAGGGCGACTCATCATCTCTTGAGGTAGTCATATCTTGCAAGGATGACATGACATCGTTCATTGCAGTCGTAAGGGGTGATGGCGTAAAATGGCCTCCACGCGCTCTCGGATCGGGCGAAGGCGGTTCGGGTGTATGGTAACCATTATGCGAAGGAGGAGCAGGTGACGGACCTCTGCTCGGGTTGTAGGCGACACGATGGGGTGGAGGCGGTGGTGGTGGAGGCGAGTCAATAGGCTCATCGAGTTCGTTATCATATGGTAGAGGCGACGGGCTGCGGCTATGCTCGAGTTGGAGCTGGTACGGGGATGGCGATGGGCCTCGATCGTATGCGCGGTACTGGAATGACGGGGCAGGTGAGACTGCGCGCGAATGTTCTTGGAACGATGGAGCTGGCGAGGGACCCCGGTCATAAGCTCGGTATTGAAACGATGGCGCAGGAGAAACTGCTCGCGAATGCTGCTGATAGTGAGCTTGAGGTGGAGCAGGCGATACTGCGCGGTATGGCTCGTAGGTTTGTTGTGGAGGCGCAGGAGAAGCAGCTCTAGCATAACCCTGATGCTGTATGGGTACAGCAGGGGAAACTGCGCGAGGCTGATATTGGTACTGCGCCGGAGGGGCTGGAGAGGTTCCGCGCATATATGAGCCGTGCCGTGAAGGAGGAGGCGCTGGCGAGACAGCTCGAGCTTGATATCGGTAATCAGCGGGTGGTGCGGGTGAGGTTGAGCGGATATGTGAGCCATGGCGCGCGGGTGCTGCCGTTGAGGATGGTCGTCCTACAGGTACTCTCTTGGAAGCAGGTCGGGGCGAGACTGCGCGCAGGTTCGATGGTTCTCGAGTCGTGGAGGCAGGTGATGGGCTCTCATTGATCTCAACAGATGATCGCTTCATAGACGAAAATGGTGTTTTCGTCTTGACAGTGCCGGACGAATTCATGCCGCCTGCTTTTAACCTTTCGCGGGCCGCAGCGGCTGGGTTGGGTGCGCCTGCAGCAGCGTAGGCTGTGAAGGGCTTTCGGAACATGCTCTTCTGCTTCTGCGGTGCCGGTGTTGGCTGCGACTGGGCATTGTTCTGCCTCGACATGCTCCCTCCACTGCCATTGCGCGCCCATGGCTGGTAATCCTCACTGAGGAGTTCGACGAAGTTGGAGGGAAACAAGCCAACCATGCGCCTGTCGCGCTTCAACCGTCCCATCCACCATGATCCATCACCGGCGTTTAGCACTTCGATTAAGTCGCCTTCTATGAAACCAAGGTCGCGCTTTGTCTACAACTGCAGTCAGGCAAGGGGCAGCAGCAAAAAGTGGCTTCAGTCTCAACATACCTCTCCACCCCAAGAGTACACAGCTTTACACCAGCACGGGAAGCGTGCTGGCAGTGCCTGGCCCACGGCCATGTCCAATATCCGTCGGGTCCTGTATTAGCTTGTTGTTGACCTGCAACTTATTTGGTGCGCGGGCGACTGGCGGGTGACATGCGTCGTTGAGGAGCGAGAGGCGGTGTCGATTAAGTTTTTGGCGTGGAAGAATACCCCAGTGATTGACGGTGATAGCAATGACAGAGGGCGATACTCTGCAATCACACCCGCACTGATAGCAGCGGGGAGCGGTATAGCAAGGCTAGCAGGGTATTGGCGTGCTGTCTCATCTTGGTTGGATGTTTACCCTCTCCATGCTGCTCCCCTAGCAACGCCCGCTAGCCGCTTGCGCGCACACACCACATCGCGGCCCCACTTGGCGCAACACGTCACACAACCATCTCCTCTACACCGCGCCTTGGGCTGGAATCACTGCATTTACATTTACATGCCGCACAAGTCGGGATGCATTAATAGTGCAGATGATACCATTCGTTCGTGCTTGCCGCCTTCTACATGCCTTTGCGGAGAATACAAGTTTGCTAACTTGTAGCAAAGTAGGGTCTATTGGCAAACTAACAGACTTTCCACTCGCCATGGTCTCGGTAAAGTTAATACTGTTCACCTGCATATAACAGCCGCCATCTTGTTTATCACGGCGCTGTCCAAGGACAGAGGTGACCAGGGTCGAAGTCTGTTGTGGTAAACTAGTGCTAGCAGCAACCTGTTCGCATCCCTCCCTGTGGGAAGATGTGCATCTTGATAGGGATGCGCCGGGATCTCACAGGCCATCTGATCTAGCCTCGATCATGTTCAATCCCTTGCATACTACCACTGAGTCGAAAGTGTGTTTAGTGTAACATGCCATTGTCCATTGCCGTGGGCCATCCCTTTTATTTTTGGACTACTATTTGTACCTTGGCCGGTTGCGTAGCCAACGTGCGCGTAACAGTGGCACAACACTAGCCATGATGCATAGTTCCTGCAGTACGGAGCATTTCTAAAACTCCGCGTCCATAGATACGTGTGGTGCGTGCGTTCGCATTCGGAACGTCGGAACTTCCATGTTCCGAATCATCACAACAAGACAAGCCACCTTGATCATGAGTCGGTCAAGCTCATTCGTCAGTAGCCTGAAATGAGGGAAGTACGCGACCCTCGATCGAATGGAAGAGTAGAGTCGCCAGGAATAGCTCATTGAGAAGCCTTACATATATGGTGACGGGTTAGGTCATTGCTTCTTCAAGAAAGTTCCTTAAGAATATTCTTCTAGTCCATCAGCGTACAGAAGAAGCAATCAAGTGCCACTATTGAATCAAAGCAAACTGTTCCACAAGACTCCAACGAAGAAGGAAAGTTAAGAAGTACATTCATAGAACTCCTTGATTATCATTACTATAAGCGCAACCGGGTATCAACAACATGCTACCGCTTCTGATCATGCCCCCTCTTCGCCTTGTCTACCTCCGGTAGAATCTCATGGACCTTCATATCGAGCCCGACCCAAAACTTCCTGCCTCTCCACTCCACTGTGACACCACCCCAAAACGCAGTGACCCAAACTGGCAAGGCAAAGAACTCACGACCCATCCAGGCAAAGAAGAAGTCTCTGAAAGTTCTTCTTGCACCATCAAGCAAACTCGGTTCGCCTGGCGTCTTGTCGCCGAGCAGGGGTTTCAGCACTTCGGTGCGGTGGTATGCGAAGGCTGAGCGCTGTGGCAGAATGAAGTCGGGTGTATCAGCGTCAATCTCGACAGTCTTTGCGCAGTGTAGGAGTAGGTATTGGACGTAGTCGACCAGACACCAGAGACACATGTGGACGAGCCAGACAAGGAAGAATGAAGGCCAAGACGAGCTGATACCGATGTTGTGGAACAAAGGCAGCGTCGTGAGGGCATAAGCGCCATAGAGACCACAGAGAATGCTCTCGGTTCCGGGCTCCACGAATGTCGCCAAGGTCACGGTGAACTTGCGCACTCGTAGCCATCGGATACGACGCTGCAGATATGCCATCACCGACGTATGACTAATTGGCTGGAAGCAGAAGTCTCCGAAAAGCATTGCGTGTTTTCCCCAAGTCTCCTTTTCTGTCCCCGGGGGTGGCTGGTAACCTTTCTCCTCAAAAGCCTGAGGTTCCTTCCATAGCACATCCCCGATAAGATGGTCCTCGCAAATGTTGTCAGAGAAGAAGTCGATACCGGGAGCACGATTGGGATTTGACGAAGTAACGTAGTTGAGTTGAGAGCGGCGGAACATAGTACTCTTGCCCATGATACAGGGTGCAACCGCCACTGTGTTGATAGCCTGGTAGAACTTTGCATGCGAAGACGACATGAAGGCTTCGTCCAAGCGCCCTCCACCACGCTGCAGAAGCTTCCTTATGGTGCTACATCTGTAGTTGCGGGGATCCGATGACGTACTCGCCGCAATAGCTATCGATTCTGCCACAGCATCTGGTCTTCCTCCAAGGAGCTCTTTTCGGTCTTGGAGCGAGAGCTGTTGCGAGTCGAGATCCACCGTGAGTGGCGTCTGATGCACGAACTTGAACTTCGTCCTTCTTTTCCCAGGCTTATCCTCTCCATAGCCGCATAACAGATCTACTAGTCGTCCACAGACACCCTTGCCAACCCAGACATTGCAATCCAGTATCCACACAATGTCGCCCTTGGCCTCTCTGTAGGCGCGACTCATGTTCCGAATCTTCGGATTGGGCCCCAGGGTATTGTCGTCCTTCAGTAACATCGGATCCTCCACTTCGACCAAGATATGTACGTTGGCGTTCGGGAAATCTTCACATAGGCGCTCGAGAATCGGAAAGGCGGGATCGGAACGTTCGGGAACGCAAAACACGGTGTCCAACTTGTCTTTGGGGTATGTTTGGCGGAGAGTCGCTGCGAGGCATTCGTACAGGCGCGGGTCGAGGCCTTTGACTGGCCGTATCACGGTGACGTGAGGCACATCGCGCTCTTCCAACGTGGTAACGCATACTGCTGGCTGCGGCTTCCTCGAGTAGTATCGAAATAGTTGGACGAAGCCGATGGCGCATACACACCACACTACGACGAACCAAATCAGGCAGCCGGCCGCAATAACGGTACGCAACATGGAGACATCTTCCCCAGTCGCGAGATTGGGCACGCGAAGCATGCGCAAAGGTGTTTGTAGGGTCTGGTGTAAGGGTGAGCCTTGACGAATCTGAAAGCGCGGAGGTTGCGGAGTTCGCTCCAGGAAACAAATGTGCCAAGGCCCAGTGCCACGCTGGGACTAGGAAATCAACTCTAACGTCGTGAATGAACCTGTATTAAGAATTAAGGAGAAGACAGGCCTTTACGGTGTGGTTGGTGGGTGTATTTATGATGGGTTCGGTATGCCCCCGATCGCTCCGACGTCACCAAATGGGAAATTGATTGCTTACGATGTACCAACACACGACCTGTGCTGTTGGAAATCAGAATTTTACAAATCTGTCTAACGGATCACACATTGGATATGCAAGATCTGGGGATATAGTAATCACAAACGCCACGCTAAGCAACTCAATAAGCAAATGGCCAACACCTAAACGTCCTCGTTGTATGCAAAAGCCGTAGCCAAAGCATCAACGTCGCTAACAATCAAGAAGAGTCAATATGGCAGGGCTTGGATGATATTCGTAGAGCGTGCACCAATTCAAGTCTTCGGCTTCTTACGAACCAGTCCAGCGGTGAGCGTATTCACGCCATTGCCAGCACTCGTGTCCGGCACGGGCGTGGACTCGGTCTTTGCCTTCTTCCTGACTGTGCCAGCAGCCAAGACCTGCACAGGCTCAGCCACCTTGGACGTGCCATTTGCTGCCTCTACTGTGATATCTGGCTTTCTCTTCTTGCGCACACCCATAACCATGGTCGGAGTCACGCCATTGGTTCCCTCTGACGCTTTTGCTGCAGCTGCGTACTCCTTTTTGCCTATCACAGTAAAGGCCCATTCATCCCTACCGCCCAGCACGGCAATCTCCTCCTTCCACTTCTGAGTACTTCGAGCCGCTGCTGTGCGGTTCGCGAATGTCTGCTGTAGGAGTACTTCATGTGCGCGGTCGTAGTTCTTAAGCGAAAAACATATTGTTCCCCGTGAGGAAGCTGGCCACTTCCAGTACGGGCTAATTTCGGCGGGTAGCTTGGCTGATGAAGACGACGTTTGTGAGGAAGCCGAAAGGTTCGACGAGCTTGCCTTGATCTTAGGTAAGACGAGGGGGATCGGCCCGTATCTGGTCTTTGCTTCTTTCCTCCGCTGACTGATCTTTCGCCGCCTCGGACTAGGCATGTTCTCTTTAATGTCAAACTGGGAAAACGACTCTTGGACAGACTGCTGTGGCGGCGTATCCTCATCTTCCTCTGGTATTGAAGGCTTTGGGGGCGTTATGACGACCCATATAAACCCTACTATCCGTCCAGACGAACACTCCTGTCTAAAGGCCATGAACTCCCAGAACTGATCAAGCGTCTTGACGCTCTTCCATTGTCCATTGCTTCTCGAAGGTGTGCCTCCATCCGCTACCATTGCATCTGTGCCTCGGTCGGGCAGTTCCTCGTCAAGCTCGTCAAGGAATCTAGCCTTTGGATCGTCGGGAAAGTGTGGGACGAGGCATCGCGGTGGCGCTGCGGGATAGGGAGCGATTTGTAAGAGGGGATGAGTAGTTGCCCAGCGTCTAGGGGTGTTCGGTACGGGAGGTGGAGGAATATATCGTAATGTGTCATATGCTTCGAAGCCTGGAATCACCAAGTAGCCTTTTGCTGTAGATTCGAATTTCGGCGAAGCGCCATTCGTAGCCTCCCCATCCACCAGTCGTTCAGCAAAGGGCTTCCGTGACTCCTCAGCCTCGTACTGCCAGATTATCGGATCGAGCACTCTACACCACCATTTTACCAGTCCTCGGTCATCGAGCACATGTTTGTTCTTGTTCTCAATGCTTGCCGGGAACAGGTATTGATCCTGTGCCCTTGCAAACAGGGACACTACAAGCTTCTTCCCGTCCCTCTGTCGTTCTCTTGCCAACCAAGATACAAATGTCCCGCAAATGGCTTTCAAAGGTGACTCCGACTGGGATCGGGGTAGTTGTAGCTCGGAGATGTACCCGGTCGAGTCAGCCTTGGAGACGAAGATGGTCGTCAGGTTCCGGGTAGTGTAAATCAAAACTTCAATGGCAAGAATCAGAAGCTCCTCGGGTATTTCTGATGCTATTGCATCTTTTGGCACTATCGAAGCAGCCAACGTGTGCGATTCACAGTATGTTCGTTCGGACTTGCCATGCGGCGGCGCGGAGAACAGGGCGGACGACTTGGAAGGAGGTGTGGAGTAGTGATAGAAAGTAATGGGTACATCTTTGGGCAGTTGTTCGGCCAGCAACTCTCTCAATGATTTGGAAGCGCCAACATCCGCCATGTTGCCCCAAGAGAAGTACGACAAGAGGACAAGTTACCAACCGCAGGAGGGCGAAGGAGTTGGAAATGGACCGCGACTGGTGCTAGTCCCAAGGCGGCAAGGCGTGATATCCTGCCGCAACTTTTCGATGTTTCGAACTTCACTCTCGCCGACCAGCAGCACCTTCACCCTCGCCAATCTTGCCCGCTGACTCTCACTCGCCAATTGGAAGCGTTCCAATGGCTTCGAAACGGCCACTCCGATCTCTCGTCTCGACGGCGTCGTCATCACTCCGGCCCGCGCAAACGTCCAAAACGACCTTCGTGCGGACCTCCGCATGCGCCTTTTCAAGCACCACGCCCTCGCGAGCACCCCAATATGACACAGAAGTGGAGGAACGGCCACGGTGGCAAAAGATACCCCAGCGAATGGTAGCGCCGTTTAGGTTACGACCACATGCGAAAGGCGGCGAATTCAAAGTCAACGAGGACCCAAAAAAGCTAGATGAAGCGTACGTACGGATGCTGGGTCATGGGGGAGACAGGGTACTTGGCGACGAGGTCAAATGGCTAGCTGTGACGCATAAGAGCTTCCAGCACGGAAAGCAGGGGTTCAATGACCGATTGGCATATTTGGGTATGTGGGGGTTTTGCTATATCCATGACGCGGGACGCCAGGGCTAATTGCGACGGGCAGGACGGAGAATAGTCGAACTACAAACATCACAAGCTCTGATGAGCGCGCCGCAAGAATACCAATGGCCGAGAGACGAAATGGGCAAACCCAAGCCCGACGAATTCGGCCGCAAACCATATCTACACCCCGCTCTCAACGGCCTACAAGGCTTGAGCGACGAGGCGGAAAGTCTGGTACTGAGCAAGTCGCGGTTAGCACCAATAGCAGAACGATACGGGTTAGACAAGGTGACACGCTGGAAACCAAAGCGGGTATGCATGAACATTGAACATGGACCGATTTGAGAGACTGACCAACAAACAGGCCGATGACCTCAAAGGATCCGGTATAGAAACCGTCCTCATGACTACACTATACGCTATTGTCGGAGCGGTAGCCCTCGAGCGGGGCGGCGAAGTAGCCAACAAGCTCGTCCAGGAAAAGATCCTCACACCGTTAGGCTTCCAGTTCTCGCCCGATTTATGATCTTCGACGCAAAATTAAACATGAAATTTTTTGCATCTCTGTACCATATTGTAAACCAAGATATGACATGACGCATCGTGTCACAATTCAGCTGACCATTCGACGTTTGACCTTCTCGCTCAACTTGCCATTTTAGGTCGTTTAGCTGACTATTCTGTTTTGTGCGCTATGATTAACTTTCATATTCTCTTTTTTCCTCTATCGCACTTTCTTTCGTCTTACAGCTTCTTTGAAGTCTGCAATCCTCGTCTATTGATGCATTATGTCTCTTAAGTCTCTCAAGTCTACCATGCACCTCATCTTTGGCTTCTCTCATGTTCCTCAAGTCTAGACTCTTCATCATATCCTCTCTTCACAGTATCTTCCTTCACACATACCCCACACTCCCTCTCAACACAAATGACACACAACACAGTACTCGCAACCACCATTGAAATCGAAACCTCATAGTTGAACTACCAAGGTCTTGGTGCCAAATATATTCACGAATACGTCAAGAACGCAAAGTGTATAGCCTCGCGTTGTCTACTATATCCCGGGTTTCACCCAAATAAACGCCATGTAAAGTTTTTATATACCCATCTTACAACATGGAAACGCCCAACACGCGCGCCCAGATCCAGCGCACCCCACGACGAAACAAATGCTTACACGAAAAGAAAAAACGCTATCAAATCTAGATGACCAAAAAGCCATAAAGAAAGAAAAAACGCCCTCGCCCAAATGACAACAACAAGGCCTCAAGGGATTTACGCCCTCTTAAACTGTCCTGTAGGCCCTGCACTAAACGCACCGCTGAGTATACGTTTAAGCTGCTTGGGCCGACTCTGCGACTGGCCTATTCCTCCACTCGCGGTACTCCTACGGCTGATACCAGTGGTAGTGCGAGACAAGCCATCGCCCATACCACCGCTCATATCCACAGCCGTGCTGCTGCGTCTAGCCCTGCGAGTCGCATCCTCATTCTCCTTTTGGTGGAGAGTTTCCGAGGGGAGTAAGATGGCGCGATCAAGCGCATACGGCAGACCACGATGGCGGCCACGAATCTGCATGGCGATGATGATGAGTTTAGACAAGGGTTTAAACTGGCCCGAAAACGAGGTATTTACACCGGGAAAGCCCTGACTGAGACCTACGGTGCCGTAGGCGGAGACGATTTCGAAGAGCACCGAAAAGAGGCTGAAGGCGTATTCGTTTGTGTTTTCCAGGCGGGGGCCCTCGATGATAGAGATGAAGAAGAAGCCGAGGAAGACGAACCAAAGATCGAAGGAGAGTTGCAGACGCAGATGGTGGGAGAGGTAGCTGGAGTTTTCTTCTTCTTCGCCTTCGCCGCTGGATGCCCACACGCCGAGCGACTTTTCCTCGTACACGTTGGACTGGCGGATAGACATGGCAATGGGGAAAATGGATATGTACATCATGATCATGTAGCTGACTTGCACGGCAGGGTGCAGATCGGCAATATTGACGACGGCGAAACCCGCGGTACGGGTCGAGGCGGCTTGGAAGAGACCGGCGAGGAAGCGGTGGCCGGGGGAGAGGGATGTGACAGTTGGATCACCAAGCTGTTACTTGTTAGTTGAAGTTCTTGTGACACAGAAAATAGAACTTACATCAAGAATGATGAAGAAGATCAAATCTACACCATTCATAATCACCAGAATCCAAAACAACCACCAGTTTGCCTTGCTGGGAAAAAGCAGCGTAAAGCATCTACGCGGATGATCCAGTAGAAACCTCAGCTCTTCCCACATACTACTCGTCTTGGGCACCATCTTGGAGTACATCCAAATAGTAAACCGGAGCATACACGGGAACCCCGTGTTACCGATGATGATAAGAAAAGTACCAATGATGAGCGGGAACACGGCCAACTGGAACGAAACCATCGAGTCTGGAGTAAGCGTAAATCCCAAGTCGTTGAACAGAGAGGCCGAGGTGAAGAAGCCCCACCAAACGGGGTTGATGCCAACAGCTTCTACCACGCCGGAGTAGCGGGCAGTATGAGTGATCCACGGCACTAGGCAGATGACGCCAATGGTATGCCAGCCCAGGTAGAAAATGGTAAGAATCATAGCTAGAAGTTTCAAAGCGCGGTATTCGATACCGCCAAGCTCCTCTCTTTGCTCTTCCGTCAGGTCCACGAAGTTTGAGTTGCGGGCAATAGTAGGGGTCCAGCTGAGATATGGAACCGGCTCCTCGTCTTCATCTTTACTCCGGCTGAGGAAACTGGCTATAGTTCTTGATCGCGTCCTGTTGCGGAGATGCATTCCGGCAGTAGGTCCGGTGTCGGCGTCGACTGTGCCTGTGCGGTCGTAGATAGAATGTCCAGTAGGGCCATTGACTCGGTCGGGAACGTCGATGGTAATGTGGTTTTTGAATGGCCTGTCGTCTCCATTTGCAGCATGGGGAAGTGAGTTTGCTCGTTCAAATCTGGGATGGGGATGAGATTCGTGCGATGGTCGGCTTTGAACTCTGTCTAGCTCTTCGTCGTCTCCCTTGACGGCTTCTGGAGTAAGACCTTGGTCAAAGTCGCGGGGGCCCGGAATACGCAACTTATTCCTTGCCGTGGGATTCCGCTGCGCCTCTACGAAAGCAATGCTCTTTTCTTTGTTAGATTGGGGGAGACGACCACCAGGTGATTCCTCGACCGACATCTTGCGGTCCGAGTCGCGGTCCTTTGGTGTGCTCAGATTGTCTGCCCATACAATGGCTGATGTATTGCGCACGGGAGTCGTAGGTCGAACAAACGGCGGCATCTCATCTTCGCTGGAACTAGAGCGTCTCCGGGCCCGGATTCCATTGCCAGTACTGTCCATGCCGTCACTGAAGGCGAACTCGTTTTCAATGTGGCCACCATGTGCATGTCCGTTGGAGCCGCGCATGACGCGGATCTCGCGGGCACCTACAGACTTCTCCTCATGTGACACATCTCGGTCTCCACCCTCTTGCATTTCACTCTTACGCCTGGATAGTGTGCGGGTTCGACCACTGCGGTTGCCCCTTTCGAGGACGATGTTCTGGAAGCGCTTCTCGAACCAATAGAGACGCACGACGACGACGGAACTGTGGATGAAGATGGGCGTGCACAAGCTAGTCATGAGGTACATGGTGATCTTTGCTTGGTCAGTCATGTCTCGCAAAGACGCTTCTCGCATGGACGCACCTGTTGATACAAATCCAGGGTATTGATGTCAATTCTGTACACAACCAGTCAGTCGGTTGCACCCGTAGTTCAACATGTAAACCCACGTGTTCAAACCACTCTGTGTGGCACTGCCGCTGGCGAAGAAGAGTGCATCGACGTAAGGTATGCGACCACCACCATACAATATGACGGATCCGATAAGCGTCCATCCGATAATGTATGCGTCTGCACGCCTGTTAGCCACCATTCCCAGCATACTCCATCGTTTTGCACATACAATGCAGGGTTATGAAGTTGGCATGCGGTGCCAACGCCTTGAGACTCGACGGTGTGCGCTGCTTGAGCCATGCGATAGCGGTAATCCAGGGGGTAAACATGGCTGCCTCTTGTCGCCTTCAAGGCAGTCAAAGAGAAAATCGCGTGACCGGGCGACGTCTCCAAGTGGCAGTTGGTAGTAAAATGCGGCGCGGAAAAGGGACAGACACAGAGGCGGAAGCTGGGGTGGGAGGGCTGAGTGGACTTTTGGTGAATCAGCGCACCGGAGCAAGCGTCAACGGACCGAGCCGGTAGTAGTACGTCGCATTAAAGGTCCGTCTGGATGCATGCTGGAGAGAAAGAGGTGCAGTGGTCCAAAGTAGAATAAAACCTCGGAACATAGGTGGCATTGCTGGTGAATTCCACAAAATGCCGGCTTGTCGCGGTAGCGGTTATGACGCTAAGTAACTCCTAAGGGGCGTTGCGCCACAGGTCCTGCACGCCCAGACCTGCTCTCACCACCCGGAGTTTTATCCTGACCCCTGCTCCTAGATATGTAAAACCCAATCAGGCATACACAAGATGCCACCCACATGAAACACTACGCTGCATCAATCGCCGTGTGCGTCTACATATCCTCCTATGCATGCACTTGCCCAGGTGCACACCCTTTCTCCCTTGTCCACCTACTTCCCCTCCGCTCCGCCCCGCTGTCCATCGGTGCCATATCGCGTGAGCAGCCAATTCAGTATACGATCACCGTGTTACAGCGAGATCTAAGCTTTTCGCATACGCGTAATGATCTCCTTCCCAAAACATCCTTGGGTATACCAAACGCCGCTCCGTACGCAGTTCGGTATACATTGCCGTACCCACCCCCTCTACCCCCCATTATCTACCTCCAATAACAAAAATCCCGCCTTTTCTCCTCCCTCCCTCCAAGACAGCCTAACCTGCCAGCACAGCAAAGCAAAAACTAGCTTTTCACTGCTTCCAAGTCGCCAGAGCTGCCCCTTCGGCCTCTTTCCTCAGCAGACCTCAACAGAAATGTCGAGTCGGTGACGAGCAGACGTGTAAACCCTGTTGTTTGGACTTGGCCATAAGACTCACAGGCTTACCCTACATTGCCGAAACAAGTTTCCGGTCCTTGAACTTCACTGTGGCGCACGCCTTTTACCTCGCATGCTCGGAAACAACGGCTTACCACTTACACTTCCTTTTGCTTTGTGCAAGCGCTGTGCCTCGCGCCACACATTAGCAGCCACAAGCCCCGGCATCACGGCAATTGATTGTCGCATCTGTGCGCTTCAGCTCTACTCTACTGACGCATGTCCCAAGGCATTTGTAACAATCGCCGACAAATTTCAGGGTTTGAGGCGCTCACCTCGTTCTTTCGCCATGCACGGTCAAACTGCCTAGGCACGGATCTCCTAGCATCTCGTTTCAAAGGAACACGGCGGAAGCTTTCATGAATCGAGCGCCCGGCATCAGGGTAGTTAAGCCCGGACCGCCCAAAGACACTTGAAGCAAATCGTTCGATTCTGATATTCACACCCTAAAATACACATTGCCCACCGCCGCCAAGGCAGGGCGCCACACTCTCCTCTTTCCCCTCTTCTCCAAAGCATTACATGTGCGCGTAACTTCAAGTCGAACATAACGGAATAGATCAACATACTACTGGCGTCTCTTCCTCGTTCGTGTCTTTCGTCACCCTGAAACACAGGTAGATTAGTCAGTGCCATTTACCGCTGCGGGCAATGTAGGAGTGTTGGCGCCTGAATTAGGCTTACTCTTCGTCTTCAGAGTGAGTGGGAAGGTAAAGTCATCAGCCTCTTCTTCTTCACTGTGTTGTTGTTAGTTGTGTTTGTTACATGACATATTTCCAGTACTTACGGGAGCTTCCACGCAATGTAGTCCTCGGTGCTCAGTCCCTCGCGGCCTTCTTGCAGCGAAGCAAAGTCACCCGGCGTCATCATGCCTGAGCGATCGCGGGGAGACCCAGGCTCAGACAGTGGCCGCGAGATCTTGACATCTTGCGAGCTGAAGAAGTCGGGCTCGTCGTCGTCTTCGTATGCCGCAGGGTATGCTCGTCGGAGGGCCAATTGTCGGGCCTTGACGTACTCCAAGCCCATGCGCTTCCAGTCGAGCAGATCGCTGAGGCGCTCAGTTCGGTTACGCTGGTTGATGCGTTGTCGCTTGCTCTTCTTGGTGAATTCGAACATGTAGTCGACGAGCTGGTTTACGGAATCATCCACACCCTTCATCCTTCGGTCCACGATGTAGATACCGTAGTCCTGGGCATTCTCAATCAATTCCTCCATGTAGCAACCGAAGCCGGAAAGGTTGGTAGTGATACTGGGAACACCCATTACAGTGCACTCAGCTGGAGTGTAACCCCAGGGCTCGTAGTACGATGAGAAGACACCAAGATGGGTTCCGCGGACAAAGTCATCGTAGTCCATGGGCAAGACGGGGTTGGCCGAGTTCAAGAACTCAGGGTGGAACACAACCTTGACACGATCGGACGGGTGGTTGAAAAGCTGGCAGCGACGGAGCTGGTTCAGCACCGGGTCTTCGGCATCATTGACCATGTTGTGAGTGACAATGGGCGGGAGGTTGTGGCGCTTCATGGCAAACAACCGACGGCGAAGCAGGATCTTGTCAGCGGGAGTGATCAAGTCCTTGTCCTCTGGCAGTTCTGAGCCTTCTGTCCAGGTCAAGGATCGCTCGAAGAGCTTCTTGGCTACGTTCTCGGCGATGTTGTTAACACTGTCGTGTAGTGCCTTGATAACAGCCTGGCCCTTGAGCGAGTCGACTGATAGAGAGGTCGTCTGCGCGGGCAGAATGATGAAGGCAACAACCGTCATGTTGGAGTTCTCGTTCTTCATCTTGTGGTTGAGTCGTGCTAACGATTCAATGAACATGTCCACACCCTTATTCCTGTACTCGTAGCGACCAGCGGTGAAGAAGTAGAGGGTGTTTTCTGGGTCGAAATCGTTGTGTCCGTAGAAATGTCCACGGACAAAGTCATTGATCTTGACCTTGGCCTGCTGATGCAAGTTTTGGAACTCGTGCGTGGCTGAGAACTTCTTGACGTTCAAACCGTTGGGCAGGACGCCGTCGGGCTTTCGCTTCAAGAGATGCTCGCTCTCGTATGCAGTGATGTGAGAAACGGTGGTAAAGACATCTGCGGCGTGCGTAGCGGCCCGCTCGATGCAATACCTGTGGTAGATACCACGCTTTCCTGCCTCAGCATCCACATCGAAATATTGGAGGTTGTTGTAGAAATCGACAGAGCCGGCGCAGAGGTAGCGGCCGAGCAGCGTGGCGTGCGTGGTGAAGATGGTGGTCACATCGATACGGCGCTTCTTGCACAGAGGAACTGCGACACCAGCGAGCCACTCGTGGAACTGGACAATGACAGCTCGCTTCTTCTCGTGGTAGACATACTGAGTCAAAATTAGCGTGGGTCCGAGCTAGTTATGCATGTCATCTCACCTCGCCCAAAAACCACGCGATGAGGTAACCAAACACAATGGCCTCGTTGGTCTCGGAATCGCCAGGTGGGGACGGAATGCCAGTAGATGACCAAAGGTCACCCTTCCACTCGTCGAGCCATCGGTAACCGGTACCGGTGTCAAAGAGGAGTACGCGTGGGGCACCGTCGATCAGCCATCTTCCGTACAGCGTCTTGATGCCACGGTCGTCCATGGACTTGATGGTAGCTACCAAAGCTGGGTCCTTTGGCTCAATGGGCTCTACTTCGACAGCAGCCGAAGCCCTGTTCCAGGGGCCCAAAAGAGTATATGCAGCGCCATACTCTGCTGTGGTGACTTGGGCCTTTGACTTGAGGACCGAGTAGATACCGCCGACTAGGGCGTGTTAGCAGCCATCAGCTGAGGCCAATTGGGATGCGAATTACCTCTGTTTGCAACCTCAGTCGCTACCTCGAACAGGCAATGGTTCTGTACGTCTCTTGCTCCGGTCTCGGCCATGATGTGTGTGGTTGGGGATGAGTGATGAGAGAGGGCGCGGTGGAGGTTTAGAGCTCCAGAAGCGAGCTGGAGAAGGGTCGAGCAAGCTTAAGCTCGGTGCTGGGTTGGACTACTGCAGGTTGCCGCGCTAGGCAAAGCGTTTGGAGTAGTGCTCGGGTTGATTAAGTACGAGGACTTGACAGACGGCACAACAAGGTGGATTGTGCGGCTGCAGGTGCAATTGAATGTGTAGCTCTAGAGCAGCAGGAACGAGAGTCTATCTAATAGTCGCGGCAAGCTGTTTGGAGCAGAGCCTCCCCACGGACGAGAATTGCTGGGCCGCTACTGTCTGGTGCACGAGCCGTTGCTTAGCTCCAGCCTGGAGGTTGGGATCTGGCATATCCGCGTCAGAGCTCGGTTTGTTCGCTTTTGTCGTCGGTGACGTAGGCGCTCGCCTCATGCCCATTGAGTTGGCTTCTTTTGTCACGTCTTGATTGCTGCACCTGCACACGCATTCCACTGCTGTCGCCGCCACCCCACCAGCACAAACTGTGCACAGGCAAATATTTCCCCCACGGTGGACACCCATTTTGTGAGGTTGTAGCGCAAAACAGGCAAGCCCGCGAGTCAACAACTCAACAGTTTCTGCTGGAAATGAGAAGCGGAGCATGGGCCGAATCCGTTGGGCTACTGGCCGGTCTCGTTATCACCATGTATCCTCGTCTACACAAAAATACACATGTACACGAGAGGCTCGCCAGGATTAGGCGGCTGGAAAGAGTGCTCTTCGCAGTCGCAGTGCCGTGGCGCTTCATGCCCGCTCGATGCAATGTTCCGTCATAACGCCGACGATTGCGGGGCTCCCGCGAAAACGGTGGGAGAACTCAGCAGCACGCCACTCTCTCCGCAGCCCAAGGAGTGGAGCCAGGGTGGAGGCGGAGATGTGCACGTGAGGCCTGAAGGCCTGGCACGCGTGTGACATCTTGTCATGCTGATCCAGAGTATCCTCAGCGCCCTCAACATAAATATGCTACCGGCCCGTTTTTTTTTGGGTAACCACTGTAATCAGAATTCGGTCTTACATGGTAATAAATAATAATGCCAGCCAAGCCTCTCACATACGCACGTGCAGCTGGGCCTGTCTAGATCGAAAAAGTCGCATGCCAAAAAACTATCAGAGCTCTCATTGTGGTATAATGCAGTCCCGTCCATCCCCAACGTCTAAAACTTCAAAACACTCGCAGCGGCCGTTGATACACGTACAAAGGAAATTACGAAACACACTGGATATCACGTAGGACGTCCGTCGACGTAAACAAAAGAGAGCAGAAACACACTAACACCCCTCGCCGTTGCAGCAATGCTTACTTACCGCTACGATCGATGATCGGTGCAGCATCCGGCACCCCGGCAAGCAAACTTCCCTGTGCAAACTCGCTGTTCAGCGCAAGATTCACCATGGGGCCCTTCGCCTTACTACCATCCATCACACCCCTGCCAACCACATCTCTACCCTGCGAGTAACCAGCCTGAGACAACAGACCGCCGCCTGTAAATGCCTTGCTGACATCTTCTGGCGCTCCAGAATGGTTGTTCTGTGTATACGCTGCCAATGGCTCTCCACGATTCTTGAGCGATTTTGTGCGTTCAAGGCCAGCGCCACCATAAGTCCCATGTCCACCTCGTGTGCCCGGACGACCCGCCCGCCAGTCTGTCGAGGACGGTACTTTGATAGCCTCCTCAATCGAAGTTGCACTCTCCACGAGTGGACCCGCGCCTGCTCCCGGGTTGTAGCCTTTGCCTTTGTTAAGATGCTGGGGCGGTGGTCGATACTGCGGTGTAAGGTCGACCAAGGGCTCCGGCAGGCCAGGCGCGCGCTTGGAAGCACTCCGCCTGAGGTCGCTGGACGTCCGTCGGTGGTGATTACTAGTCACTGAAGTGCTACGTTTGATACCAGTATCAACTGGCGCAGCCAGAGCAGCACGGCCCATGTTGTTTAGCAGAGACGGACCCTCTGTGAACGGCCCCGACTGCTGTTGTTCCCTAGCCTGTACAGCGGCTTGTCGTTCCGTGTAGGTTCGACCTAGGAGACCAGTAGCGGCGAATGCTTCTTCTCCGCCCTCTTCGAAGCTGCTGCGCCGTGCGGACGGTTTCCGGACGCTCTCCTTTCCCACACCGTGTCTTGTGGGAGGGGTTTGTTTGACCCGTATGGACCTCATCCTGGCTTGCACTCCCCTGCCGTCGAGCTTGGACAGAGGCTTATCGTCCGGGAACTCGCCTGGCTTGTGAACTTCAATCGAATCCAGTTGTTTGTTCAGACTGTCCATGTCAAGCAGTGACGAGAAAGCACCCAGCTGGTAATGCGACCCTACTGATTCACCCCTTGCATGAGCAGATGTATGTCCTCCCTCGGCGTTACCAGAGACATTACGCTGTGCCACGGTCTTCTTCTTCAGTCCCTCGCCCTTTTGGTGCTTGAGATACCAGCTTCGCCATGTTTGTAGGGCCGAATAGAAGATGTTTGCCGTGTTACGGTCGTTGGTACAGAAGAAGTGGACGTACTGCGACTCATCTGCAAAGATGTTCGACTTTTGCATGCTCTTCACGGCGTAGCATATTTTCTTCGGTGGCTTCACCTTTGCCAGCTTCTGCTGTGTGAGGGAGTAGATGTCGTAGTCGGTAAGCGTGCAGATGTTCTCCTGGTCCTTTTCCTTGACCTTTTCGTTCTTCGCCATGACTAGCTGACCGTCGGGGCGAAGAATAAGTAGGCGCTTGCTCCACTTTCCAGGCCTCGAAGAATAGTGGATGAAGCACGACGCGCCCTCTGGCCTGGTATCAGGAACTTTGTACGAGAGCAGATCGTCCTGGTTGATACCGTCCATATCGGAGTCGATGATTGTGAGTTCGTTCTGGGTGTCGTGGTCCCACGAGTTCATGACATCTCTCACGTATTCGTAGTTGCGAAGAGGGCGGGTGATGCTAACTTTGGTGAACAGCTCAGAGATGACAGCCGTGCGAATTTCGATGTTCTCGGATAGGACTGTAGCAGCAGATTTGATAAGATCGAGGGGAGTGGTGGTCGGAGTAACAGGTAGTAGTATGCGTTTCTTGTTGCACACGACTGTGACGCGCTATTGGATTGGTTAGCATTGGACTTGGAGAGAAAAGACCGTAAACGCACCCTGTCACCAGCGTTCACGGCAGATGTTGGTGCATCGATGTTCTTAACGACACCTCCTCCTCCGGGCCTGATGGTCTCCTCCTCTTGACTGCTTGGACTGAGGGCCAGCTGCGGTGGGCCTAGGGGTCGAGCCGGAGCGTCTATGCCCAGGGCGGGATCCTTTCTCCTCTTGAACATGCCAAATCCAATCTCCTGCTGTCGTGGTGGCGAGGCTGGAGGGGAGGACGAGTGTGACTTGAAGCTCCGCTCCTCCTGTTTAGCCTTGCGGATCCCCTCTTCCCTCTGCCGAACAAGCTTCTGAGGTTCGGCCTTTTGCAGTCGCTTTCCGCGCTCTTGCTCTGCCTTGAGCTCTTCTTTCTGTCGACGCAGCGCTTCAGCTTCCTCAATCTCTCGCTGTTCCTTTTCTCGTGCAGCATCTTCCTCTTCTTGGCGTAGCTTCTCGACCTTGTCCAGCTCAGCTTGCCTCGCCCGTCTCTTGGCGCGTGCCTCGGCGTCGTACTTTTCTTTCAGCTGGCGCTGGCGCTCCTTCTCCTTTTGCAATACGTCTCTTGCAAGGTCATCGCCGCTGAGTGGCTCCGAGCTGGATACGGGAGGTGATGGCCCTGCGCGAGGTTTTGCTGTCCTTGGCCGGGGCTGGCCCGTGTTGGCCGTATGCACTGGCTGCTGGTACGGGGAACTTGCAGCACGATTGCGCGGAACAGCAGGAGCCGATAGTTGATCGGGAGGCGAGGGTGGAGCATTGGGAATGGTCATTGAGCGTATCGGTGGGGGAATAGCACTGGTCGCGTGCGAGGTGGGTGGGCGACGATGATAGCGGCTCATGCTCCTACTGAGCGGCGCATCGCTCTGGGGAGGCGTCTCTGACATGGCGGGCATACGGGACATGGATTGCATAGTGGGCGCTGGTTGTGATGTAGGCGACGACTGTTGTTGGTCAAAATCCCCTACTTGCTGCGTGTGCTGTTCCTGTGCGCGGCGGACGCTCCTATAGCGAGATATTTTGGGTGTTGTCGCGGCCGACGAAGACACTGTTTCGGTTGCCATGTTGGTGTTGTTGCGGTGAAGAAAAGTTGTACGACACGACTCTGCGTGCCTGCACGGAGAAAAGTAAGGCACATAGGAGATGCACCCATGGAAGTTGGTTCCAAGTGAGGGGGAGCGACGCAGGGAGACAGGGCAAAGACAGGGCAAAGACAACAGGGAGTGGTAGGTGCAACCGGTTACTCGGCTTCTGAAGAGTGAAATTAAGTACCTGCATTGTATCCAATCGCCCGGTCAAAGCAGCCAGCCCCAAACTTGACTCGTCTTGTGATGTGGGAAGCTTCAGGGGACAAAGTTGGCAACGGCCTTGGTTCAACTAGGAAAGCCGGCCGCTTCTGCGCGTACGCTAATAATAACCCACCCGTCGACGTCGCGGCTAGAACGCGCCGCGAGCTCCACCCTGCATGAAACCATTACCATTCGACTTCTCTCCAGCCACAGCAGTCTATCCTGGTGTGGAATAGCTGCTGGCACAGTGTAGCCATGGCAACTTTGTTGTACCGTGTCACAAGTACATTGACAATCTAATGCACTACCCACCGCCACTTGGTTGTTGCACACAGTGTCCATCATGCACTACCGACGATCATGTGCTGCTGTTCATGGTTTCATGCTTGGAAACATGGCACTGTCACCACATGTTCGGAAATTTTCCTTTTTTCCAAATAAGCGAATAGAATGTTTGGAAGATGAATTATGAAACAAGTAAGCAATGGCGTCTTTGTGGAGATTAGGCGCATAGGGCTGTCGGGTAGGGAGCCGACGAGACAGTCTGGGCAGCCACATAGGTCATCTTATCCCATGGTTACACGTGGATATAAGCGCCATCAAAAACAAACACTCGAGCAAACCTTCTGCGGCTAAAGCAATGAGTACCGCAATCACCACAATCCGCCATGCAGGCAAAGCAACGAGAACAGTAATCATGGATTATGCCATCAAGACCACTCTAGGCATAGTTGGCACTAAACATTACAATTCAAGACTATGAACTTTGCATAATGTCCTCCACTCACGCGCTTGATCCATCACTGCGGTTACTACATTTGATCGGATTGAGCAGAGGAAGCTAAGATGATGGACTCATTACGTCTGCACCAGACCTTTCTTCACCACAACGCACCTTCCACAACAATGACCTCGCCTCCCCATCTGCACACCTTCCTGCCGATTACCACTGGCGCCCAACCCAAACAATGCCAAGACCCCGCACCCTCGTGGTCATCCTCTCTTTCATCACTTTAGCCTCCCTCTTCTACTGCTGCTGCTGCTGCTACTGCTATGCAGACCACTACACCAATCATGCAGGCCATACATCATCAACCCAGCCTCCCGCAGCCTCCCTTAACCCTGCAAACTCCACTCTCGGTTTCAGCACTATCCTCGCCCTATCACCACACCACTCCCCACGCCGGTCAAGTCTGCTCTGGGCCGCCAACCTAACAGACCTCGACATAGTGATCCCCGACCTACCAGACTGGAGCGTGGGAGACATACAAGCATTCAAGGTCAAGAATGGACAAAGCACGATCAGCGTCGGCAGTGCAAAAGCATGGCTAGGACATTTGCAAATTCTGAAGAGGTACGCTATGAAACAAGAGCGTCATGTTTCATAGCGTTGTGAGTAAGAGCTTAAACTAAAGCACGAGCTAACGAATCGGCCAGCTTCCTAGCCTCTAATCACGAAACAGCACTTATAATCGAAGACGACACGGACTTTGACATTCAAATACGGCATGCCCAGATTCCGCGGTTGGCCGAGGCTCTGCATTGTCTGCTCGGTGGTAAGGGAAATGACTACTGGCCTCCCCCTTCGACATGGGACCTCCTTTACCCCGGCCACTGCGATGACGCTCCTTCAACTGCCTACCTCGCTCATCCATACACTACATATACAGATCCCAGCGTACCTTCTCACCAGCAAATGCACCCCGATACTTCCAGCTTCCTACTCTCGCTCAACCTACCCGATCAAACTCGTATCCTTCATCGAGCGTTCTGGCCTCTTTGCACTTTCGCGTATGCGGTGAATAGGCGCTCGGCAGCGCTCATCTTAGACACATTTGCCGCGGAGCCAGAAGGCGGAGGAAGCGCATTTGATGTTGCTCTACTCTCTGCTTGTAGGGACCGCGAGTGGACGTGCTGGAGTGTGGCGCCAGAGGTGTTTCATCACCGGCAGGGGGTCTCGGAGATTGGGCGGGAGGATGAGGTGCATGTGGGGGTTCAGGGTCATGTAGGTGGGGGCGAGAGGAACGCAAGGGGGACGTGGAATTTGGCATGCGGGGCTAGACATGATCAGCTTTGGGTGGATGAGGGTGAAGGGGTTATGGGGAGCAGAATCAAGGCGCTCGTGACGAGAGCAATTGATCAGGGAGAGTGTCCAATTGATGCTCTTAGAGAGGAAGAGACCTGGAAAAGCTGTGAGTGGGGAGAATGTTTTGCACAGTCTTGAGTGCTGCTACATCACGAAAGTAACGATAAGAACGAGTGAATATGAAGTCAAGCAATCCTGCTTGAATAATTGTGAGATCCCAATCCAGCGGGTCTATAGCTTCCGAGTTTCTGTTCCTATGTACAAAGCACAGACTGTCCCAGGAGCTTTCTTCGTTAACGCCCATAATCCGGCGTTGTAGTTGCACCATACCGTATGCAAAGCAAAAGAAAAAGAAAAAAACTCCTCTGATATCCGATATCCTACAAAAGACAGCACACGAAGAGAAGAAGAGGTGTGAAATGGACGGGTATCCAGAAGGGAGAAGTGAAGGAAAAGGAGATCAAGGAAATGTGTGCGTTGAAAGCGTGACTCATCGCCACAAGTCGGCTCTCGAAGCCCGCTTCTCACGCCCGGCGTGCGTTATCCAGCTTGCACGTGGACTGCCACCAAGCGAGTTGGAGTGAACGTGACCAAAGCCTCCCGGGGGCGCCATGTGCCCAGCACTTCGCGGTCTTCCGTCGTTGTCTGCGGGCACGGCTAAAAAGCCGCCAAAGCCATTGGGCACCACGATGCTCTTGCGGGCATCCCCGCCCCATTGCGGTCCGAGACCCTTGTGCGCCGAGTAACTGCTGACGGGCCGACCTCCTGATATGGAGGGACGACGTCCGTGCCCCTCTGGGGGAATAATCGAAGTGAAGATCCATTCCAGCTCGTCAAGACCCTTGGAGTAGACCTCGAGGGGCTGGTTGAACATGGGTGGCGGTGCTTCGCTAAACGGACGGACTGGTGGCGCAAGGGTGAGAATTTCCGGGAAGTCGGGATCACGCACGTAGAGCTGTCGCAAGGCAGGGAGGCAGTTGGACATGAGCGACTTGGCCAGATACTGGTAGTGGGATGCTGCGGGCGGGTACATCTGGTTTGTGTTGCTCGAAATGATCTCAAAATTGAGCTTGTGCAGCGTGTAAGACGTCATGGGCGGTATTGGGTCCAGGGGAAGCGAGGCAGAGACTGTAATGGTGTACTCGAGCGTCTTCAAGTTCACGGCTGCCTGCAGAACGGTGTGAAGGGAAGAGACGAGGATGCTGGAGACATTCTTCAGTGTCAACGTCCTTAGCCTGGCACTGCACATGGGATTGTAGAGGTACTGGGCCAGTCCGTTGGCGGTGATGGAGTGGGTCTTTTCCAGCCTGAGCGTCTCCAACGCAGGGAAGTTGGGCAGTCCGGGCGTGTCGTGGAAGGTCGAGTCGTTTAGCCATGATACGCCGATGATGGTGAGCTCCTTGAGGTATGGCAGCATGCTCAGGGCCTGTCTTAGGATGCTGGGCTCCATTTGAATCTTGTTGAGCTGAACCGAGATAAGCTCCTGCCAGTAGCCCTGGAGGAGCGTCTCAAACGACTGTTCTGCACCTTCATTGTACTTCATGCTCTTGATGTGCGGGCATCGTGCCTGCAGCTCCTGTCGTAGCAGCTGGCACGATGCATCGCCGTTGTAGAAGCCATCAGGGAGGTCGATGAACTCGAGGTTTGGGCAGCCTGATACGGTGCGTGCCAGGTCGGCTTTGCAGGCCTCACGAGTCATGTAGGGGAGCTTGATGAAGCGGACGCGCTGGCCGAGGTACTGATTTCCGCGCACGCTCTGGCAGAGCTGCTGGAGGCGAAGGGTCGGGGCGTCGACTTCTTCGCCATTGCGTGACTTGCGTCGTCGCTGATCGGCATAAACCTCCTCGAGCTCGCAATAATGGACAGCATCGATGCGTATGCTGTTGTATCTACGCCAAGTAAGCTACATGATACCCATGTACAAAGCGGGCTTCACATACAGTAGACCAGCAGCGACACCGTACCATTGTCGCTTCGTCAGTGCGCAATGGGCCAAGTCGCGCATATCACAGCTCATGCAGCCGTCGTTGCCGCTGTCTTCGCTACCATCAAGCGTCTCGTCGGCTGAATGCGGACATACTTCTTCAAAAATGCGGCGGAGGACCTTGTCCGGCAGGCGCTGCGTCTGGTCGGGGCCGTGATAGTCGTACGTTGCGGCGGCATACAAGTCGTTACGCGTCCGCGACTCGTTCTTCTTGGGGCTCTTATGACGTCTGAAGCGCTTGAAGAAACCCATTATGCCACGAGGTGCACTGCAAAGGAATTAGGAGTGTTTCTACGCATGCGACGGCGGGTTATTTTAAAGAGGGTGGGGTCTTTGTCCGTTGTTTCAAATGTGGGTAGGCGTAGGTGTATACTAACTCGCGTCCGTTTGGCGCTGCTTGCGGGGAAGTCAAGAACCCCCGTTGCCGAGAAGGCATGCTGGCGGCCAATCCTCTCCCAAGCTATGGCTAGAGCCGCAAGGTGAAATCCCCGGTAATCGGGCGTGGCTATGCCAGCAACCAAAGAAAATAAATTGCAGGTCGACTGCGATCAATTGCGCTCGAGCTTCAGTGTATGTCAGAAGGGAGGGAGGAGACGTTTAAGGGGCCACCAGCACTAAAGTAGCCAGCAAGCTCCCGTACAGCGACTCCAACGGCTCTGCTGACAGGCCTAGTCCTTGTCGTACGTGTCAGCATACGCTCCAAGATGCTCCCACCTCCTGCCACCAAGCTGAATGCGAGGTGCGGCGCAACAGCGGGCGGAACATCAAGGTCACGTGATGACGTAAGCCGCGGGAGAGGGCAGATCGCCAGGGGTACCGGGGTTATCACGAGGCTGTGGCGGCGAGTTGAAGGCGGGATAAGCGGAAGGGCGAGACAAGCAACATGTTTTAAAGCCAATGCCTCGGGCTGCATGTATCACTTTTCAGCACCACTAGTTGCGAGACCCCGGCCCGGTTTACGATTACGACACTCACGCAAAAAACATTGGTGGCTGCGGATCGACGACTCGCCATGCCGGTGAGCAGACGCTTTGATATATTGACAACGCAGTCGACCACTCGGACCCGTTACGAACGAGGAAGCCTATGGCGCGGTGAAGAGGCGCCAGCTGTCTCAGTAGACGCTCAAAGCCATCATAACCACATGAAATACACCTCTCCGACGTCAATTGGGGGAGGGGGGAGAGAGAGAGACGAGTGCGCGACAATTGAGCGACAATTGAGCGACAATTGCAGTGCACAGGCGGTATCGATTAATACCAGAGCGGAGACACAACGTGTCACGGCGGCGGCAGTGCACACGTGAATATAGGCGAGTGCAACCCTCAATAAGAGGCGTCAGACAGTTGCAGAGGAGTACAAACGTCTTTGCCGAGCGGGTGCTGCTGTCGGCGGTGCATGCCCGCCTTGCTGCAGGCGTTCCCAAAGTTGCAGTTTGGCAGGTGTGAGAGCAGGTACATGTAGAAAAGTGACATTGCGGGATTGGTCATCTGTAGGCAGAGCCAACAAACAGTGGAGCTATTAGTTGTATCAAAGAGACATGATGCATACATACATACCAAGTAGGGACGCGTCCAGGGCACTAGAGCGGACCTATCGCCAAGACCGTGGAAGTTATGCTCTAGCTCTGCTCTGCTATCCACGTCCAGAAATCTGCCCGGGATCATTGCACGGAGCCTCAGGTCGTCCGTCCCCATCTCATAGCAGTTGGTTTCATCTCACGGGACGCTACTCAACCACGTCCCGTCCTTTACTTCGAGGGCTCTGTTTTTCTCCTTCACTCGCTCCCAGCTTACAAGCCGTTCCCCACCCCACGTACTCACTTTCACCCTCCCCGCTGACGTCCCCGCTCATCGCTCCTTCTCCTTCGGCCAAATCTCGCAGCTCCTTCCTCTACGAACCTCGCCCGCTCGAACCGCAATCGCCGTGACGTGCAACCACGTCTGAATACTTACTGTATACAGAACTGGGACGCATAAGCTGACCCTGAGCAACGGAGCAGTCTATAATAAATATGGCGTCCCAACCGACTCCGAGCCCCCAGGCCGCTAATCTCGACCGCTACGTCGTCATTCACGTAGCAACAACGTGCGATGAGCATGGCGTCTACGTCACAAAGGACTCGGCTGAGGTGATTGAGCTGGGTTGGATCCTGCTCGATGCAAAGTCCTGCGAAGAAGTAAGCGGTACCTCAGCTGGAAACCAAAACCTCGATTGCTAACCCCCCGTGCCAGCTGCATCGAGAATCCGTCCTAGTCAAGCCCGTCAACACGCCAATTACCGCGCTGTGCAGTGAGTCTTGCTTCCTTGTAGCCGTTGAGCATGCTGTGCAATTTCCACTAACCTTGAATCTTGCAGCCAGCTTGACAACCCTCACCTGGGATCAGGTCCGCAACGCCGGTAGTTTCCGTGACGCAGTTGAGCGGTTCAACAACTTCCATGCCGAGCACATTGCCCCCCAAAACCTCGAGTTTGCCTTTGTTACGCTTGACTCGTGGGACTTGCGCGTTCAGCTGCCCCGTGAGGCCCGAGACAAGTCGGTCGTGCTCCCGCCCTATCTGCAACATTCACGCACCTTTGATCTTCGTACCGAATACCAGCGGTGGCAGGCACACCACCCAGAGTCCCTGCCCTTTGGCTCAAGCGCGTTGACCAACATTTGTGCAGCCCTGGAAGTGGAGCCAGTGCAATCCTCTGCGCCAATCAAGCACAACCTTCCCTTTCACCTCCAGGCTCTCGCACCTGCCTCGCCGAGGCGGGCTATGGAAGAGGCAGTCACCCTGGCTCGAGTCTTGCGGGGTCTGATCCGCAAATCACAACCTCCCCAAGACCACCCCGACGTTCTTACTAAGCCCATGGATGCCCGGGCTGACGTTCGCGCCTTCCTCTCAGAGCGAAGCAAAGTCCTACACATGAGCGGTCTTCCCCACGACACTACCCAATCCGAGCTAGAGAGCTGGTTTACACAATTCGGCGGCCGCCCAATCGCTTTCTGGACCCTGCGTACCCCAGATCAGCACAAGCCCACCGGCACAGGATTTGCCATTTTCTCTTCTCACGAAGAGGTACGTTTTTTCACAACCTCCATGTCTGCCTCTGTATACTGACACCTTCTAGGCAGCCGAGAGTCTCTGTATGAACGGACGAGCCCTGAACGAGAAGGCTATTGAAGTCTCTCCATCATCTAGCCGCGTGCTCGACCGCGCCGCCGACATCATTACGCCGTTCCCTCCCAGCAAGAACCGTCCCCGCCCGGGTGACTGGAATTGCCCTTCATGTGGCTTCTCCAACTTCCAGCGCCGTACAGCCTGTTTCCGATGCTCTTTCCCAGCAATGCAGCAGGGTCCACCAGGTGGTGATCCCATGGGCTACGGCGGATACGGTTACGGTGGCCATCCCGGCATGATGGGCCCTCCCCAGCACCACATGGGCCATGGACACGGCCACGGAATGGGTGGTAACCACATGCGTGGTGGTACTGGTGCAGTGCCTTTCCGCGCTGGAGACTGGAAGTGCGGCGAGAATGCCTGCGGATACCATAACTTTGCGAAGAATACTGCCTGCCTACGCTGCGGTGCCAGCCGTGCAGGTGCTGCTGTCGTTGCTGACTCTGCTTTCCCGTCTCCTATGGATACCCCCTCTGGCTTTGGCATGGGTGCTCCCTCCATGGGCGGCACACCCGGTGCTGGTCCTTACGGTCCCGCTGGCTATGGTGGCGGTGGTTTCCCCGCTCAGCAGTACGGAGGCCCTCCCAGCTCATATGCGCTGCCTTCTGGCATGGGCGCTGCTAGCCCTTACCCTCCTATGGGCGCTCAGTACGTTCCCAACGGCGGCATGCACACTACACCTTTCGACAGTCGTTCGGCCGAGGCTGCTTTTTCTTCTGCAGACCCATACCCCAACCAGGGTGCTCCCAACGGCGGTGATGGTCGCAACGATCCCTTTGCCTTTCTCTCCACTGGCTTCGGCTCGCTCAACATGAACGATGACCGTCGCAACGTCTCAAACCCTGCCAACAAGTCACCGGCTTAAACACACTCGTACATAGGTATCGATCATCTGGAGCACGGATCTTGCGGTGTGATTTGTTATGGGATGGTTATTTCGGATAGGCTGGCGTGGGCAAGATTGGCTTTCGGGGAGTTTGACAGCAAGGGTCGATTTAAGAATTCGTGGCATTTGCAGGACACCTACGGCTCGGATGCGTATAGACGGAAAATCCTCATTTGACGGAGTTCGATACCTTGGATGGGGGTGTTCGGGGGATCGACTTGAATTTCAACAAAAGCTGGGCGGATGGGAAAAGTACAAATTGGACGGCGGTAACATGGGCTTGCTGGAGCTTCTGGATCTGGTGGGCGATCGATCGGGACGATGTATAGTCTGTGAGCTGATTTTCCCTCAAGTTGTGCGTTCTTTTCTTTCTACATGGTCCAAATTGAATCACATAGCTCGTCGCCTCGGCGATGAAGGCGCGACCAGGGGCGGCTCTCTAGCCCATGGTGCTTGTACCTACCATAGAATTAGTTTCCTTCACAGTCCTAATAATTCTTGTTCTGCTTTGTCTTGTGTTTGCTCACTTTCGCTTTTCATAATGTTTTGACATTACTGAGAGCAAACTAAACGTTGACAGAGAAGATGGGAATGAGGCTTCGGGTAACGACTTGAATCTTGTGACGTGTGGGGACCGCTTTCTGTACCAGAACAAAGGCTCTCAGTATGATCTCATCATGTTCACATTCCGGTCGATCGGGAACATTGATTATCAAAGAGTTGGTCTCAATCATGGTATACTCGCTCAGGCCAAAGCAAGGGTCTAAGGATATCCGAATGCGGCACAGTGGAACAGGACTCGAGCTTGACGGCCTGAGACTATTCCCCTGAGTACCCAAAACAGCAACTACTAAAGGAGTACAAGAAGATTTGTAAAACGGTCTCCGACCCTAAGACACGGTCCATGTCAGCAGCCTCACCGGTCTTCTCCGGACGCAAGGCCACCAGTGTACCAAATCCCTTCCCCAACCGCGGCAATTGCTAGGCTATAGGAAGCTAGTAAACGGCGACGTCACACATTGAATATAATCCCATCGACCATTATGAGCGATACTGAACAGCCTACATCTGTCCCAGCCTTGATACGGGGCAGACTATGAGATTATGGTGGCTTTAGCTTATCCTTATTGTAATCGTTTTGGTGGACACTGTGGTACAAGTAGGTAATTGGGATCAAGATCGTACCAGAATCAACCTGCAAGAGGGTGTGCTTGATCGAAGGTATTACGAAAGGGTTTGGTGTTGGAAATTTCACGGGATGAAATACTGGCGAAATAAGTGTACCAAGGTCCGCTCTGCTGATTAATTACTCGTGCACAGGGCGGAACGCGAAATCCTTCATGGACCCGCAAAATGCATGCAACCATTGGAAGTTTATAAAGAGGTAAGGCGCAGGCGATGTTCAGCAGCCTTGCTTCGGAAGCAGAGCGATTAGGGTCCAGCATGATCTCACATCGTATCTCTCCACTATGTACGTTACCCCATGATGACTTCAGTAGGTGGTGCACGTTTTTTAGCGCCTTGTATGCGGCAGCGGCAGCGTTTTTTGACAGTGTGGGTCCTTGAAACGGTGTGACCAACGTCCCGGTGGATGGTACACCAGGCAAATCACACCAAACATGCGCCATCCGTTGTAGTAATTACGGTAAAAGTCGCTAATAAACAACCTAGGTCTCTGGATCAATGCCTGAATGGAGCGACTACCGCACCACGTTATTTTAAGCCTCGTATTAGGAGAGGCTAAGAAGCGATGCAAGGGTAGCCGGCTCCGAGCTAGTTTCTATCGGTGCAGTACTGGGATTGTGGCGTAGGCTCAATTTCCATAACAATTCCCTTGCTTTGAGCGAATAGGGCCGACGCTGAACCTCGAATCTCGACCTTGTGTGGATGTGAAGGGTGTTTCCTTGAGTTTAGCATAGGGAACATCTAGAATCGCTGTGCATGAAAAGCTCGAGTGATCCCCGAGACGTCAAGTCAGCACGGCCAGTGAATCCTGTATGCCTAGAAGGCGGGCGGAGCGCATTCCCCTATGCGCCATCGTCGCTACCGTTTGCACTTGTCCTTATCAGTTACTCAGACCGAAGGCACTAGTACCTTGTAAAGGTCTACTATCTACAATGCCCACCTCTCGGCGTTCACCTTTCGCCTTTCCTGCGTCCTACTACCTAATCTTCCCTTCTCTGTGCAGATCGATTGCTCGAGCGCGCCGACCATGCTCGTGCACTTTAACTCGTCGATACCGCGATTGCTCGTGCTTCCGCTTTTCTTGCTCATCTGCGGAATCTTCCTGTTCCCCCGCCAGTACCATGGCTCAGCTGCCCTTTACTTCCCGATTGTCAGCGGCAAGAACCTCACTGAAGCCAGCTCTACCTTTGACACATCAGTCCGCCAGTTTTGGAACGAGCTTGCGACTGCTCTGGTAGAGTCACAGCCGCAATGCGACCCTTTGAAGATCAACGATGAGGAAGAGGACAAGGCCATGATCAAATTCGTCCCGCTTGAACCACATAAAGAGCACCCCAAAAAACTAGTAAACTTCACCGACACAGACGAGAAAGCTTTGTTTCGAGCCCATTATGCCATGCGAAGATCGGCGCAGCGTCTGGCTTCTGGAGTACCTTTCGCCAAGGGCACAAGTGGAATCGTTACCACGGCGAACGGAAAATACATGCCCATCTTTTTGGTGTCGTTACGGATGCTACGAAGAACAGGATGTACGCTCCCCGTCGAAGTCTTCATTGACGACTGGAGCAAGTACGACGCCACCGTATGCGACCAAGTGCTGCCTTCATTGAACGCCCGCTGTGTTGTGCTCTCAAACATCTACAACACTGCCGCACACGCCAAGCAGCCGGACCACTACCAGTACAAAATCTTTGCCATCCTCTTCTCATCTTTCCAAAACGTCCTCTTCCTCGACAGCGATGCCTTCCCCGCGCACGATCCCACCGATCTCTTCTCAACCGCACCCTACACGACGCACGGCCTCGTCACCTGGCCCGACTTCTGGGCCCAAACAATATCAGCGCATTTCTACCACATCGCAGCGATACCAGAAGTAGCCTCTCAATCGCGGCTTTCCACCGAAAGCGGCCAGCTCCTCATCAATAAGGACACACACCGCGAGTCGCTCCTCATGATGGTCTACTACAACTACTACGGCCCAGACTACTACTACATCCTCCTCAGCCAAGGCAGCCCCGGTGCCGGCGACAAGGAAACGTTTGTCCAAGCCGCCCTCGCCGTCAACCTGCCTTACTACCAAGTCAGCACCCCACCGGGCGCCCTCGGCCGCTTCAGAAACGGCACCTACATCGGCACCGGCATCGCGCAAGCAGATCCCCGACTCGACTACGCCTACCTGACCCCCATGCGCAGCCACATCCACAAGGACGGCAACTGGAAGGACGACGACGTTGTCCTAACCTCAGATTCAAAAGCTCCTCCCCGTCCGAAACCCCTGTTCCTCCACCAGAATAATCTCAAGCTCGATCCGCAGAAGGTGCTGGAAGATGAGAGGCCGTTCGATATCGATGGCTTGCCTCATCGTATGTGGAATAATCAGATTGACGCCCAAGGTCACGATATCGAGCGTACGTTGTGGGATGTTGTTACCGAAGAGGGTTGTAGGGAGAGTAAGAAGAGCGAGACGTGTAGGAGACTTGAAAACCATTTTCGACAAGTTTTTGGGAAGAGATAGATGATTTGAGTATGTTTCTGTTTTGTTTTGCGGTTTCTACACACTGATGGGTTGGGTTGGGTAGGTTTGTTTATGCTTTTAGCGACGACGATGATGCGGAGTTCATTCTTGGCATGTGTGGGATGGACATGAATGGATATGAATATGAGAGCGATGGTGTTTTTTCTTCTTCTTCTGCTTCTACTAAGGCAGCTCCACGCAGCGCGGCGAAGCGAGCCTTTTCGTCATCTCCTTCTTCCTAGTTATTTCCAGCGATGACTGTTACTTTTTCTTCGTCTCTTTCCATTCACATGTACACATATAGACAGACAAACGCTCAGTAGATATTATACCAAACATGAGATTCAATCATTTCAAAAAGCGACGGATATCGTAACATCATCAGAGAGACCTGGTGTTCCCGTTGTACAGTGTAGAAGGAAGGGAAGGGAGAGAGAGACAACTGCATCATGCAGAATCACTCATCTCACTCTGCAATAAATCCTCCATGATATCCTCTTCCGTCACCATTGTCCTTCGCCGATCATCCCTTCCTACAGTGAGCGCGCTATGCTCGGCCATTGACTCTCCCTCGCCTTCTACCTCTTCTTCTTCGTCGTCATCATCGTCGTCATCATCGTCGTCGTCATCGTCTTCCTCTTCAAGCGGCATACGTGTACCCTCGCCCTGCATACCCGCTAACATAGTCTCGTCGTCTTCATCCTCTTCCTCTTCCTCCTCCTCCTCCTGCTTAACAGGCTTACTCTGTTTCTTCTGCACCGGGACCTCCGTCTCTTCCTCCTCCCCGGCTTCTTCCGCATCAGCAGCAACAGTCGTTTCAGGCGACCCTTGCTGCGTCGTCTCAACCTCCGTATTCTCCTTTGCTTGTGCCACCTCACCGAGGCGTTTGGTAAGACTAGTTTCCAACTTGGCCAGTGCATTGCGCTGCGTGGCGTCCGTTCCTATTTTGCCTTCTACGGCTTCAGTGACTAGGCCGTGGAGGGTGTGTAACATTTCCTCTAGATCCACGGCGCCACCTTCTTCTATGGTACTGTTCCTCGTGGCACCAGCACTAGTACTGCTTGACGACGACGACGGTGCGATGAATAGTTTACTCAGCAGACTCAGCAGCGGCTTTCTCTCGTCTTTGGAACATGTCGCTGTCAACGCGCGCTCGAGCACCTCGACTGCAAGTCCGACGTGTGGTTCCTCGGCCTCAATGTCTACCACATTTGTCTTGCCATCGAGACCCAACTCCGTGGCTCCCACGACTTTGCGTCCGTCTGTCCATTCGGCTAGATGCGCAGTGATGACAGGCCAGCCCACCATCTCATCTACATCTTCATCCTCGACGTTCTCGTCGCGCATGATGAGCAGTTTGGAGATTACAGGCACGGCGATGTCAGCCATGAGTTTAGCGTTCTTGAGCTTCGAGTGGCAGAAGACTGGCAGGAAGTAGGAGAGTGCTTGGCGTAAAGCGGGATTCAGCGCCGTTTCAGGGTCAAAGTAGGTTAGGACCATGACTTTGAGGACTTCGGTTGTTGACAAGGGGGGTAGGATGCCCAGGAGGAGTAGCTTGGATGCTGCGGTGCACGAAATCAAACTGATGCGCTTGTTGTCAGAGGTGAATGCTTTGAGCAGGATTTTCGTGATGGGCCGGATGCGGGGGTTGGTAATGGGTTCGGCGTCTTCGGTAGAAGCATCTGGGTCCGGAATTGTGGGTGTGAGGAGTGTAGGGTGCGTTATTATCACGTCGGTGAGGACTTGGATGACTATCTCTTTAAGGGCGTCGTGGCCTTTTATGAAGCAGTGGAAGAAGAGGTCGAGGTTGTTGTCTGCGAGGTCCTGGGAGTTTTGTTAGTACGAGTCTATGATACGTGATGAAGGGCATTTAGTGTACCTTGCTAAGGAGTGCGGCTAGACCTAGACAAATGACTCCACGCTCACGGATCATCGCCTGATGAGCTTGCACCGCTGGAATGATGAGCGTGTTCAGGATGTTTGTGAGCGAAGTGTCTGACTCCAGGTCACCCTCCACATTCTGCAGTGTACATTGAGCGATGTGCAAGCACTTGGAGTACACCATGACCTCGCGAATCTGTCGTTCTTCCTTCTCCTCGTCAGTGAGGTTCTCCGATGCCTTTGATGTCTTGGGCTTGATCAACGGCGCATCGCCATCAACGTCTGACTGAGCAGAGTGGAAGCTCTCTTCATCCCCATCTTCTCCAGTTACGGTAGCGTCATCTGCATCTAGCAGGGAGTCCCGAACATCTGCAATCGCCTCGACAATGAGTGCGCAAAAGTCCGATTCGCCACGACTACCACAGACCTTACGCAGGACTTCGATCGAAAGTTTTGTGCACTCTTCCGGCAGCTGAGCCTTGGCGATGGCCTCTCGCATGATGTTGTACATCTGCCTTCGGCCCATCTCGTCAGTATAATCAAGGGTGTGGGCAATGTGAAGTAACTGTTGAACGATAAAGTCCTGTTCCTCCACATCTTCCTGAGCCTCTTCGACCTCTGGGTCGTTCTCCTCCATGACAGCGACCTTGTCTACCAACTCCATCAACGAGTTGAGTTCACGCTGAAGAACAAAAGCGAACATGGTGACTTCCGGCATCTTATCCTCGACCATGCTTTGCACTCTTTCGTCCTCTGTGCTTTGAGCGTAGTCATTCAAAGTGCGCGCAATAAAGGCAGTCTGCGCATCGAGGTTGTTCCAGAACTCGTGGTCGAATGTGATTTCCTTGCGGTAATCTGGCCGACCATCCCAGAACTGACGCATTGCCTCGTGGGCCATACCGTCTTCCTCTCCTGACCGCGTGACATCGATACGCTCGAGCAGCTCACAGAGCGCCTCTAGACTTGGCGGTGCAACATCCCCCGGCTTCTTCTCCTCCTCCGATCGAGTGTCGCGCGAAGAAGCGCAGTCTTCCAGCCAGCGTTCCCGGAAGAGCGTTGCAGCAGCTTTGCGAACAATGTCATCTCGATCCCGCAGGCCCCATCGGATGAGCTTCTCTCGCTCAACCAGCGACATGTGTCGGAAGTCACCCAGAGCAGGCAGAATCTTGCCGTATACTAGTCTTCGAGTGGTCGCGTCCATATCGCGGGCTCTCTCGAGAATGTATCGCAAGGTGGAGGGCCAAAGCGGCAGGTTCAGTAGTACAGCACGTCGCACTTCGGCACTAGGATCATTAATCATAATGTCCAGAAGCTTGTCGAGAATACCGCCTGCGGCTTCATCATCACTGTCTTCGTCCTCTTGCTCCTCGTCGTCATTGCCGGCAAGACGACCCAGTCCCAGGATTGCCTGCACACGCACTGAAGGCTCTTTGTCTCGTAGACGCTTAAGAAAACCCAATCTTATCAGGTTGAAGATGTCGTCATCGATGGTTGTGAGGCTGTTTACAATGTGTGCGACTGTTTGAGTTGCTCGGAAGCGGATCGTCTTATCCTTGGCTGTCAGTAGCGCTAGGATCGTGGTCAGGATGTGCGATGTAAGACGGCTGCTGGGTGTTTCGTGGAAAGCAGTGGCTTCTTCCTCTTCGGCCTCTGGAGCAAAAATCGATTGATCTAAATCTAATCAGTATTGATGATAGTACCACGGTGCCAGACAAAAACGCACCTTTCTCCGAGGCATGCTTCAAAAAGACACCCAAGAATCGAATCACCCTATCACCCACAGGCTCGCTCTTCTTGACACACATGATCCTGAGTACACATCTCACAACCTCAGCGTTGAACTCTTCCTCGTCGAAATCCTCCTGCTCCTCCCCCTTGCTCTTCTTCCCACCCTTCTTGCCCGTCTCTGGCGGCTCGAAGCAGCATGCCTCTTGTATTTTGCGCAAATTCACCACTAGCTTCCTCTGCGTCGCAGTCGTCTTTTGAGCATCGCTAAAGACCTGGACAATTTGTGTGCGGAGCGTTGTTACAGGGCCTTCATCTGGGATTTCGATGGCATTCGCAGATTGCCTGGCGGAGGATGCGCGTGTTGATTTGGTAGTGCCAGCGCTGGTCTTGCGGGTCGTTGATGTCGCAGATGCGCGCGGTGCACGCGTTGAAGGGCGACCGGGCATTGTTGTTGTGTATCTAGTATTCCCTTTCGTCGTCTGGTCGTGGCATGTGTGAATTGTAGTCTATACCGTGTTGTTGTTTACGCACCCCCGCGGCGACAGCGACTCGTAGGAGCAGGGGTCCAACAAGCAGGGGGGGTCCGTCAGTTGCGACATCGGCCGAGAGCGCGTTGATAGGCCGATCAGCCGAAATGGCATCATCGTGAATCTTAGAAGTTGAACTTTCCCGCTCTGTGACTTTGTTTGCCTCTTCAACTAAACGCAACAATGTTCAGGACTGCGGCGCGAAGCATTGCCGCTTCTGCATGGCGCAATGCAGAGAGCTTTAGTCAAATAGAGGCAGCACACCAAACTGCAATTAACATTTCAAAGGCACAAGGCATTGGTCAGCGGGGCTTCATTGACGGTATGGTACTCATCATGGTGGTTGGATATGTTATGCTGACACACGAACCCAGCAATTGGAAAGACACCCCTCATCCGTCTCAAGCGCCTCTCCGAGGAAACTGGCTGCAACGTGCTGGGAAAAGCCGAATTCCAAAACCCCGGTGGCTCAGTCAAAGACCGCGCAGCCCTCTTCGTCGTCGAGAATGCCGAACGTCAAGGCCTCCTTAAGCCCGGTGGTACCGTCATCGAAGGCACAGCCGGAAACACTGGCATTGGTCTTGCGCATGTTTGCCGCTCAAAAGGCTACCGACTAGTTATCTACATGCCAAACACGCAGTCGCAAGGCAAGATTGATTTACTGCGATTGCTCGGCGCTGAAGTCTACCCCGTACCGGCCGTCGCATTCGATAACCCGGAGAACTACAACCACCAGGCGAAGCGACATGCGGAGAGACTAGAGAATGCTGTCTGGACGAACCAGTTCGATAACGTGGCGAATCGCCAGGCGCATATTGAGACTACAGGCCCGGAGATTTGGCATCAGACGGGAGGGAAGCTGGATGCTTTTACCTGTGCGACGGGCACCGGAGGCTCGCTCGCTGGTGTAACCGATACTTGAAGGAAAGAGTGATGGTAGGGTTAAGAGCTTTTTGGCAGATCACCAGGTTCGGTGCTACACTCGTATATTCAGAGTGGTGGTAAGCTCCAAGAGAGAGCTGGAGGTTCCATCACAGAGGGTATCGGTCAGGGTCGCGTAACAGAGAATTTGAAGCCAGACATTGACCTCCTGGACGGCTCATTGCACATCAGTGACGAGAAGACCATTGAGATGGTATACAGGTGTCTGGATGAGGAGGGTCTTTACCTCGGAGCTAGCTCATGCTTGAACGTCGTTGCCGCCAAGGAGGTAGCTGAGAAGATGGGCAAGGGATCGACCGTCGTTACACTGCTATGTGATGGCGCGTACAGGTATGCCGATCGCCTATTCTCGAAGAAGTGGCTCGAGCAGAAGAAGCTGTACGACGCGATACCCGAGCGGTTACGAAGGTACATTGTTCTAGAATAGATCACCAACATATGCAGTATACAAAGTTCAAATATACAGTAATCATCTAAACATCTATTCGCGATCGCCTGTACAAAGTATAGATCTACATCCCATCTACATAGAAAGACCTTTGCCAACTAAAGCCCTACTCTAGATCATGGGACTCCCACTTGCAAACCCATTTACCACAGCTGTCATAAGCTGATTCGCAATAGCTGTCTTGGGTGGCAACCTCAATCCACCTTCCTTGTATTCAGACCCGGCCTCCTCGCCCAATCCACTAGTACCTACCCTCAACGCTTCCCTCACTTCCTCCGCCGTAAACCACTTGGCATCCTCAAGCTCAGCATCATGTCCTAAATGAATCGTCTCTCCCTCGGGAATCGCCTGGCCCACAGCGCCAATCATCAAATTGGCGGGATACGGCCACGGCTGCGTAGAATGAATAACCACTCTTCCGAGATGGATACCAGACTCTTCCCAAACTTCGCGACGCACCGCCTCCTCCACGCTCTCTGCCGGTTCAAGGAACCCAGCGAGCGTAGAGTACCAGTACTGCGGCCATCTCTTTTGCCGTCCTAGCAAAATTCTCTTTCCATCGGCAGACACTACAGCCATGATGACGGTGGGGTCTGTACGGGGGAAGCAGAGGTTTGAGATTCCGGTTCTGGTAGCGCAAGGCGGGCGTTCACCCTGGTTGACTTCGGACGCAATGTCTTTCGGAGGGCATGTACGCTTAAAACCGGCGTTAACGGAGAGCGTTTTGTAGCCGCAGGAAGCGCAGTAGGGGTTTCGGGCATTCCAGTCGAGGAGGTGGCGGGCTTCTGCGTAAATGGCCGCTGGGGTTGGTGTTAGTTGACTGTTTTTCGCTGTATAAGAGAATTGGGCATCGTTACCTTCTTGAGCTGGGAGACTCATATGCATTCTCCCTTTACTGAATTCTAAGCCCTCGCTCTTTACTTTCTCTAACAACTTCTCCGCCTCGTCTTTTACACTGTCCTGCGGTGTGACGTCGACGGCGAACCATGGCTGGCCTTTGTAGTGCTCCTTGTATACGAAGCCTTCTTTCTTCTCGTCAAGCCCGAGGAATATTATCTGTGGGATGTAGAGACTCGAGTTGTACTGCGCAATAACATCGTCTTCCGATTTCTCAAACGGGTTATCGCCAATGATGGGTTTAACGTCTGAGAAAGAGCAGCGCGCGAGTTCAGTGCTGGATTTGAGAAGAGGCTCAAGTTTGTTGAAGAGAAGAAAGGTAGTGCTTTGGTGGTGGAGCGCAGAGGAAAGGAATTGGTGGTCGGGACGTAGGAAGCCCACGCGGTTTAGCGGTGAGCCTATATATCATTGTTAGTGAGCAGAATGACATTGAAGTATGATTCAATTACATACCGGAGAAGTAGTTCGCGACTTCCTTTCCAAACCTACGGCTCAGCATCGAATCGACGTCTGGATGCGCTGGCTCAGGAAGCTCAGGTTGCGGTGGCATTGTACGGAGAAGATACTAGGATAAAGATGTAATGACGTCTTCTAGATACTTGGTAGATAAAAGTGTAACAGAAACAAAAGTTTGTATGCAATTGATCAAACTTCAGGGTAGATTGAGCAGAGACAGCTTTCAAAACGTCAAAGGAGGCGAATATGAGTGGATTGACATATGCAACCTTTAACTCGCATTTGCCCCACGTAGTCGCGGGGGGTCCACGCTAGACAACGCGGCATTACAAACCATCGCCATCGATTTTGGCGTGTCAAGTTCCGAGGCCTCGGTAAGACAGGTTCCGAAGCAGGTGCTTATCGATTAGACGTTTATTTGGACCGTGTGTCAACCCTGTGTACACATAGCACAGTCCGTGACCGTAAGCTCCATGGAAACAAGACACCAATCATGAGCGGTTTTCAGGTACGTGTATACCCATGCTGGCGGCGACAAGGGACTGACATGGCAGTAAATAGCTTGGCGACGACTCGCGCTCGGCATCCAGCGACGAAGACGACGAAGACAACTTGTCCACACTCCCCTTTGCGACCCCGCTTCGCCGCTCTGATTTCCTCGTCCCCGACTTTTCGCCTTCGGAATATCTTTCTACCCTGCGAAACCGCCACCAAACTCTGGAAGATTTGCGCGCCGAACTGCGCTCGCGGTCGCAACTGCTTTCCAAGGAGCTGTTGGATCTTGTCAACAGCAATTACCAGGACTTCCTCAACCTGGGAAACAGCCTGCATGGAGGCGAGGAAAAAGTAGAGGAGGTGAGGGTGGGCCTGCTGGGATTCAGGAAGGAAGTCGACGGGCTGATGGAGGTGGTGGGGTCGAGGGAAGAAGAGGTCAAGGAACTATTGGACGAGAGAAGGGATGTGAGGAGGAAGATCGAGGTAGGGAGAAGGCTGGTGGATTATGATGCTAGGCTCAAGGAACTCGAGGCAGAGCTCATGATCGAAACGGCTGGACATGAGACTATTATCCTTAGGGAAGACGTCTCGGATAGCGACGAGGATGAAGACGAGGACGAAGACGAAGAAGAAGAGGGCTACGGGGTATCTATTCCAAAGTTAAGACGAAATGTCCTGCAGTATCGCTTAGTATTGGGGCTGGAAAAGGAGTTGAGTGAACATCCGTTTGTTACGGCGCAGGCACCAAGGATAGCAAAGGCGCGTAGCACATTGCTGATGGATCTAAGTACTGCATTACAGCAGGCGAAGAGTGCAGGGTCGTCTGGGTCTGGTCGCGTCATCAAGGTTATGAAGATTTATACCGACATGGAGGAGTCAGCAGAGGCGGTCAAGCTTCTCAAGACACTCAACTCATCCACAGGATAGACGTCGAGTCAGCATTGCGACGGCCTTGGGTATGGTACATTATTCATACATGCCACAAGCTACAGCTATATAGGCCCTTCCAATTCCTTGGGTGATATAGAATTGGGGCCCTTGAAGTCTCCATTTAGGGTGAAGCCTGGCGAATTTGTCGAGCTGAGAACCACTTCATGCACCTCCTTGCTGATGCGCCCTTGGAGCTGCGAGATATCCTTCTTTATTGCACTCGTGAAAGCCACAATATTTTCCATCATCTGTTCCGGTGTGAAGCCCAGCTGTCCGACTGCCATGCGAATTACACCCAGTTTTTCCCTGTACTCTGCTCCGCTTACCATGTTACGCACAATCGAACCCACGGCTGTCTGCGTAACTACGGTCCCCGCCTTCGCGCTCGGCATTAGGCCCTTGGGCCCTAGTATCCGACCCAAGTTCGCCTTGGTCAACTTCGGGAAGCTCTCGATGGTGCAAATTAACCTATCGAAAGCCACTTTGTCCGCCTTGATTTGGGCAAAGATGTCTTCTTCGCCTATCAGGACAGCGCCAGAGGCCCGGGCATCAGCAGCAGCTTTCGAGTCTGGCGCTGCTATGACAGCAATTCTTAGGTCCGTCTTGACAGGATGCGGGAGTCGTAAGCGGTTTCTTATTGCGGGGCCGTTCCTAAGTGTGCGCAGACGGACGGCCATTTCGTACTTTGATGACGACGGGTTGCGGCCTACTTCGAAGGCGCGAATATACCTGTCCCACTATTAGTCCCTCTGTTTGACAATGCCTATATGGACACACAGAAGACGTACCGCATCGCATCCACTAGCGAGAATTTGTCCAATTTGCCCAGGTCAGGTTGTTGGAATGTTGGCGACGTCTTCTTAGCCCTCTTGCTCGCCTTATTGTTCTTAAAGGTGGTTGCATATCGTATCGACTGATGTGGTATTGAGACGATGCGCGGAACTTCTGCTCTCGAGGCAGCGATTAACGGGCTAGTGCATCTGCTTATGGGAGCTATTGGTGAAATAGCGAGGCCGCGCAAAGGATATATTAACGGCCGTGGGTGCGCCATTGCGACTGTGTGCAGATGGTGGGCCGTTGCTGTGTTGCCAAAAGTTCGGTCGGAGATTCGGGAATGCCAAGACCCAAAAGACGCTAAGTTACTTACCTTCAACTACCTTGTGCCTTCCAAGGTTGCCATGCCATCTCTACCAGTCTGTACAAACGCACATGCCAGGATTGCCATCGATATGCGCCCCCGAATATATCAGATTACTCACAAGCTCGGCAAAAGAGCTGTTGCAACCAGGACGGCACCGGACACTACTTCTCAAAGGATAACACTGCTATCTCCAAAAGAGCCACCACCGCCTGAGCCTAAAAAGCCACTCACAGCGCGAGTCTTTGTGACCAAAAGTTTCCCTGAGTGGACATGGGACAGCTGGAATGGACAGCTCTGGTATGCAGAGGAACTTCGTATGTGGGGGGAGAGGCCGCTCGCTGCCACTTTGGAATCGGCTGAATCTAATCTGCACGCAATCGAAGCGCGCATGTCAATTTCGAACCGCGAGGTTGACAGATTTATGCACCTTCATTACTGCGCCATTTCAACAGTTGCACGGTGTCTGTATCCATTCCAAGTTTATGTCACCGATGCCATGGCGCTGAATGCCCTCCTTGTGACAGCCCCCCTACACATACAATCACGACTGGAAGACGCTCGCCAAAAATGGCGATCTTTAGATCGAGAGATAAATTCTCAAATCTCTGGGTTTGCTCGTGTACGACTAAACCACAGCATGCTCCCACACAATCCTTCCTATTTTCAAAGTTTGGTGGAAAGAGCCGATTACGGACTGGATAGCGGGCAGGAAGACCATCGGGATCTTCAAGTCACAGAAGCAGCCATGTGGCGCAGGGGATCTCTTCTAGAGGTCGCAGCGAGAATGCGTAAAGTGGTGGGCTTTCACTACGTACATGGTCCGTTATGGACCGTGGAGCCTCTTTCTACAGCAATACGTCTCTGTATGATATTGATGCTACAGTTGCAGTCAAGTCTACGAGCGCAATCGCTCGGCTTGCTTAACTCACCTAAGTCCCATCTATCTCACATAGGGGAACAAGCATATGAAGCTGCCATTGAGATCGGACGCCTTTCACATGAGGTCAGCTCTCTTCAAATTGACCTGACAGCGTTGCGGCACTACAGAACTCGGAATTTCCCCCTAGGTGTTCGGCAGCAAGAGATGATAACCGGAAAACATATATATACGTGGTTGGGCTGGAACTCTGCCCCGAGGAAGAAGCCTGTCTATGATAACCTGTCATCAAAAGTTCGGTTCATAAGGAAACCACAAAGATTCTGAATCCCTTTGCAAGGCCCCGTCGATGCACGCCTTTTACGCCGACATGTTCGGAATTACCAGGCCCAATGTGGAAGGTCAAATCCCATACCATGCCGCTTCTAGCGCTTACCGAGGTTGGTGAACGCCGATTGGGTACTTTGTGCACCCTACTCCGACATATGGCTGCCTTGAGCGTCGACATAGCATTAGATATAAATACTACACTTCTTTTGATTTAAACATGAAGCCTTCTCAGAAGACTCAAGAGCTATCATGGATGCGACGATTCTGACACCACGGCTGCGGCTAACGCTTCTCACGACAGCAGAGAGAAGAAGCAATGAACTTGAATGGATCCACGCATTGCGCAGTGATGAGAAAGCTTCGTGGTGGAGGTGATTCATACCTGAATAATAACACGTACCTGGCTTACTTTCTACAGCATCTCTGGTCGCGCGAAAACCATCGAAGACACGGAAAAAGTACTCAAGAATATCTTGCCAAACACCGCAAAGACGGGAGAAGAGAAATCTTACAGAATCGCCTATATGATACATGAGCTACTTCCTTCCAATGGCGACTCAACATGCAAAGAAAATTCGCCAACACGTTTCATTGGCCTCGTAGCCCTCCACTCCGTAGGTCCCCACGACCTCGCTCTGCCCGACCACTTATTCCCGGCTTCAACTTTTTCGCCAGATTGCCTAAACATGATACTTGCGTACCAGTTTCTTCCCGCAGCCTGGGGCAAGGGTTATGCAACGGAAGCTGTGAATGCAGTACTGGAGGCTTGTGGAAACAGAAGGAAGTTCTGGGACTTGTATGAGAAAGTGTTTGTGAGGGCAATTGTTAATGGTGAGAATCCAGCTAGTCAGCGGGTTATGGCGAAGACGGATATGAAGAAGTTGGGTGTGTATGAGTGGGTTGGGGATGAGTTGTGGCTGGGGGGAAAGTGGAGGACAAGGGACGATTTGTATATCTATGGCATGTTTGTTATAGAGTGATGGGCTGAGTGGATGGGGTTTATGACACTTGCATATTGGGTGTTGTTCTGTTGAGACAATAAATCTGTTAGCATATTTCTGCTGAAGAATATGAGTGCTTAATATGCCGGCTTACAGGTAACATGCTTCATCACATAAGAGATGACATACTCCTGCATTCGGGTCACCCTTGAGGGTAGAAATATCATCAAATGATTCATAGCACGATCACATCTTTATACTGTTAATGCATATGCAAAAAGACTTTGGTCTAATGTCCAACCCTGGTCGCATGTTCAAGTTGCTTACATGACGTAACCACTGATTTGGCTCTCTCGGTAATCAATCTGCCTCCGTGACAACCTTCGACAAACATCGGCGAAAAAGCCGATACCAATTGTCTCTCAAGCGAACGACGGTAAATCATCTCCGTGATGGGGGGTATACAGCATGAAGGTGTGGGCTTTACCCCGCACATCCTGCATATCTGGGGTAAAACCGTTGGTTTATCCGAGACAGACATGACGGAGGGCCTTCATGGATTGTATTTGGAAAAGAATATCTCAACTGTATAGCCTGTAAAACTCTGGGATTTCGAAAACCACTTTGTCTTGGTTTCCTACCGTGATAACGTATTGACATACAACACACCAGCTCGTCAAGATGAAAAAGGCAGCAGAAAGAGATCACCTGGAAGATGTTGACATTAACGCAATCAAGGAACAAGACGAAACATTACAAGAGCATGGCGAGATCGATATCAATGACGAAACTTACAACAAGAAGCTCAACCGACGTCTCGACCTACGAGTATTGCCACTGTGTTGTTGGGTGTATCTTCTCAACTTCCTTGACAGAGGTACGTAGCCTCAAATCCCCACAAAGTAGCCCACACTAATTCTTTTTAGGCAACATTGGAAATGCCCGAGTACTCAACGAAGAAACTGGCGATGATATGCTCAGCAACACTGGCTTGACACCTCGTGGTTACGCACTGACAGTCACACTCTTCTCTGTCGCTTACGCTGTATTCGAGGTCCCCAGCAACTACGTTATGAAGCATTATATTCGGCCATCGTTATGGCTTGGTATCCTCTTATTTGCATGGGGAGCTTTGACCATCGGATTTGCAGGTGTGAAGAACAGCGCCACGATTATCGTTTTGAGATTTCTCATCGGGGTGTTTGAAGCGGGATTCTTTCCTGGTAAGTCGGAGTCATTTCTACAGTGTAGCTATACGATCTAACCCCACACCAGGCATCGTATACTTCATAACCATCTGGTATCGCTACAACGAGCGCGCCGTCCGCATCGCCCTCGTAATCGCCTTCTGCAACCTCGCCGGCGCCTTCGGAGGCGCCATCGCCTTTGGCGTCGGCCACATCAACGGCGCCGCCGGTCTCCAAGGCTTCCGCTGGCTCTTCATCATCGAAGGAATCATCACACTCCTCTCCGCCTTCCTCCTCATATTCTTCCTTCCTGACTACCCCACACGCGCCAAATGGCTTAGTGCCGCGGAGAAGAAGTTCGCCATTGATCGCCTTGCCGAGCGCGGTGGAGGATATAACCAAGAACACGCTTCGCGAAAAGAGATTCTGGACACGTGTTTTAGTCCACGTATGCTGTTGCATTATATTGCGTATATCGCGGATGTGGTGCCTCAGGGTTCTTTTACGTTTTTTACTCCGACGATTGTTACGGGGTTGGGTTATACTTCTATTCAGGCGCAGTTGCTTACTGTACCGCCGTGGGTTGTGGGTTTCTTCGTTGCGATTACGATTTCCTACTCTGCGGATCACTTTAATGCTCGCGGGTGGCACATCACAGTTGCATCACTTATCGGCGGTACAGGTTGGCTTACAGCGGGTCTTTTGCCGGCAGATGCGTATGTGCAACGCTATGGTTGCTTATGCATGGCTGCTGCTGGTGCGTTTCCAGCTGCACCTTCCATGACGAATTGGGTCACTTGCAATTCGCCCAGCTTCCTTACTCTGCCGCTTGCAATTGCGTTGCACAATTCTTGCGCGGGTATAGGGCAGATTATCGCACAGTGGATTTGGAAGAGTAACGAGAAGGGCGAGGGGTATTCTACGGGGAACTTTGTTTGTGCGGCTTGTAGTTTTCTTGTTGCGGGTATCGCGACGGGACTGAGGCTTTGGTACGGGAGGATGAATCGGTTGGAGAGGAGTGATAGTAGAGGTGATCAGAGGGTCTGGGCATTGTAGATATGAGTATTGCAATACACGTACTTGATATAAAAGTCCCCATTATGTCTATTGATACAATATCATGTAACTCTCTAGTCTAACCCCAAACATCCCTCACTGGCCTCCCAACCACTCCCTCAACACCTCCGTCATAATCTCGTGTGTCCGACTCGTCAAATGCCCCGAGTTAAACCAAAAATACGTATCCAAATCCGTACATACATACTTCTCCGGGTGGGATAGGATATCTGGTTGATTGTACCCCGGGCAAAAGTCGGTGACATTACTAAACCCATAGTCCTGGTACTCACCCAACACACGATTCAACACGCCATTAACATCAAACTGCAACACCGTCGCCTCGCAATGTTCTTCTCGAAACGCATCTGTATGCTCCACATGAATCCTATTGAACACCTCCACAAGCGAGGCATTCACGCTTGGCGTACCCGGTCCGCGGTCCAGAGGCGGGAGGTTCATGAATAGAAAGTTCCGATATCCCAATTCATAGACCCTTTCAACGTTCTTGAAAATATCCTTTTGAACCTTTTCGTACAGAGGCGCGAAACTAGCGTTTCTACTCTGCGTGCCAACAAGATCATTAATATCGTTGATTCCAATCCATACAGCCACCAGTGCATCTTCCTTACTCAGCTGAATCAATTCCAGCGCAGGATTACCATATCGCACAAACTGCTCTACCTGGCGTTCAAATGACACAGTGTGGTTGTGATGCAGTGGCGTCACACCCGCTTCTTCCACCACATCCGCGCCTGCGTATGCGAAATCCCAGAGTTGGATAGCGCAGTCTTGCGGGTCGTGGAGGCCAGGTTGGACGCCGCAGTTGGTAAGGTATTCAACCCAGTTCGGGCCATCTTCTGCTGTGCCGGTGAAATCTTGGACGATGCGGTTGGCGAAGAGTTGGGCGGGGGTGAAGGCGAGGTTTAGGTTGTCGTTGATGAAGGAGTAGTTCTGGTGGCCGTGGGTCCCTTGGATGTAGGTGTAGCTGTCGCCGAAGGCTAGGAGAGATTTTTTTGTGTGCCAGTTGAAGGAGCCTTGGTTTTTTGTGGGAGGGATTGCTGTCGCGTGTGTTTGGAGTGCTAGGCATAGAGATACCAGTGTGCTGAGCTTCATGGTGGCCATATGGTGCGTACAGTGAGACGCTTGAGTGCCGTAGTCATAATGAAGGATATTCCAGTTGCAGGATCTTATCGGTTGTTGTAGGCAAAAGGTTTACGGGAGAATTCTGACCGAAAGATGGGGATTCGGGAATGTTGGCGTGGGATAATGTCTCGGGAAAACGACGTGGACGCGGTCGAAAGCGGGGTATCAGACTAGATCTAGCCCTAGCGGGCCTTCTAGAGATCAACCATAGAGTGTCATGGCGATCATTTCCAGTAGATCTTCAAAGGAGTTGGCAGAGGGGATGTAATCGCCATCGCGGTAGTGCCGTCTACCTCCATACTCATACCACCACCGATCCTGATATTTTCCACTTGGGTCTGCCTTCTCGAATCCCATCTTCGGCACTGGCAAAGGGCCGTTTGATTCCCTCGATTCTCTCAGAGAGTGCCGCCAATGGCTAACACGCACATCTTTAAGGAAAAGCTGCAGCCGTTGAACTTGTGTCGCAGAGAAGCCCATATTTTCTCCAAGTTCCTTGGTGACCATGTAAGACTTAGTATTGTGGTAGAGGGATAGTCTCAATAGTCAGAAGAGAGGCTGCCGACCCGCAATCGGTAGAGAGGAGAGAACAACAAGGTATCAGAGTGAAAACGGTAGTATTAAGAATAGTGTACGATAAGATGATGTCGAGCTCCTCTACGCGGAGTCGTCCTAAAATACTCAACCCTAGCGCCGATTACCTAACGCCGAACACGTGACAAGCTACTACACCACAGTATAAAAACTCTCAAGGAGATAAACGCCGTCTTCAGGAAACCAGATAGAGCAGAACAGTCTGAATGTGTCCAGAAAAACTTCTTCTACCGACTTCTCGTAGTCAACATCAGGACGATCCTCCTCTTCAAGAAGACCTAGCAGGCCGTATAGCTTGTCTCGAGGATCCTCGCAACTTTTTGAAGTAAAGTCCAGCAGTCTTTGTGATAGTCTTTTCAATGAACTGATATTGATTTTGGGTGCCACAACGTATCTCCACCAAGACCAAAATGTAATTCCATAGACATCAAACCGCACTGCAGCTTGAATAAGACGTAGAGAATCCACCCACAAGTTTCCACAAAAGATACGTCGTTCAGGAGACAGCACGATCTCCTGTATAACCCACAAGCGTGTGAAACAGGGGTTCCGCAACAAGGTAATTGTGTTCTCACTATCTGCCTTTTTGGAGAACTCGCTAGCCGCTGTCTCAGACGTCAAGCCCAGCCACATAATGACAAACACACAAGAGCGATATATCTGCGCTATCAGCTGGACCTGATGATTTCTTTCTGTCGTGCTTCCTTGATTGATGCACAGCTGGTCGATCCATAGATAGTGAGAATTGGCGTCATCCGAGCGGAACGAGCTGAGAAAGTCGAACAGATTCGTTCTCACTATGAAAGGTTTCCCGTCGATATATATCATCCGAGTATGCAAGGGGTCACCCCATGTATATGAGAGCGCGATATAAATGGGTGCTGTAGCGAAATCGAACGTCTCAAACTCGCAATGAATGGTACCCTGCTCGAATTGCGCAGCAGATGCAGGTGGAGATTGAATAAGCTTCGCTAGACGTATTTGTTGTTTCGTAGTGTCCAGGGGCGCATAACTGTAGAGGCCGGAGTGGAATTTGAGATTCATTGCGTCTTTTACTTTTCGGCGGATTCTAAATACAAGTTATAAAGCGCGAGGGCAGAAGCTTGTATGTCCGGCGAGGCTGAGCGGATGCGGCCAAGACCGCTGCGTCGAATCAGTCAAAGATGGGTGGTAGTAGGTTGACTGTAGAGATTGATATGTCTTGTGTGCTCAATTAAGAGGGTATACAATATTCTAATGCTGAGTAGAGTAGAGGTTTAGATGTGATTAATGGAACGAAGCTTGCAAGCGGATAGCTGCCTAGATAGCCCCGCTTCAGCCACACGCGGCTACATCCAATTAACGAGACAGTGTGCTTGTGCAACAAAAAAGTGATGATGCGAAAGGGCATCTCTACTCTCCAAAGATATCTCCCCAGCTGAAGCCGTCACCGTCACCACCGCCTCCATCGCCACCTCCCTGGCCACCTTGGCCACCCCAAAAGTCTTGATCCGAGCCTTGAGGTCCTGTCCCAGGATCTTGATTTTCACCCCACACATCCTCACCAACTTGGCCCGTACCCAGTTGCTGGTCTGGGTTCGCTTGATAGGGATCTGCTGCTTGAGGCGAAGCATCATCTTCTTGTTGCCGTGCTTCTCTTGACCTTTGCATCGCCTCGTAGCCTGCCATTGTTGCTGCTCCAGTGGCGGCACCCTCTCCTACTCCGAGGCCTCGCGCAGCAGTACCAACTTCACTCGCAATACCGCTTTCACCAGCTGCACCTACAACTCCTGCACCGGCCGCAGTGGCCTCGCCAGCCGCGGCACCACCGCCAGCAGCGCCGCCAGCAGCCTCCCCACCTCCGAACCAGGGCATCCACATGGACCACATGCCCCCCGAACCGCTATGCCGACTGAAATAGTCAAAGTCGATACTGACGGCTGTCGCAAGCATGACGGCTCGTTGGTCAAGTGTCATGCCTGGATACCCTTCTAACGATGGTCTGCTTTGCTCTCCAGTCTTTGAGACTAAATGCGATGGTTCGTTTGCGAGCCCAGCGGCATCCATTCGAAGAGCATACACGCCTGTATCTGTGAAGATCTCGCGCGCGAACCCGCCAAAATTACGGTTAACGGAGCCTGCTAGTCGTCCATCTTCAGACATCAAGCTGAAATCCCAACTCAGGAATGGCTCATCAACTCTGGCAAATTGAAGCATACCAACTTCTCGTGTGTCGCCTTCTGCTACGGCAACGGCTTTGGAAGTCGATATGGGTAAATCACCTGACGTGATTTGGGGTGTGCCGATTACAGCAGCGCTCTCCTCTAAGCTTCTTGCGAGGAATAAGTTGTACTTTCTCCGTAGAGGGGCCCACTCCTGCTCTGCTGCTCCGATGATGCGCATGTCCTGCAAAGGCAAAGTTGATACGTTCGCACTTGTCTGATTTGCAATACTCGCCACGCTCGTGCCTTGCAAGCTCGTCGAACTGGTATATGCGCTTCCGTCCTGGCCTACAGCATCATATACCCGTATCCGTGAGTTAATCCAGCTGAAGGGCCTGTGAAACCTGAGTATTTCCTTCTCATCCCGATCAAATACATGCGTTGTGAAGCTCCGATGTGTCTTGAACATCTGCCTCGCCATGGCATTGCCTAATCCATGGTCCTGCTCTGCCAGATAGCCTATATGATTGCCATGCGGATCCATGATGACATAGCGATTCGCTTGCTCAAAGCCCATCAGGACATTCATCATCTCCAATTGTCGCTGTACTACAAGAGAAGAGTTGTCGAGAAGACGCATGGCGGGGTGTGTCTGTTTGAGAACCGCATTTGGGTCTTCGGGCATATGAACAGGCGTAACAAGGTTGTTCTCTGAGTCGGGCGTGGTGGACAGGGCGTTTGAGATGGCATCGACTTTGGAGGATTCCTTGGGGGGTTCATCGTGACTGTTCGGTCGATGATCGTTGTTAGGGGGCTTCGTCGAGTAAGCTGCCGGCTGTTTGTGTAATGTATAACGCGGGAAGCAAATGCGAGGCCCTAAAGGTAGTGTGTCTCTTCTCGTAAAGGGTCGAGTGCATGGCCGGGGTAGTCTCAAAGACCACCTCGTCGCCGGTAGCATGGTTAATTCTTGTCTGAATGTATCTAGAATAGCCTATCGAGCAGATAGAATGAGTAGAGAGAGATGCTGCCTAGTTGTTGCTCTTACTTTGCGTCACGAAGATACGTTCTGCAATCATCTCCTCGAGTAGTACCGATTACGTCATAGCAACTTTCACATCTTGAGGCCTAGGCACTATCTAATGCGACATTATGGCAGCACTCTCTCGCAATCGCGACGGAGGATAACTCAGCAGGAGCACTTGTGCAGAGAAGGCCGTCGTAGTCTGGAGGGGAAAGGTGCTATTGCACATCCAACCCCTCCGCCAATCAAAGCAGGTCTTGGCAAACAGTCATCTCTGAACTTTTTCGAGCTCTGCCTTTAGCTTCACCACGACCACCATGAAGCTCACAACTCTCACCGACACAGGTGACGACGCCATTACGTGACGTCGGAAAGACTGGGTAAGTCTACTTATTTCTTATTCGCATTGAGGCGTGAAAACGTGCATCCCATTGGTGGCCATCGTAGATATTTGCGGCGCCCCTAATGTTGTAATGCAACGTTTTCGCGCCTTGAGAGAGCACTTATTTTTTTATGATGACAATTTTTCACTTATACGATTGCCGGCGCAAGCATTCACTTGATTGCGTTTGGTGCTCTATGCTGTTTCCGTTACAATAGACTACAACGGTATCTGATCACATACTTGCTGCATCTTTTTGAAGTACCTCTGTGCGCATACAATCGCTAACTTCGGCATAGTCCCGGCTTACATCGAGCTACTATCGCCGCAAATGGTTGATGCCGCCCAGCCTGAGCAAACAAGTGCGATAGGCGAGACACGCCCGGGCGACGCACCCCAGCAGAACCAAGAGAAGCCTTCCAATGGCGCTCCACGAAAACCTCGTCCAAAGCGGCCTAATTATCATGAGATACATGCCAAACCGCTTCCATTAGACGTCTATGCGTTACCCGCCTTCATTCCGCACAATCCAATCTCTATCATACGCCTCGCCATTGCTCTACTTTCACAGTCAGTGTGGCCTCCCAAATCACACCGCGTCTCTCATGTAGCCTACTTTTCTCCGGAAACTCAGTCGATTCATATCACCGACCCAGCTTCTATCCGAGCCTTGTGGGAGCAGGGCTTCTGGGGCAAAGGCTCACTCAGCCGAAGTGAGCCGCAATGGCTGGTCGCCGAGAAGCGACGACGAGGCGCGCAGGCGGCAAAGACCAGCACTGAGGTCACACAATCTAGGCGAGAAGAGCGAAAGCAGTTCAAGCTAGAAAGAGCCAAAGCTCAACGCGAGGCCATCGAGGAGCAATTACGTCAAGAAGGCAAACTTGCACCCGATGCCCGTATCGATGAACACGTAAACCCCGATCCTGATGGTGCTGTCCCGTCTGAAGATGCGGCGAAGATTCCCATAGTCGATCGCGTTCCAGATGGACAGCCGGGAGAGGATGATACTGACGCTGGTATGGAAGTCGATATCATAGACGTTGAGCACCTACAGCTCACCCCAGAGGAGGCTTTCTTTCTTACCTATGTCCTGGGTGTACTGAATGTCGTCAGTGACAGTAACGAGGTGCCAACGGAATCCTCGGTGCCATACCCTTCCTGGTACTTATTGCGTCTGTACTG